TAGAGGCATAGTGATGTGCCAGTCTGGAATTGTTGATGCTCTGCCGAGGCGAAGTGATAGACTTTTGTCGATGTAGTAGACGTTCCAGAAGAGGAATTGATGCCAGTGCATTCCGTGAACTGTCGGCTTGCCCTCATCTTTTGTGTTCTTCAGAGACTCTGCTCGATGATATCCAAGTGTTTGACATAGTTCTGATGCTTTGGAGGATAGGGTCCAAGCAAGGGTAGGTTTTGAGATCTCAACAGCGTGGAACGTCTTCCAAGGAGTCAGCTCTGTTCAGTGTTCTTGTTGGTGTAAAGTCCGATACTTACTCCAAATAAAAGCGCGACAATCACATCAGAAGATGCCGGCAGGTGAAGGGGAAGGTTCGCCAAACACGTTTCCAGATTCACGCGGCATATTCTGTCAAAAGTCAGCCCGCTGTCGCTTTTCAGATAATTCAACATTGGCTTTGCTTACTTGGCATATTCAAAATATTCTTTTTGTTCATCCACCGAGACTTGCGCAGCGTAGTCTGTGAACAGTGAATAAAGCCCTCCATTCACAGTGATATAGTCATATTCCGAGTAGTTGTCTGAAAAATAGACATTAAGACAGAGGTCCGGGAACCGACGGGAGGGCAAAAAGTCGTATATCCAAGCCATGCCCGTAAGACGTTGACCTAAAAGCCAATCAGGCGGTAAGCGAGTGAAACAAAACTCCCAAGGCTTTCCCATGGAGCTTACTTTTTGCGATTCTGATAGTGTGCACAGCCTTCTCTATGGGCGGCAACTCGATGCCCTGAGCCCGAACCCGAGTGAACGGCTTCGCGTGAGGATATGTCATCTCCCCCGCCGCAGCCGGTTGCTTCAAGGCATTGACGATTTGTGACAACGCGTCAAGAGTTTCGCCAAGATCTAGACTTGAGTCTTGCAGTGACTCTGTGCTCACGACCTTTTGCAAAAACTCGGTAGCAAACACAGAGTGCGCTGCGAGAGAAGAATCTCCCTCGACTATGCCACCTTCGCCTTCGTCTGATTGAATGGTGTGACTTGCAGTTGTCGCAGGCGTCGAAGTAGATGAGACACGTTGAGCTGAGCATGGTAGGCCTTCGACTTGAGGTGTAGCGGCTGTGGCCATTGCAAAATTCAGTAGCTCGGCTCGACTTGTATTATCAGAAGATGGATTAACTTTCATGTCCTGCAGGAGGCGGATGACCGTCTCGAGCCGACGGTCAATTTGATCAATTTTGCGCTCACTGGGTCAAACAAGTTAGTTGAAACTGTATAACAACATATTTGAAGCTTCGAACTAGTGCAATGATCGCATATGGGCTGATCAAATAGCGAACACTGTGTTGGATGGCATGCTTGCTTACTATTGTGGGGTAATGAGAATTCTGGTTCGCTTCTCCTTGGGCTTGTTGTCGGCATGTGTACACTCGATCTTGGCGTGTGTGCAATATGAACAAGGCGATTCTCTGTTGCAGCGGATCTGTAATCAGGTCAACTTCTGCTTCGTTTCGAAAACGGTTGGGTCAAGGTCGAAAAGCTGAGAAGTCGTGTTCTTCTTGACTTAAGGCGATGGGTACAAGTAATTAAAGCATTGGGTGTTAATGGTTCTCAATAAGCAAACTCACCTTGCGAGCACGGCAAGCGTCACACTAGTTATTTCTGTCAATTCAGTCCAGTTTCCAGATACCATCTGCATCACTTACAGCCCTACGAATAGCAATCTGAGGATTCGCCGAGGATGGCTCAGGTGCTTCTTCCGGCGCATCGTCAGGCCCGTCCTCGTGACCGCTGGCATCCAGCTGGCTGTCGTCCATGTCTCTCCTTCCGCTAAGCGATAGGCCTATGGCAAAGGTCCTTCGGAGGCCACTACTCGTCGATCTCGTAGGCGAGTCGTCGGTGTGCAAGCGGACGATGCGGGAGCCGACGAGTGTACAACAAAGATTTTGAGAACTTGAATTTGTTGTCGGAAGAGGCGAGGTCGGGTCCCGAAATATGAGAAAACTGCTGACAATGCGCCTTCACCCAACTAGGAAGCATTTGCACATGTTTCGTTTTTTATCGTTATTTCTTTCCTCGCGTGCTGTTTCGGAGGCCGCGCGACCCGGCCAAGTCCGCGGGCTGTCGGCTGGATACAATACCCCAATGTGGTAAGTAATGGGTCCGAAGTCTATTTATACGCTGTCGATAGCCACGCTGAAGCTTTCGTCTGAACAAACTAGTTCAGAAACTTCAGTTCTTTACCGTAGAAACTCGAGCAACTCGAACTTGCGCTAGCCCGTGCCAGCCCTGCTAGCGGCCCACACTAAGCCCTTTCGAGGGATCAGTTTTATCCGATTATATAATCGACTAAACCGTATACGGAAGGCGGTAAGTGATTATTTTCCATTTTTTACTCCTACCCAACTGCCCACTTCCACCGATTTGACCACCAATTATACTGTCAATTATACCTCCAATTACACCTCCACCACGGGCCTCGTCGACGTGCCCACGATGCCCTCACGACGGGCCCTTGCCGAGAAGGATTCGAATACGGCAAAAGTGCCAATTACACCTCCAGCAGCTAAGCGCCGCGGGCCTGCTCCTACCCCCATCAAAGACCGGAAATATACACCGCGAAGTGGCCCAATCAAGCGCCGCCAGCACCACTATACCCACGATACCAAAGTCAACGTCCTGATGTTTTTAGAGCATCACCACGTGAGGAAGCTCGACGAAGAGTCGATTTGCCCCCCGAGGCTGCGCCAGGGCGAGACCGAGCTCCCAGGGATATACAGACGTCCCACATACCAGGAAGCCGCAGATTGGTTCAAAGTCCCTCGAAGCACGGTTATCTCCTGGTATCAGAACCGCGAGTCAATCGTCAATCGGTCCTCCAACTACGCCTACCACCCTCAGTGGCCAGAGCTCGAGACAGCGCTATACGGCGCCTTCCGCCAGCGACGAAGTGAGGGAAAGCTCGTTAGTACCAGTTGGTTCAAAAGGACCGCTAAGCGGATTTTCGCCCAGCAGAACCCGAACAGCAAACATCTTTTTATTTTTTCCCCCGGTTGGTTTCGTGGCTTCCAGAATCGTATGAGAATTACCCGACGTCGACTTACCAAACAGGCAACGAAGTTACCCACTGAGTACTTCAAAGTTGTCAACAGCTTTCTTTCCTTTATCCGACGAGTTAATCAAATGGCCCTGGCTAAGGTGAAGCGGTCTAACGTCGGAGATTTACTCGGAAGTCCAGCCCGTCGATTTCCTAACTCGCGAATTCTCAACCTCGACGAGACCCCAGTTCCTTTCGAATACCTAGACGGTTACACATACGACGACGTCGGGGCCAAAACCGTGGCTGGCAAGAGCGACCGCAGCGGTTGGGGCAAGCGGCAGGCCACATTAATACTCTACATCTTCGCCGACGGCATACAACGAATTAAACCGAAAATAATATTCCACGGCAAGCCCGCAGAGGAAGGGGGTCAATTATGGAAAAAAGAGGGCCTATTATACGCAGAAGGAGTGACAGTTGAGTTCAACAAGACTGCCTACAACAATGAGTACTTGTTCAAAAGATGGATTGAAGAGGAATTGGTAGCGCTGACTAAGGGAGACGAGTACCTATTGGTAATGGATGTCGCTTCCTTCCATAAGACAGATTCCATCCTTGCGCTATTACGTCAGCACCACATCACACCCTGCCTCATACCGCCAGGGACCACTTCCCTCCTCCAACCTCTCGATACCGCAGTCAATAAGCCCTTCAAGCAGTGGCTTTCAGAAGCAACCGACGCTTACGTACTCGACGAGGAAGAAAAAGCGCTGAATAAGCAGGAGGAGCTCAAGTGGGAGACGGGTATGAAGAGAAGAATGGTCACCAAAACAGTCGAGACGGCAGCCGCTAAATTGGCCCACGAGAAGGGCTCAATGGTCAGCCAGGCCTTCCTGCAGTGCGGAATATCTATTCGGCCCGATGGCAGCCAGGTCGACGAGATCCGGATCAAAGACGTGCCCGCCGAGGCCATCGATTACACTGGGTGGGAGCTCTTCGACGTAGAAGCCCACATTGAGCAGGAGACGCTGCAAGAGGAGATTCCAGACTTCGCTGTTCTGAACGACGGGTTAGAGTACATTTTCACAGCAGAGGAAGTCCGTGATGGCATCAATGGGCAGTTCGTCGACCCGACAGTCCAACCGCCGTATGAATAGGGGCCCGTTGGAGGCAGTGGGCCAGGGGACAGTCAGGGGCTCGGTTGCTTACGTACGACTGCTTCCAATTGACACTTTTGCCCTTTTTGCCAATTCGACGAGAAAAGCTCAAAACCGACGAGAAAGCCAAAATAATTATTGAATTATATCAATTGTGGGTCCGGCCTCGACGGCGAGCTCTCATTGGTCAGATCGATCGAAATGTTAACCTACGCCAAAAATAGGTGGCGGCCGCATTTAACCACTTTAGGCAGTATTACGATTCTGCCAGAGCGCTAGCAGGGCTGGCACGGGCTAGCGCAAGTTCGAGTTGCTCGAGTTTCTACGGTAGTCAAAGCTCCGCTATATAGGGTTTCGCTGCCTACATTAGCTTACTGTAATATTCCGCGATCGATCAATGGTTGGCGGTCAAACTTCTCCTCCGTAGCGGCGTGGTCGATGGTAAGAGCCTGACGCCCGGCGTGTTATTATGCCCTGGGTTAGAAGATGATTGACCGATTGGCAGAGTTGAGGAAATTCATGTGCAAAAATGGTGAAGAGGAAAAAACACCTTAAGACAAGCTTCTTTTTCAAACAAAGACTCCCCAAGAAAGCACTCTTACTCGAACTGATTTATAACAAGGCTCAACGAAGTCACTCACGCGGTTCCCAGAGTATTACAGCTGATGGCTGTATTGGTTCTCGAGTCAGTCCCCACTCATAGAGCCAAATTTGGTGATGATTGTGTTACAATTGGTCTCTTGAAGGAGCAGAACTTGCTCTAAGGGATGAGTGGTGGATCTGTCATACTCTTGTATCGATCTCCCGATATTTCTAATAGTCTTTGTAAATCGGCAGTGACTTGAACCCATATTCCTCAACCGGAACATGATTCGCCGGTGGACCAGCGAATCTTGCGACAAAGGAAAACAGCCCTGAAGAGTAGAGAACAAACATGATCGCGTTCAACAGCCAAACTCCCCAGACCGTCTCAGGATGGAGCAGGTGAGGCATACCGGGTGCCAACTTTTGTGCGCGAACAACAGTAGGGCGCATCTTCTCTTCGTAGTCGCTAAAGGCAGCCTCCAGGTTATTCGAATGCTGTAGAATCGCGCCCGCCAGGTTATAAGCGCCGCTCATCGCCAAAGTCGTTCCCATTCCGGATAGAGGAGAAGCACAATATCCAGCGTCACCCAGAAGTACAACCCTTCCTTTGCTCCATCTGTCCATCTTGATCTGACAGACAGTGTCATAGTAGAAATCATCCGTGGCAATCATTTCCTTGATGACGCGATCAGTTTCCCATCCGAGACCCTGGAAATACTCTTGCAGAAGGGTCTTTTGAGCATCCGTGCTTCCACCTTTTCGCTCGGCAGCAGCCCGTAGCCGTTCATCTTTCTCGTTGACAACAGCCATGAAGACCGTTGTTCTGTCGTCCACGCCAGATGGTCGAATCATTATGCCTCGGCGCCCAGGCGCATGGAACCAACGACGCCATGCCGAATCAGTCGGACCACGGGGCATGCTGAAGAAGCCTCCGTACATCCCTAGCCTCTTCCTCCTGTCTTCCTCGCCCTTCTCGCCCCAAGCAAGAATGCGCGTTCGACTTTGGACACCATCTGCTCCGACTACCAAGTCAAAAGTTCGCCTCTCACCGCTCTTGGCGAAGTGGACGTGGACCTTGTCTCCATCCTGCTCTAGGTCATCAAGAGAATCACCAAAGATGTACTCGATGCCAGTGCCGCCGTCAGCCTGAACATCCTTGTTGACTTTCTGGCTCTGCTCGAGCAGTAACTGTGACAATCGTCCTCTCAATATTTCAATGTCACTAGTCGGCGTTTGCGTCATCCCGCTTTTGTCCGCCCCGAAGGCTGCCCAAACTCGGTTCTCCTTGTCGACTAACTGCACCCCTTCTTCGCCAGTGGTAGCCGCCCGAATGGCAGGTTCAAGCCCGAGCTTGCGAATGATGGTTACACCAGCGCCTCGAACGTCGATATTTTGGCCTTGGGGGCGAAAGACGGGCGCTCTTTCCAGGATAGTGATGCGCGGCTTCTCGGACGTAGGTACCGGCGACATCAGCAAGAACGTGGCTAGTGTCGGTCCGGCTATACTGCAGCCCACGATCAAGATATTGAGAGGGGCCATAATGGTAGGATCACTGTCTAACTGCTGCCCCTAGGATCATTAATGCCAAGCATGGGGTTGCCAAGGCCTTTTAAAAGATAACGGGCGATGGCGCCTGAGGTTTGTCTAAGGAACGAACACAGAGAGGTTGTGAATCTAATACGTCATTTGGCTGTTATCGAGATCCTACCGGCAGTTGTCTTCCGTGGGATGCCACTGAGTTCATTCCGGGCACTCCTTTGTGCGGTGGCTGCCTAAGCACTAGCTAAATGTGGTAGGGCTCGGTTGAAACACACTACTACGGACAACTTGATATTCATTCACATTCTCGAATCAGTCCAAAGCACTATTATATTGCTCTCAATTTCCATGATACGCTACCCATTGAACCTGACGCATTCTAGTACATGTGACCGGCCTCGTATCCGATGTTCTAGGAAAATGATGACTCCAACAATCAGATGTGATCTAATCCCATGTGGTTACACTTAAATGAGAAGCGGTCACGAAAATACATAGGCGTTCCGGACTCTTGGACTCGCACGTGGGTAATACGGTGTTGACCGCAGTCGTAGCTTGGTCAAGGTTCGTTGATAGTGCAAGAGCTTTTTGATCGAAAATCTGGAAGCATTACACATGCTATTATCAAACTACTTACCTATCGATGAACAAACACTTTGTATACACAGATCTTGAGAACCCTTTCGTTTAATAAGTGTTCTCGGACTCGGTGTTTTCAAGCGATACTCAAATTCCGCGGTTGTCTTCAAAAACCATCGTAAAGCACATGTAAGTCCTCTTACTCAACCTTAACCACAATCTTCCCAACAAAGCCCTGAGCAAGCATAGCTTTATAGGCCAGTTTGGCATCGTTCCACTCGAAAGCTTTCGCAATGATTGGATTGATCTTGTGTTTCTCAACAAAAGCACTCAGATCCTGGAGCATGCCTAGGCTGTCATACATCAAGCCTCGAACTGAGATAACAGGTTAGACACGAAAACTGGGGGTTTGGAGTTATCTTACTCGTCTTGGCACCAAAGATAAACTCCGGAATTAGATCATGTTTTTCGGGAGCAGACATGAATCCAATGGCTGATACTAGGCCATCCTGTCGCAGCGCACGCAAAGACTCTGCAATGGTCGAAGCGCCAACAACGTCAAGGACTTGGTCAGCGCCACGGCCGTTGGTCAAAGTGAGAATCTTTCTGCTCCAGGTGGGGTTATTCTTGTAGTTGATTGCATGCTATGCACCAAGTTTCCGAAGAAGATCAAGTTTCTCCTCCGACACTGAGAAGGGGATGACCTCAGCCCCGGCAGCCACGGCGATCTAATGAGCGTAAGCCAAAGTCGAAGAGTATGCCATGTTACATGGCACAACTAATCTGTAACCCAGCAACACTAACACCACCGGTACCCTGGATCACCACGGTGTCTCCCTTTATGAGTTGCTGTGGGCCTCCAAACAGCGCGTTCCAAGCCGAAACGTATGGGCCGCTGAGAGCTGCAGCTTCCTCAAATGTCAAGTGAGAGGGTAAGGGGGCCAGCGCATCCTCGTCGAACACAGCATACTGTTGCAAGACTCCATCAATGTTCTTCCCACCGAGTCCGAGTTTGATGTCGAAGGCGCCTTGAGTTTGGCCAGCTTTCTAAGACGAGTTGGTGGCGTTGATGACCTTGTCGCCGACCTTCCATCGTCGAGGCCTCCGCCAAGGGAGACAGTATCCGAAGTCAATACTAGGAGGTCTCGGTAGTTGAGAGAGGCAGCGTGGATTCGGACAAGAATCTGGGCCTCCTTAGGGCTGGGTTTGGGCACTTCCTCGAGTGAGAGGTTTTGATCGATGCCTTCATTAGTGCAAGCTCCCTGAACTGTGTTCCGGATGCGCCAGGCTTTGGAATGATCTTGAGACATTCTTTTGAACTTTGTGCTTACTCTTTTCTGAATTTCCGTGTCTTTCCGAGAAAATACCTAGGTAGCGGAAAGAAGGTGTTCCTACAGAGTCAAGGAGCGTGAAAAAGTAAGTGATTTTAATTGCACTTTGAGGACACGCATTCGATCTTATGTTTACTCCATTCTCAGAAATTCTACTTCATGGTCCATTGTCTTTTATTTTAAACAACTTCACCGGCTTATACTGCGGTCCGTTTACTACGACCGCGAGAGGGTGAGATTCTCGTAATCCGGAGTTCCACGGACCAGTAAGCAACCGCTCACGTTTCTGCCGCAGGCGAAAGATAAATCATCACCCACACCACTACGGTAGGCCGTGGCTATTACAGCCAGACTATGCTATGGCAAGTCTCTATATACAGCTACGTACCTTCATAATCATATTTTGGACACCGATCCACGGACTACCGTGATCGAGCCAGTGTCAACAGTGGCGGGTCCAATAACGTTATATCCCCCCCTCCCCCCACCAAGAGCCTTGGAGTGCTTTGGTGGCACGGCCGTACTGGGGCAGTGTGCCTTCCCCTACGCCCTCACACAGTGGCGAACACCTCCCGAAGCACTCCAAACTAGACAACTGTCACGGCACTCGTGACTCGTCGCCATGTGCACGCAGAGATAGTATAGGATGAATTCAGCGGGGGGATTGGTGTTATCGTTGGTATCGTAGGGGAGAACGGTGAAGATGGAGACGGTGATGGTGGAGGTTCAAGATTGTCGATCGTGTAGACTCCATTGACTTGTAGCCAGAGGATAAGTAGTTCAATTTCGTCTGTGCTGTGCCCAATCCTGGGCAAGATTGTGTGCGAACGGAGGATGTCAAGGATCAGCCGCGAGGGACTCAAAGGCCTGCGCCTATCTTTATTACCGTTTAGCTGGTTCGGGATGTGGCGATAGCAAAACCGTCTGGTGAAAGGTAAAGAGTCTCTCCGCCGCCAGAAACGCAAGGTACTGACATCCCTGTGATACGGATATCTACAGATAGGCTTGCTTTGAGTTGATCAAGGGGCAAGAGGATTGGCCAATGCCTTTACCTGCAACCCAGACTCGGCTACCCACATCTTGTCGGCAGCAAACAGACATCATGATTTTTGATCTGGTCCCTCTCGTTTTTTGAGAAGTCCACGTTTTCTGTTCAGGTCCACTCACTTCGTCGCCAACTGATTTCACAATGGAGGCAGCCGGTCTAGCTTCGAGTATACTAACGTTCATTGACGTGTCTTACAAGATAGCCAAAGGAACCTACGAGATTTACCAGTCTGCGACTGGGGTCACTGCCGAGAACGCCCATGTCAGTAATATCATCACCGACCTGGAAGACGCCGCCGCAGGACTGGGCACAGTTTTCAAAGGACATCATGCCGAGTTAGAAAACTTATCAAACCAGTGCCGAACCTTATCAGTCGATCTGTTGAAGCTTCTTGGAAGACTAGAGAGACGTGAAAAGAAGCTCTCTCACAGTTTCAAGGCCGCAATTGTTTGCGCGCGGAAGCAGAAAGATATCGCTTCGATTGAGAAGAGGCTGGACCAGTACCGACAACAGATCATGCTCCATCTTACACTCAACACTTAGTGAGCAAACTCAAAGCACTCAGCAAAACGACCACTGACTCAAATTTTCGCAGCCGAGATGAATCGCCAATCAAGGCCCGACTCGACCGAATACGAGACGACAGCAGTCACTTCGCAAATGAGCACGCTGCCAAGCTGGATGCACTGCAAAATCAACTTTCCAAAGTGCTAGGGGGTGTGGAGAGAGCCAATTCGCGACTGTTCTTGGACAAGCAGGTCTCAAGAGTTCAGGAGTCCAACAAGGCATACCTGAGCCCTATCAACGGACTCCACCGAGACGAATCTGCCGAAGAAGCATCCCACAGAACAACCCACGATGATGGGCATGCGCCACGGGCCACTGATCTGGGATATCTTGCAAGACTTCTCAATGACTTGAAAACGTGTGCCAATACCATCGAAGTGGAGAACAAAATACTCCAGAACTTGTACTTTGATACAATTTTCCAGAGAGAGCGCAGCATCTCCGAGGCTACATCAAATACCTTCGGATGGACAGTCAAGAGTCTTCTATCACCTGCGATTTCAAGATCAGCTGATACGGATCAATTGCGTTCTACCAAAGAGTCCAGACGATTCTCTTCCTCCAGCTCCTCGTCAGAAACAAGCGATAGAACCGTGGTTGAGCACGCTTTCAACACTTGGAAGGAGAAACTACTTCTAGAGACTCAGAGACGGGAGGCTATGGCTAGATCCCTGCATTCCTTCCTGAAAGATGAAGGAGAGGTCTTCTTCATTTGCGGCAAAGCAGGCAGTGGAAAGTCAACGCTCATGAAGTTTCTTAGTCAGCACTCCAGCGTGAGAGAAACCCTGGCAAGTTGCGCCAATGGACGAAAGCTCGTTCTCATCAACACTTTCTTCTGGAGTTCTGGCGACCCTTTGCAGAAATCTCTGGAAGGACTCTACCGCACCATACTCTTTCACACGTTGAGGCAGTGTCCCGAATTGCTCGAAACATTCATCTCGACTCTGGCCGGCACAGCCTCCTCCTCTCTGTCGGCAGCCATGTCACTGTCTGAGTTGAAGGCGGCCTTCAGTCGAATGCAGTTGCTCGAGGACGCCGCAAGCTACTTCTTCTGCTACTTTATTGATGGGCTCGATGAATATGAGGGAGACTCTCTCGATCACAAACATCTTGCAGAGATGCTAAGAGCATGGGCTCGGGCTGATAACGTCAAGGTGGTATGCTCTGCCCGGCCATCCGCGGTCACTCTCGACATTTTTGGCGCCAGCAATACGTTCTTTGAGCTTCACGACTTGACAAAGGCCGATATATATGCTTTTGCCAAAACTCAATTCGAGGAGCATTTAAGAGAGCCTGCCTTCGAAACAGGTCAGGCAGCATGTCTAGGCATGCTTCAGACGATAGCGGAACGCGCCGATGGCGTCTTCCTCTGGGCCAGCCTTGTCGTCCGGGCTTTGTTGAACGCAGTTTTGGAACACGAAGACGAGTTTTCGATTCGTAGGAGGTTGGAAGAGTGCCCGCAAAGTCTCAGCCAACTTTTCCGTCAGATGCTCGATGCCATTGATCCTTCTCCATCAGTGAGATTACGTTCAGAGTTCCTCTTACAGCTGGTAGCAAGCCGAGAGGCTCCCATAGTCCATTTCAACGCCCTCACTCTCTCATGGCTGGATGAATCTCGGACTTTCCAAGCTCTCCTGGGTTTACCCAAGCGCTCGAATCACGAGAGGTACACGGCGAGCCGTATTGCAACAGAGCAAAAGAGGGCACGGAGTCAGCTCCACACCTTGACAAGGGGCCTGCTTAATATGGAAACAAACCAAAGCGTGGCATACCTGGTGAGCAACAAATACGGTTATCCGTCCTACTATCGATTCCAGCTTGGCTTTTTCCATCGAACCGTCAAGGACTTTCTTACGGAAGAATGGTTGCCAAGCCTGACCCAACGGCCGCTCATGACGTCTCAGCAAGAGGCGGCAGTAAAGGCGGAGCTGCTTATAGCAGAGATCAAACATTGCCCTGAACCGCACCTCGGCTTGTGGAAAGCAGTCTATCCTGCGTGTTACTTCAACATGTTGGACTTCTTCACGTCTTTCCGACTCTCTCCAATTCGGGAACTTGGTCTTTTTACCGCACTTGTTCAAGAAATGGCGGATGCCGTCTGCGGCACAAATGATGCAAGAGCTGCACGAAGCGAACAACAAGACTCCATACGTTGGTTATCACACAATATGCTAGTCCCGGAGCGTGAGCAACCGCACTACAAAGATCCACCTGAGTTGGCACTTTTTTCGTTTCTGCACCTCGCTGCGACTCTTGGGTTGACTGAGTACGTCAAGGAGAGTATTGCGAGTGTGGAAAGTCCGACTGCGGTTGACACATCTGACATCAACCTACTGTTATCAGGCGCTTACTCGGCAAATCTGGCTTTAATAGATTTCCTACTTCAGAAAGACTGGCATCCGAGTGATCTCATTTCAAGCCGTGGTCTCAAATCTTCCTCGATGCCGGAAGGAGGCCTTGTAAGTGTCTGGGAGGCCTTCTTGCACTCAGTCGCATGTCTTTTGACCACTTTCTGCGCTAGCGAGTTTCGAGGCCCTGTTTGGAAAGCCGTGCCACTAGTAGACTGCGACGAGCTGTTGAACGATAATTTCGCAATAGTCGAAAGCTTCCTACGCTCCGGTGCAGATCCCAGAGTGGAGATCCTTGTTCGCGATCAGGATAATGCAACCGATCTTGCACATCCTGAACAAGAAACACAAGCCCGAAGACTCGCTAGGCCAGCCTATAGGGTATCCCTTTCTCACATTGTGCAACTGGTTCAGCCTAAAAACATAGTAGCACTCCAGACTCTTTCAACCAATAGGGCGAAGTCTAAGCGGAACGTCATTCGCAAGATGCTGAGTCACAGGACGATGAGACAGCCGAGACATCAAGTCGAACTCGCGGGATATCCTATGGTTACTATGGATTATCTCTTCACGGCGAAATGGGAAGTTACAGGTCTTGTTTCGCTGGGAGCGGATCATGTTTATATCAATTTCGGGAATGCGGGGTTCGTAACCAGGAGGGATTGACTACACAAGCTCTTCAGAGCGCCACCTTGAGTCATTGTGGAGGCATCTTAAAGCAATGGTTTCGCAGGGTATTTATAGAGTTCCATTACTTTGTCAGTGGCAATGTTGTCAGCCACTATCGCGGTAGACCAGACAGAGCTGGACCTATTCCGGTGATGTTTCATACACGATCTGTACACTAGAAGACCTGGCCCTTGGTCTGTTGCACCTTCGCCACATTGACATTCTTCCACAAAAAGACGCAAGCAAGCGCCAGGGGCATGAAAGCCGCACCGCAAATAACCATGTGACGCTGAACATCTCCATAAGCATGCACAATACCAGCGCGAGCCGGAGTTCCCCAAGCATAAGAAAGCTGAACCTTGATGTCCCCGTAAATCGTCACGGCCTCGCCCTTTGTGTCCTCGGGGAGGTACTTGATCAAGAAATTGAGGAACTCATTCGTCCAGATGGCACCCGAGATGGCACGGCCGATGGAGCGACCGACCGAGGTAGCCAGGCCGATGAGGGCCAACATCACGCTGACTTCGTTGTGCTTGACCACGGACATGACGGCGAGCTGCTCGCAGATTATAATTGTACCGGCGGATACGGCCTTGAGGATCTGGCACATGATGATGTAGCCGATGTAGGTGTCCGGGGTCCGGAAGTAGATGAGGAGGCCGGTTGAGAGGCAGGCGACGGGGATGGCGGCGCAGGCAATCCACTTGTAGTGGTTGGTCTGGCGAATAAGACTGGGCCGTATTAGTACTGTATTTCTTGTGTAGAAGTCAGATAGGTATAGCTTACAGTCCTACGATAGGTCCCCAGGTGCAGGATGCAATGGTGTAGATGTTGCCGATGAAACCAGCTTGGCTGATACTCTGACGGTGGACAACCTGCAAGTAAGATGAGAAGAAGGAGTCCCACGAGCTATTTGAAGAAGTCAGCCATCGTAGTCCGTGAAATGCGTTGTGAGAGTATTTACCTGAAACTTAGACCGATAATCCCAGCCACCGCAGCCGATCCCAAGATAGTCCGGTCCTTGAGGTTGACCCACGGCACAAGAGGCGTAGTCGCGTACTTCTTCTCCCAGAAGCCGAAGAGAACGAGACAGAAGATACCGAGAATAATCATGGCAATGATGTGGCCAGCAGCCCATTTCTTGGCCGTGTAGGAGACCAAGCTGAACGGCAGAAGGAAGAGGGAGAAACCGAACATGATGAGGAACATGCCGATGACTAAAGCTGGATTAGTTGTTGCCTTTCACTGTTGCTTGTCTCTGAAATCTTACCATCAAACTCGGTGCAATAGAAGAAGAAGGACTCCTTCAGAGACCGTCCACTCTGCTTCAGCTCCGGTCCTTGGCCCAACTTCTTGGCCTTGCGAAGGTTCCACCACAACATGATCGTAATCATAGATCCAAAGGCAGGGAAAATGATGGCGAACGACCCAAAGGCCCACCGGAAGCTACTTTGGGTGTAGAATAGCTGGGCAACAATAGGTCCGGCAAATGCGTTGGCAATGTACGCCGTCGAGTTAAGCGTGTAGATAATCATTCGGTTCCGAATAGATGTGGTGTCGGAGATAAGGACGGTATGGATGTAGCCAATGCCACCACTTCCGACGGCCCAGAAGACCTAGTTTTATGGGGTCAGTAACAAACCGGGCAAAGAAAGAGCAGGCCACGAACCTGTGCAGCGGCATATGTCTCCACGTTGCGGCAGACAGCCATCAACATCAGACCGAAACAGCAGAGGAGATGGGCTAGCATGTAGCCTTCCATACGACCAAAGATATTGAGAATCTTGGCGAGCGGCAACTGTGAGACACCACCAGCCAGGCCTGAGACGATACCGGTCGTGGCGGTGAGGCCATGACGGCGGAAGGATGAAGTCACGTAGGGTCCGAGGTTGCTGTTCATCTGCTGTTGCATCGAATGGGTGTAGGACGTAACCCAGATCCTAGGAAGAGCAACTGTGTCAGTCGGGGGCAATCCCATTGCTGGAGTATTAACCTGACTTACAAGATGTAGGTAAAGATGAGTGCTCTCCAGGTCCAAGCCGTGGTGATGGCCTGGATCTTCTTGACACCATTCTGCGCCTCCTCCTTCTCGTCCTCAACATCGTTATCGGCACTGATCTCAGTCGTTGTCTTTCCAGGTGTCTTTTCGTCAAGGCTCTGAGTCTGGCTCTCGGCCGCAGCCTGCTGAACGAAAGGGGAGCTCATGATGGGCTACTCTTGTCACGGTATGCCTGCCTTCTGGTGCGGGTATGCTCTGAGGTGGCGGGAAGTCACTCTCATCGACCTCACCTTACAAGAGCGAAGACCCACGGGTTATGTACTCGACTCACCATGCAGAGCAAGTCACAAAGGAGGAAACGATTTTCACGAAAAGAAGCTTAACACGAAAGAGCCAGCAGAATGTTACGTAAATCCACTCTGCCAATCCATGGTTAGTACCTGCAGCGGAACTGACAGACCGAACGAGACCAACTTTTCAAGGGTCTTTTTGGTTCAATATGACTGTCATGGACGACAAAATACCGGCATCGGACGAGATTGTACGGCACAGCGAGTAAAAAGAAAAAAACCTTCACATGGACCATGGCCGGGCGTCTTGGTCCCCTCATCGAGCAGCATGTCAGGCTGCCCAGTCTCCCCCCGGGTCTGCACGAACGAGCTCCACACGCCATGACTTGGCACTGGGCAGCATCCTTTCGTTGGTTGACTGTTGGCTGACCGGGCGAATCTATGGCCGCGAAAGGGTGTCCTAAAGCGGTATTTACGAGCCTGCTCCTTTAGATGTGGTCCCGCCAAGTGGGACATAAGACGTCGTATTAAAGACTTTGCGCGCCATCTGCAACCAGAAGCGACCATCGTGTAGCCTAAGAGGTCCCGTCTCCTTCGCGCAGGGCGGTTCCCGCGCTGGCCAACGAGCGGGCGGGATGCTGGGTCTCCGAAGGTCGTATCGCGCCGGCTTGGCGTGTGCGGTTGGCAACGGATCAGATAAAAAAATCTTTGTTGCTTGGCCCGCATGCAAGAGCGGATCTGATAAGATGAAAAGGGGGCACTCATCGGTGGGAGCCCGGGATCTGGGTGGCTCTAGGTTCTAACCGAGGGCATCTTCGGGATCCATTCGCAAAAAGGCACATGGGGCGAGAGGTGACATTTTCCTGCAACGTTATTCTGCGGCTGGCTTCATCATCTATTGGTCATGGAAGTAAGCTTATACCTGGGTGGGTTCAGATGGAACTATTTGCAGGTGGCGCGTGCTGGGAAGTTGACTGACAACTGAGTAAGTCGTGTAACCTGATTCTATCTGAGGTCACTTCATGATGCCATAGAGGACTTTACAGATTGTTTTGCCACGAGATGCAGGAGATATACTTCTCTCTCAGGTTGGTCAACTTCGGCATAATTTTTTCAAGCACCGCCGTGGGTGCGGCCCTTGTGATTAATACACGAAGATTTGCAGCTCAAGAACCAAGTCATTGGGATCCCTCGATGTTGAGATGGGGCAGAGCGGCAAGACTCCACTTAGACTGATAGGCAGCGATAGCGTAAAGCAAGGTTACGGGCAGACCATTATGGATACACGCCTGCGCCTTTTTCGGAATTATATTGAGAACGCTCCCCAAACTCGGCCGAGTTGAGTCGCGATTCTAAGGGTTAGCCAACGTTACAGACCTAACAACGAACAAAAGTTGAAGCGAGACATGTCTGTGGAGACTCGTTCTCGGATGCCTCGTCGGAATTCATATCCCGGGTGTCAGAATAGCATGCGATCTCTGTTGCAGACTTGTAGTCTTGGTGATGGTCTCGGAGACTGGCTGGAAGATTCCAAATTTGTGGATGAGCTCGTCCCACAAACTATTCTGTCTTCCCAATCTCGAATCTGACAACTTGAATCACTTTATGGAGGGGGCCAAGCATGCTGCCTCGCACAATATGATTGAAGTTGAACCAGCAAGGGAACCGAGACGCCGTTGGTTTAAGCGCAGTCATCGGAAGCAGTCTGACAGCCTTTTCTCGGCTTTACGACTGGAGGCTTTGATAATGGTCCCAGTGGTGATTTCCGTTATGGTGAAATTCACCTCTCTGTAGCATCAAATGCCCGGAAGGATTGTTGTCGAAGGGACTCGTGCAACGGCGGTCGCAACAAAGTTCACGTTGCCGATGGATGCGCTAAACCACTTTCGGGACGCTGAAAATCCCAGCCAACGACGAGTGGAGCCCCTTTTTGTCACTCCCACCTTCGTCTTACCTCACGCATCTCCGGCTGATCAAGCTCGACAGTCAAGATCAAAGGCCAAGGTGAATAATCTACCAACTACTGAATTCAGAGCATCTAACTGACCCGCCATAGGACCTTGGCCGATTTGAGCTGAGGCGCTCAGTCTGCCGTTGGACCCCAGCACCCCGTCAGGACGTTACCCCCGCGTAGATCCTCCACCCGTAACAGCACCCAAAAAAAACCATGGCCAACATCTTCCGCCAAGCCATCTCATGGCTCTACACCATCCTCGCCGTCTCCATACTCGGAACCTGGACCCTCCTTATCCTCGGCGGCGTCGGCCTCACGGCCGTAGACTCGGACCCAGGCCTCCTCCCTCTCATTGCCTTCCCCTCCCTCCTCACCTTTCTCGTCGCATAGCTCATCGTCGCCGCATCGCCCCCTACAGCAATCCAGCAGCCAACACCAGCAAACGCCCGGAATGCCGCCGCCACGGCTGCCGCGGGCGGCGGTAACCTCGCAACCTGGCTCGCAACAGCAGACTACGGCTCCCCCCACGGCGCCCTCGTCCTCCTCCTCTTCTCGGTGACCTGGCTCCTACACCTCGCGCGTGTAGTCTTCGCCCTCTTCCTCGTCGTCCTCATGGGCGCCTTCTTTGTCTTTGCGTCCTCGCTCGACGCAGCCGATAAAGAGGAGACGGAGGCCGGCGGCGAAGGTCTCTTCTCTGACGATGGCGCGCGCAAGAACTTTACTACCGCGCTCGCCGAGTTTGAGGAGAAGGCGGGGATCGGACTGGGCGATTACCTCGTTGATAACCCGTGGGTTGTCTTCCAGGTCGTTGCCGCGCTTTGGGGCATGATGAATCTGTTGCTTATGTATATCACGGTGTATGCTCTTGGGGCGTTGAGAAAGGTGTTGACGACGCCGCTTGAGGCTTGGGCGAGGGGTGGTCAGGAGGTGGCGGCCTCTGCTCTTGTGGCTGCGGGGACTCCGGCGGCAGCTGCAGCAGCAGCAGCAGCAGCAGAGACGAGGTCTCCGGTAGTAGTCGTTGAGAAGGAAAGGGTGGTCGTGCCGGCCGAAGCGCAACCGACGAATTGAGTGATGGCGGACACGAAAGAGAGAACGGGGTGGACATCTAGATGAGCAAGGTGGAGAGCAAAAGGAGGACGATTCGTATCTGGATCTGTAGCTTCCCGTCGCCAAGCCGGGCCGGTGAACAAGCTCGGACCGGGAGAGGGTGCGTGGGGACTACGGACTCAGCTCCGGGTGGGTCTCCGGCAGCTGCCCGTCCAACTTCTCCCCCGGTGAGGCAAACGGGACAGGACAGGGAAGGAGCAAACCACATATAGGTACCTGCCCTCAATGAAATATACTAGACCCAGTGACCCTAAACCAGCCCGCGCCCGATCAAGAAGCGCTTGCCCTCTGCTCTCAGTATCTCTCAATCAACCAAGGCAACCGTGGTGCAGTGGTTTAGCATTCCAGCCTCCCATCTAGGGAACCAGCTGGAGACCTGGGTTCGAACCCCGGCGGTTGCAATCACTCCTTTTTGAATCGTTGCAATAGTTCTATTATAGCAAGGGAGCTTTTCCCCTTTTGATCAGCTTGGCTCAGAGGCCGTGGCTATCCTTCACGTCCTCCTCCGAGCTTTTACAAGTCACATCCTAATTTCTCCCAAGGATTAAGAAGATAATAGAAAAGAAAGAGTTCACCCCCTCGGTGCTGAACTGAGGGGTACATCTCTTGATGCTCATGCTGGCATTCGAACTCGGGCGGTCTGTCGTCGATTAGGCTGTTGGCGGAATTTGATTATTGACCTTAGACCACTCCACCACCCAGCCAGTTTGACCTGACCCGTCGACCTAGACGGGCGCCTTCTGGCTGGTGACAGGAAGGGAATTGAGATGAATTATATTCCCTTCTCGTCGCAGCATGTGGAAGGTACGGTCTGGTCGTACTTGCCTGGCAGCCAGCACTCCTTGAAACCTTCCATATCATCTCAATGACGCCCATCAATGACACGAATGGTAGACTACAGCAAGGTCATGAAGGGTGTCTTTAAAGCAGGTGATGAATATTGTCGTCGTTTTGTTTCATGATGGAGCCAAAACGTGCCTTCCAGGCATCCCATCTGCGCAATATCAATGCCAAGGCTTCACTAGACTAGACGGCGTGGTTTTGCCATGTGACGACCCTGCCACTGGGCCTCCTTCGATCATTGATATCGGCTTCACTTGTTCTCGGTAAATGAACTCAACCAGAATTATCATTAAATCAACTACCTCCAGTCTACTTCTACTTCTTCTACGTGATCTAGTTGTTCCGTGTACCCAAATCCCTCTGGCAAAGTAACCCCAATCCACGCCATGCATCGCAAAACACGCACACCTGCTCTTCCACTAGCCTCCCTCTGCCTCCTCATATACTAGCAGCCTCCAAGATTCGACAAGCCTCGACAATCTTCTCCGTAATCCCATCGACATTCGTCCAAGCAAACATATCAAAATGACTCCCCTCCGTCAGCAGCACCTCCTCCACAAATCCAGGACAATACCCATCCCACCCAAGCTTCTCATCCCCGCGATACACATCCACAGAGCTGATACCCTCCACCGGCATCGGCACATGTTCCTTAGCCTTGACAAGCACAGCCCGCGGCGGCCTCTCCCACACAACCTCAGCCGTCTCCTTCTCCTCCTTGGAGACGTAAAAGTCCTTTTCCACGTCTCCGCCGTCTGCCGCTCCCGCTCCCGCCGTCGTCTTCTCCTCTCCGTCATCATACCCGGCAGCCTTGGGAACCGACACCTCCGCCTCGCCCGCAGCCCCGCACCTAGGCATCTTCCACACCCTCACCACCTGCCCCGCCATCTTCATCGCCCTCTTCGCGAGCCTCACATTCTTTGGCTCCTCCGTCTCCCTCTTCTCGTCCTCCACAAACCTCCCAATCTTCAGACTCGATCCCTCGGGCCAGACGGGGTAGACGCTATCCACCATCACCAACCCCATAATCTCGATATCGCGATCCTCATCCCCGATAAGCCTCGCAATCTCTAACGAAAGCAATCCGCCCAGACTCCACCCGCCCAACAGAATCCGCCTCCTCTTCAGTCTTGCCCCATCGGCGGTGGTGGTGTATGAGTACGGCGCTTGGGCGGGGTACTCCCTCCCCTTTGTGACGGTGGTCCGAATCATTTGGAGGTAGGCGGCCGCCATCTCCGGGACGCCGCCTTCCCATGGGACACCGGAGTGAAAGCGCGGGTTCGCGATGCCAAAGACGGCGCGGCCCGCGAGCTGGGAGAGGCAGTGGTAGGCGAAAGTTGTGCCGCCGCCGTCGTGGATGAGGATGAGGGGCGTGAGGGCCTGGCCGCGCGGGGTGGCGGGCTGGATGACTTCGCATTCTTTTGGGGCTGGATGGGTGCGCATTTTTATTTATTTATTAACGTTTCTGAGGTTGTCCACCTCTTTGGATGTTTCTGGGTGCGTTGGGGTGGTTGTGAGAGTGAGGTAGGGTGAGTGAGATGACGGGATCGCGGGCCGATCTTGAGATCGCAATCGGAAAGTGCTAATTCTCACAGTACGGAGCCGATGCGGAGATTTTTGACTCTCTCTTTTCCTTCGCAGACTGGTAATCGTAAGCTGACCAAGGCAGATTGATGTGATTAAGGTGAGTTGTAAGAAGAGAAGAAGGATCTCCGCGACGTGATAAGAGCGAGGAGGCAGTTTTCAGTGAGATTAAGGATGACTGAAGGGTGAGTGAGAAAAAAAAAAAGGCAAAAGAAAAGATGAGATGAGATTTGCGCACGTCGCAGAGTCGCTACTGCGCCCACCTTTACAGTTACAGGCTCATAAGCACATGCAAGAACGGACGCCGCAGATACAGCAGCGCCCAATAGCCTGGCTTCCCTAGATTCCTTGACGCACTCAGCAGCCCCAGTTTCCTTACAGTCTGCAGCGGGGCGCGAGGGGGAGGGGGGGATTCCATTCCCTTCCGCATCGGCGTTCGGCGGTCCCGTCTTCGGAGGGGGAGGGGGACCCACCGGTTCGGAGGTTTTTTGGGTTGAGGTGCTGCACTTATTTGTCGCCGAGTCGGGGGCCGAGCATCATTCTTTCCTGGTAGTTATAGGACTAGGTAAACATTAGAGTATTCCATTCTACTGAGGATGGATTGTTTCGCACTCCTAGGATTGAACTGCAATGATTTCCGTCTGAGAAAGGAACCGAGGCACAAGTCGATTCCCCTGTACTTGCAACATGACACTGCCTTAGATCATCAGCACAAGAAGATATGCCCAGGTGACTTCTCTTCCATCACCTCTTCATAACGTGATTCCATTTGATGCAATCTAGTTTAGATCTACCCACATCGTCCACTCGCAAAACTCCCTCAGGCCCTGAGCGAATACTTCAACAATAGCTTTTCCCTTGGCTTGGACGCCGAGTGCCTGTTGCGATCCACCGAATCCTGGGGCACCCTCGCCATCTTGTTCCCCTTGGCGTCCACCAGGTGATAATCGAACCTCGCGACGAAGAGCGCCGTCGTGACAGCCATTTCCATTTTCGCAAACTGTTTCCAAAATTGTCAGCAAATATGTCCACGCAAAAGAGTTGATGGAACCCTCTCTCTCTCTCTCTCTCTCTCTATAAGGCGAAGGCATCTCGGCAAAATAAAAAACACCAAACATGGAAAGCAACCAAGACAAGAGAAAAGAAAATAACTCACCCTCATCCCAAGACACGGGTGCCTTCCAGCACCCCACCCAATAAACGCATGCGGATCCTTCTTATCCTCCTCCCGCCCAGGCAAATATCTTCCCGGATCCCACCGCAACGGCTCCGGAAAGAACCCCGGATCCATATGCGTCGTATCAAAATGATACACCACATACGAATCATGCGGCACGACCTCACCACTGGCCCCAATAGCAACATCCTTCCCGCTCCCATTATACCGGAAACCGCACCCCGTAATCGTATGCCGAATCGTCTCCTTCAACCCCAAATCAATCATTGGGAACTCGGCCTCCCACGTCTCCATATCAAGCCTTCCCAGAATCTGCTCGGGCGTCTCCTCCTCGGACCGACGATGCTTCGCAATCACACCGTCAACCTCCCTCTGAATCTCCTCGTACCACCTCTCCTCCGTCGCCAGGAAGCACAACAGGTACGCGGCGTTGATCCCGCTATTAATCAACCCCGCAAACAGCGCGCCCACGATAAACGCAACCATCTCGACCGTGCTATCCCCATTCTCCATCAAATACTGCAGCGCATCGCTCCCCGGAACCCCGCGGTCCTTTCGTTCTTTAATCACCTTTTCCAGAATCATGTACATCTGCGCACCGCTGTACACCCTCCTCAAGTGCCCCACCGTCGGCATCCAAGGAAACATCACCTTTGTCGCCGTGCTCGCGCCATCGATCCCCTCGAAAATCCGCAGCACGCGCTGAAGCAGGTCCTCGTCTTCCGCAATCTCGTCGCAGCCCACCATGCGCATGGTGAGCTTGAAGACGAGGCGGTACATGTCTTCGAACGGGTCGCTGATGCCCTCCGTTGCGCCGATGCTACCGGCCGCTATGGGGAGTGTGGTCTTGCCGATGCGGGACGCGAGTTCGTCCATCGTGTCGCGCGTGTCTTTGATGAGCAGCGGGAGGCGCGTGTCGAGGAGTTCTTTGCGGAGGAGCTTGACGAGGTTGCGGTTGAATTTTACGCCGAAGCTGTCTTCTTCGGCTTGGCTGTTTTTGGCTACGTCGATGCGCGGGGTCGCGTTGAAGAGGGCGCCGTATCTGTAATGTATGTGTTAGCCGATCTCGCAATCCTCGAATCATCCGTATCACGAAACCAACGACTACCCTGCTCCCAACATCAAAAGCCAGGAGACGAAGGAGACTCACCCCTTTGTAAAATCCAAATCCCGACTCTCAAAAAACACATGCCGCCCAGCATCCCCCGACAACCCAACGATCCTCATCTTGCCAAAATAAAAACTCCAGTTCCCGAACCGCCCAAACCGCGCCCCCTCGCTCAGGAAATTCCCCCGGTCCGTAAAGAAGCGCGGCGTCCCGAGCACGGGGTACCCGCGAAACACCTTTGGCGCATTCCGCGGAAAGGAAGGACGGTAGGCGAGGAAGCCGACGGCGTAGGCGAGACCCGTGAGGAGGAGGACCCAGATGGAGGTCGGCCAGGTTTGCGGATTGAGGAGGGTTTGTTTTGCTGCTGTTGCCAGGGACATTGTTGGCGGCGATGTTTTCTTCCCCGTTCTGCGGTAGCCTGATCTTGTTCGGTGTTTTGTTGCCTGGTTCTTTCTCGCGAGGAGTAGACACCTCTCTCGTAGATCGTCTTCTTTATCTGGCGATGTTTCTTTCCCAAAGGCTTCCAGAGGGCCCGACGAGGAAGATGAGATGAAAGCTCCGTGGCAAGAAGATGGAAAAAACAGAGTTGACAATGAAGGAGGAGCAACGATTAAGGTAAGAGAGGAGTAAGAGACAGGAACGATATCAGTCTGCGTAATAAGAGCAGATGAAAGTGGGTGTGGCCCAGCTGAGACGAGTCCGTTCGAAACGCTCGGGCAGAGAGAGAGAGAGGAGCGAGGAAGATGGGACTAACACCAAGCGACCAACTACTCACCAGCTACCCACCATCTACCCTGCCACCAAAAAAACTCATAGACATCAGCACTTTTCCCTAATGGCTTGGATTCTGGCGCTAAGGCAAGCGTGGCAAAGCTGCCAGACGAAGGAACTTTGGGAACCTTTGTCCTAGTCTTCGACCTCACCACGACCCCTCATTCTGTCTCGAGCAGACATACGGGTAGATCCCTACTCCAGCAACGCACCATCCTAGAAGAGGGAACACTCCAAACATTTCCAGCTGTGGCTTTTTCCCGCGCAAGCTTTCCTGGGGTTCCCGCCTGACCGCATCAGGTCCCTGGATTCTTGAGTGTACCGGTATGATGCTAAATGGTTTGGCTAGACGATGTCGTGCCGGCGTGGCAAAAGAAAAAGCCAAATCAAAAGCTCCAGGAAAGCATTCCTCAAGGAATTCAAGGATGTAAGCTCCGGCCACGGAAGAATAAAACTCTCTCCCCCCTCCGCGCGCCCGCGAGTCCTCGGTCCCTCTTGACGGATCCAGAATATCGAAGCGGGAAATTGCGCAAGCTTGCGTACACAGTAAGATCCGTGACGATGGACGACGGGCTCTTGACGTTTCTGGATCCATTGAGATGCTCACAAACACGAAACTCCCCATTGGGCATAGACCCAGGCCCAGGATCTGGTCAAACAGTCCACCGCGATCTGCTTCCCTCCCTCGGCGACCTGCATTCCATCACGCAGGACCTAGCTCGAGTAGCTAGCTAGCTAACTAGCTAACTTGCCGTACGTGCGTGCTTGCCTTGGTATTGTCAGACGTAGTCTTGATAGCTGCAGCAAGCAGCCGCCGGACCTCCTCGCCTCGGTGCTTTTGGAGTGGCAGGGAGAGAGCTTGAGAAGCAGGCAACCAAACGCCGAGAAACATACAAGGCATCAATGAACCCCCGCCGGATCAGCCGCTAGTGGCAGACGGCGCACGGCAGATGCGTTAGCCGAAGGTGAAACTTTCCAACCGTTGAGGGGGGGGGGAGGAAGGCAGGGGACCGGGGTGTTACTACGGTGTTCGCGCTGCATATTCCTTTCCGTTTGGAGATGCCAACAGCCGGAGCTTGTCTTGCGTATTCGCTCTCTTAAACGAGGTAGACGAGCGGGCGCGCATACCGGTATCACAATAGGCGTCGTTCACCGCCCTCAGATACTTGTCGATGCATCGGTTGGAAATACTCGGACATGGCGCTTCTCAGAACAGTCCCTGTATCCCCATCATCTGATATCCGGAATGCCATTGCGTCTAGAAACGTGCAGCTTCGTATACCTCGCAATCTCTCGTTTATTCATAGGCTCTTCAGTCTTCTCCCAGGTCCTAGGAAACTCTGTATAACCTCCCCCACCCGTTACTACCGCCCCACGCAATCCCATAGAACTGATGTATACTACCTACTCCGTCCAAGAAAGACAGACTTTACATCTGCGCCGGGATTTGAACCAAACAATCAACGGTTCCCCCTCCCGTTTCTTCCTTTCCTTTCCCCCAATTACCCTCCGATTTGCATTTGTCCAGACAGCCGCAATACCTACCCGTTCATCACCAAACCACCAACCGTCATATCCATCTACGATTCTACGCTCCCGCGGGTCGCGTGAATAAACCTCCCGAGTGGGAGGACTAGTAATAATCCCGGAACCTCGTCTCTAATACCCCCTCTGCCCCTCCTCACATCTTCCATTGTGGGCAAAACATTGGCCACGTTCAATTCTATCCATCATCTCAACTCAAGCTCCTCTGAATACTCTTCGTGACTTATCCCCAGCACACGGGTCTCACCCGCCAGTGACGCACAGCACAGATAGACCTATCCGAGACTAACCGGCGAGAACACTTGATATTTCACACCAAAATAGCACCCCAATCTAATAGCTCAAGCGAGCATGAACATCTAAAGCCAAGTCAAGACTTCGGGCTCTTGAAATCGTATACTTCTAATAGACCTAAAGGAAAAGGGGGTATCGTCTAACAATACATGCTATGCCACCATTCAACTCATTCCAGAAACCTCAACCATCCGACCAAGGTCTCCTATTCACATTGTTCATCGAACAGTACCGAGGGGCAGCATCTTCGCTCCCCATCACGGGACCAACTCCAACATCTACACCACAGCGCAGTCCAACAACACATCTGTCCTGCAACCCCAGGCCACCAACTTTACTAGACAGCTTCCCAATCCATAGCCTCAACCATGAAATCAAACTCATCCTCCTCCATCTCAACAACCTCACCCCCACCACCTTGACCACCACCGACCCCCACCTCCGCCTGCACCCACTGCTCCGCAACCGCATACCCAGCATCGAACCCGGCAAAGATGTACCTAAAAATCCTGTCCAGGTCATAACTCTCCAACGGCGCCGTCCCAGCCCTCTCCCTCGCCGCCATGCTAGCCCCCACGGGCCTACCCGTTTTCCCCTTGCCGTCTGGGTCGGTCGGATCCTCGGCATACTTCCACCGATTCCGCAGCTCCTTGGCTCTCAACAGCTGGAACACCACCTCGCCGCTCCCCAGCGCCTCATGAAGCGGGTTATCCTCCTTCTCCAGCGCGGCAATCACGTTCTGGTGGTACGTATGCGTCGCCTGCTGTGTCCCGTTCCCCTGCTTGGTCATCGTGGTCGTGGTAACCCACCCGTCCCTCGAAATCGTAATCCCAAACACCCCCATCAGATGCACCAACGCTCGCTCCAGCAACATGTAATACTCGTAAAAGTCGAGCTTGAACATGAGCTCCGCCTCCTCGGCGTCCGTCTCGCCCCCGTACAGTGGGGATCCAGGCCGTGCTATGGCGTGGTGGTATCCGTGGCTCAGGTACGGTAGCTTCCATTTCAGTCGGCGGACGATTTGGATGTATCGCTTGAACTCCTGCTGCGACGAGGGGCCGCCGATCGGTCGAGGTATGTGAGGGGGAGTTGTGGTGGTGTTGCCGTTGCTGTTGGGTGTAGCTACGGGCGTCGAGGCAGTCGAGGCAGTCGAGGCAGTCGAGGCAGTCGAGGCAGTCGAGGCAGTCGAGGCAGTCGTGGCTTGTCGGTAGGCGCCGTTCTTGATCGGGGAGGGCGGTCGTGGTGCCGCGGGTGTGATGACGGACGAGACAAACTGGTTTGGCTGGTATTTGTACGAGGGCTGGGCTTTGCCTCGGGCGGCCCAGATGGAGTTGCCCAAACCCTTCTTGGGTTTCGAGATGGTGTTCATTTCGAATCTTGGGGCGTCGGCCGTGTGGGCGTGTGTACGCAGTCGTTACTTCTTTTTCGTTTTCGGGGTCAATGGCGGTCGCTTTTGTCGCAGAGGGGTTATCCGTGCAGGGAATCAAGGCTGCCCAGTAATGTGTATGAACGGGCAACACAGGAAATGTATTTGAATTCCAAGAAATCAACAGAAGGCTCAACACCAAGCTGGTACAAGAATCGTCGCGGGGATGCTAGTTCGATGGCATTGGCGGATGCACACAAACAATAGATCGTAGAGACTGATGGTTAGAAAGAATGTTTGCGAGTAACAACGTTGCCGCTGATACATCAATCGACAAAGATGCTGGTCAAAGGAGTCGGCGGCCTCCTTTGGGTTTCACGTCGTTGTTGGTCTGGTCGGCGTCAATCGACCTTGTCGGAAAAGAGAAGTCAAGACGTTGTCTGGTGGTGGTGGTGGTGGTGGTGTTGAATAGGTACCTAGAGGATGGTGGGGTTGGAACGGTATGTGCACAGGTTCCGGGCAGGTGCAGCGGGGAGACGCGCCTGACGCGTGCCAATGGAAGGTACCCATGGAAGGTGCTTAGGTCACCTCAGGTACGTCACTTGGGCCTTTCATTGTTGTATCCCTGAAAGGCGGGGAGACCTTTGTCGGCAGGAACCTCGTGGTGCCTTACCTCAGCGCCCCAAGGTCCCCTAAAGCATAGGTAGGTACTCCAATCAACACACCATCTCCAAGTGCCTCACCAATATCACCACCCTCATTCTCCAAGTCCATGTGTACAAAGTGCCCTCGGGCTTGTATTGTATGTCGAAATCGTACTCGTACGTATTTCTAGGATATACAGCTTCAACAATGCCCCGTCAACCACGCAATAAATCCTCCAACGCCGGTCCCGGTTACGGTGACTCTCATCCAAGAACGCCTTCATCAGCCATCCGGCCGGTCTACTACGCCTTCTTCGTAGCCTTGGCAGTGCCAATATGGGTATTATGAACCTGCTTCGCATTAGCATCATGGTCTTACACCAGATTGTTGATCGCGAACTCACTTTGGTAGCAAAACGCAAACTCGTCACCGTCTCCTTCAGATGCGCCTCCAACGGGCTGACCATCACAAACATGAGCGTCTTGCTATTGCCTCCGAGAGAGTACTGAAGCAGATGCGTCAACTTCGAGTTGCGATATGGAATGTGCCCGCTCTTCTTGCCGAGTGCCTCAATCACATCCCCGAGACACGACAGAGACTTGTTGATGTTCTGTGTCTCCCTCATCCTGGCGCCCTCGGCCTGCGAGTGTTTGAGCCGCTCAGAGCCAGCAAGATCCACCAGGTTCAGCGTACCCTCGCAACGCTCTCCCGTTGCCGAGTTGTAGCCAGACAGCTTCAGGATGAAGACGCTGTGCGAACGCGACGACCTCTCGTTGGCCTTGGTAGCCGCCACCGATCGGTTGTTCTGCGCCTCAGCAAGCATCACCTCGACCGTGTCGGCTGAATCAAGAGACACCGTCTTGCAGTTGAGCACTGCTGTCTGCTTGCGTGCGTCGTCGTGCCGAATCTCGAGCTTGCGCCCCTTGCCGTCTGATTCACGGCTGTTGGGTGTCAACAAGTCGTTGAGTTCCTCGTTGTATACTTCAATGAAGGAGCCCTCCATCTTGTACGTCCACTGCTTCTCCTTCAATTTGGTAACCGTGTCGTAAATCATGTGTGTCGCGCGAGGAATCATGCCGTCTGCCGAAGACATGGTGTGCGTCTTGCCAGATCCCGTCTGGCCGTAGCAAAAGATGCACACGTTGTATCCGTCAAGTGCACTCTGCACAAGCTGCGAGATCTCATCAAAAACGTCTTGGTTCTGGGCTGAAGGGTCAAACACCCTGTCAAACTCAAAGTTGATGTTCTTGTTCGAGACGTCACCGAAACTGTTCACTTCCTGTGTCTGCAGTGCAATTTCTGCAGATGTCTTCTCGTCGGGGAACGTGACCTTTGCCGGCGAACCCTCTGATGGGCTCAGTACAGGACGGACTCTGCACATGACGCGGATGTTGCCCTTGAGCTCCTGGTACTTGTTGAAAAGAACGCGACGCTCCGTCTCCTCCTTGATGAGCTTCTCCTCGGCCACCTGAGCAGCCTTGAGCGCTTCCTGGAGTCTGGCTTCCATGTTGGAGAAGGAGTCTGACTGAGCCTTACTGTCAGACTCAAGGAATTCGACATGAGACTTGAGCGAGTTGATCTTGGCCTCCAGGGTGACGTTGGAGGCAGAGAGCTCCGAAATGCTAGCTTCAAGACCCTTCTTGAGACTCTGCTCGCGGTCCAAATCTCCCTTGAGAGTCTCTACGACGCCTCTCATTTCTGATACCTCTCGGTCCTTCTTTTGGAGGATGGTGTTGAGGTCTTGTTGCTCGTGACCAAGTCGCGTCCGTAAATCTGACACCTCCCTCGACTTCTGGTGGCGTTCCTCTTCAATCTCGGCCTTGAAATGTCGGTCAAGAGCATCCAAAGCCTCACGGTGACTCTTCTCCGCTCGTTGTGTATCATCCTTGAGCTCGCGCCGCAGCTCATCGAGCTCATGGCGGTGTTTCCGGGCCTCATCCTCGAGCTCATACTTGTGGCTGCGTTTCTCCGTCTCGGATTCAATTGTTAGTTTTTGCATCTGGTCGCGCATGTTGTTGATCTCATTTTGGAAATTTCCGTTGCGGTCTTCGAGTTTGTCTCGTTCCGCTTCGAGTTCCGATACTGCCAGCCGATTAGTTCAGTCCGCGCTAGCTCGTCGTCCGAACTACTCACTTCTCTTCTTGTACATCTCCACTCGCTCGTCCATCAGCTCCTTGTCGGAGAGCATGACAGTCATTGACTCCTTCACCTGTTTGAACTGCGAGTCAAGCTCGGCAACCCTGCCCTCGACATCCCAGCCTACGAATTGAGTCAAGTTAGAATCTTTTGTAAGAAAGTGAGGTCTAGGAGGAGAAGGGGATCTGGCTGGGGACCTTGAGTCCTTGATGGCCAGAATTGTTTCCTCGAGTCTTTCCATCATGGCCCTCGATCGCTTAGAATCTGGTGAAGGGGTGACAGGATCGGTCATGCGACTGGCCTGCCTCTTCTTGGGCGACAGATCTGGCGGTTTCATGAGGGCCTTTCGTGATGACGCGCGCATGGTGACGTTGTCCACTTGCGCGTTCTTCGCCATAGTCGAGATTGAACTGATGCTGGTATCTCCATGTTGACTGAAAACCACTTGATCTTCATCTTGTGCTGAGCTTGTAGTACTGGCGTCGTCCTTGATGGATAGTGCGCCAAACCGACTGCTGAGAGAAACTTCTCTGTGCGAATGCATTTGTGACGTGTGACTGGCATGTCTAGCCTTGCTAGGCTGAAATTCAAGGGGTCGCGGAAAGTTCAGTCGCTGGGATTGCAGAGCCGTACCATGCTGTTGTTCTATTGGTCCATCAAACTCTTCCTCTGATCGATGACCGTATGCCGTGCGCGGTCTCGTATGCGGGTTGGCGTTTCGGGTCCGGGGCTGTCCGTGTACCGACTTTGAATGAGCAAGGGAGGATTTCGCGCGTTCATGGCCATGGGGGCCGACGCTCGCGGAGAAGTTGCTGGTCTGATTGTATCGTGATGTCGTCGTTCCATTTCGAGGTCTGATATTATCTGGGTTTTTGAGCTACTGCGAGTCAGCATGCGAGCTACATCTGGTTGTTTTGAGCGAGCATTGGGCGGTACACAACGCAGCTCATCCCTGTCGTCCGTCTTGTCGTCGTATTCCATGGCCGGGTAGCATTTGCCCTCTTCGACCTCGGCGTCTAGGAGGAGTCGAATGCCGCTACGTGGGTTGTCGCTGTCGCTTTGCATTCCGAGCCACAGTTGTAGTCTACCGGAGACGCAGCGCATGTACGTTGGCGCAGAGACTGAAGAACCGTTCCGAGGACGAGAGCGTGGTCGACTGAGGGCGTCTTCGTCCCAGGGAAGCGGGAAGGACGCAAGCAGCCTTTGCCAAAAGTATGGTCGAGGAACGGACTGGATAGTTGCTCGCCAGATTTGCCGTATAGAGCGAAAAAGATGCACCGCTATCCACAGAATCATCCGAAAACCATTAAGCCGGAGAACGATGCTGGAGGCCGTAGTCGACTCGGGGGCCATGTCCAAGGAGAAGCTCGACGCAGGATTGCCGGGGATGAGAATGCGAGGTGCACGATTCACAGAGACGCAACACAACGAAACCGGGGACCTACCTCTGCCAACGTCGACCCGGGCACCCGCCTGACAGAAGGCGCTCTGGCGATGCCAGAAGCACCCGCGCCTGCCGCCGCCGAGGATGAGTGCTTGGTCGGGTATTCGCCTGCCCTCTCGGCGAGGGTCTTGTGGTGCTTGGTAGCCGAATGCTCAGCTATAGAAGGCACGGTCAGCAGTTGCCGCCACCGCGACCACGACGACGTATCCCACCGCCGCCGCAGCCCGGGAGGATAGTAGGACCAACCTGGCTTCGGGACCTCCCTCTTCAAGTTCATCGCGCTGTTGAGCGAGCCGATCTTGGATGCGCCCGGCGGCGGTATCATGGACGGGTGCGCGCGCGTGTTGCTTTGCGATTCGTTCATTTCGGACAGGCCTGAGGAGAAGGCGCCTGGTCGCGGGAGGTTACTCTGAGGTCGGATGACGGAGGACCGGAAGTGGTGTTGCTGTGAAAGTGAATGTTGTCAGCTGGGCGCCTTGCTCTATGGTGGGTTTGCTGCATCATGGCCTTTGCGACCATTGTCAAAGCTTCATTTCCCGCGTCCGAAAGAGAGACATACCGTATTCTCCGCAGTGTCCATGTTGAGGATGCTGTCTACGCGACGAGCTACAACAGGTATGATGATGTGGGACACGAGGAGCAGCGCTCCGGTTCTGGACGCGGTGGGAGAAGACGTTGTGAAGTTGGAGCAGGCATACAACAAGGAGCAGCGACACTCGAGAAAAGAGTCCACAGCTATGATTGCAATATGGGGAGGGGTGTGGGTTGTGAGCGTGGGATTTGTTTGCTGGGCTTCCCAATCGGGGGCTGTGGAGGTGCATCACCAGGGTCTGAGTGTTTACTGTGAATTGTGTACACACTCAAGGGACTCTGCACATACAACTGCGACAGCCGGGGTGTGGATGGCTGCCCGGGGCAACGGGAATTGTGCAACGCTGACATAATCCATCACTCAGAGCACTTAGGTAACCAGGCTGGCTACATCTGGGTTGTCACTTCCCGCATTCCTGCCTCAGGCCTGAAGAGATCACAAGTCCGAGGTTTTGCCTGATGACAGCTTACCTCAGCAAGATTAGGTTCTCAGGCATGAACTGACGGGAGAGCGGGGCCGCTGCTGTCCAGATTTGGTAAGCGGTCGCGCAACAGCTCCTCTTCCCACTCCGTGCCTAGTGTAATGCATCCCATCCCGCAGCCAGGCGCAACCGCAACGTGGTGGTCTTTTTTATTTTTTTTATTTTTTAATATTTCACATGTCACTGCTGGCCGCCGCCGCACCATGACGTTGGGAAGCTCATTCGCCAGCTCACGTCGCATCTAAGATTTGTTTGTCTTGCTGCTCCCCAACGGACCAGGAATTCGGTGCTGGGAGACCACACAAGTTACGTGACACGAGAGCAGCAACAACTCCCGAGTCTCACTCCATTTTCTGTTCATTAGCTTTCCCCCTCCTTCTGCTGCTTGACTGTTCTTCTCAACGTCCTTGCGTTGGTCCGTATTCCGCCCTTTCTTACGCCAAGTTCCGACTAAACATCACGACCTTTGCGATCCGGAGCCTCATGTCGCCGTGATTCTTCAGCCTACCTACCCTCCGCTCTCCCGGTCAGCTCGGACTTATACGACCTCTACATCTCACTGTTACAACTCCACCGCCTCCCACGATGGAGAAGTTTAGCCAGTTCCGCGACAAAGGTCAAGACATCCCATCCACCATCAACATCCTACGGTGAGAACTAACATCCCCCAGGCTCGGGCATCTCGCCCTTCATCCCCGTCAAAACAGCCCTCTCCCCCCTCTCCTCAATCTTCCACACCTTCCTCTTCTTCATCCGCCTCCCCCTCTTCCTCACCTACGCAGCAACATACTTCCTCTTCCTCCAACACCTATGCCCCTTCCTCCCCGTCGCCGTCCGCAAGGTCCTCCTCTGGGGCATGATGGGCATCCCCGGCATCTGGTGGGTCGACCTCCAGCTCGACGGCGTCCGCCGCGGCACCCTCGCCGACCAACCCCCGCAGCGCTTCCCCCACCCCGGGTCCGTCATCGCCGCAAACTTCACCTCCCCCATCGACGCCGTCTACCTCGCCGCAATCTTCGACCCCATCTTTACAATCTCCTACCCAAACACCAGATCCGTCGAGCGAATCTCCCTCCTCCGCGCCGTCTTCTACGCCCTCTCCCCCGTCCGCTTCGCCCCGTCGCCGTCAAACCGAAAACTCACCGACCTCGCCACCCTACAAACCCGCTACCCAGACCGCGTCGTCGCCGTCTTCCCCGAGGGCGGCACCACCAACGGCAAGGGCGTCCTCCCCTTCACACCCTCTCTCCTCGCCGTCAGCCCCGAAGTCCACATCTTCCCCGTCAGTATCCGCTACACTCCCGCCGACGTAACGACCCCGATCCCGGGCCGCTGGTTCAAGTTCCTCTGGGACCTCCTCTCCCGCCCGACGACCTGCATCCGCGTCCGCGTTGCCGAGAGTATCCTCAATTCCTCCGCCGCCCAGACCAACGGCGTCTCGTCTTCTGTGGCTGCTGGCGAGACTGCTCAACGACGAATCGGAGCCGGAGGCGGCGATGCGCCCGCGCTGTCGATCGAGGAACAACGGGTGTTGGATAAGGTTGGCGAGGCTCTCGCGAGGCTGTGTCGGAATAAGCGCGTCGGGTTGACGTTGCGGGATAAGGCTGCGTTCATCGAGGCGTGGAACGGGCGCAAGTGAGCTACCTAAGGCTTTCCCAGAATCACCCATAAACAGCAGGGGACGTGATGGGGTGAAGGGATGTTGGTTCAGGCAGCTTGGTGGCCGTCGTGCTTTTGCGTTTTTGCCAGGGTGTTATTGCATAGCTAGGAGCTTCGGAGGCGCTCGTTGTGCCATGTTTCGATGCGAGTGGAAGTCAAAAAAGCGGCATGGGTCGGGGCTTCTGTTAAAGGGAATCCGCTATGTAAAGGAAAGTGCAGTTTCGACGTTGTGAAGTGTGTCTTTTTCTTGGGACTACGCATACCATAAGTACCTATTGAATTCATGTTCAACTGTCCTTGCCTTTTTGAAAAGCAACACACTCGTTGTTCAATCTACCGAGACTCTCTGTACGATGAACCAACGTGAAACAAAACTCCGATTTTGGACTACCTTTTCCGAAGCCGTACAAGAAGATGGTATAACAGTGTAGAAGAAACCTCTAATAGATAAAAGATGAGGAAACATAACCCCGCCGCTCCCTTTTTGAATTCCGCCAAAGAGAAAATTGACCAAAAAAGAGGAACATCTCCTCCCTCCCCCTCTTTTTCCTTTCTTTCAAGCCCTCGGGACGCCAAAAGCTTAGATCTTGCCGTCTGTGACACATCCAGAGCTGGCATCGCTCACAAGAGCAGAGTACTTCTTCAGCGTACCCTTGGTATACTTGGCCGGCGGTGCCACCCACTTGGCCTTGCGCTCCGCCATCTCGGCATCCGACACATTCGTATCAATCACTCTCTTCTCCGCGTCAATCGTAATCTCATCCCCATCCTGCACCAACCCAATCGGTCCGCCCTCCATCGCCTCAGGCACAATATGTCCAATCAGGAAGCCGTGAGAACCACCAGAGAACCGTCCGTCCGTCAACAGCGCGACATCCTTACCGAGACCGGCGCCCATGATGGCGGAACTGGGCTTCAGCATCTCAGGCATACCGGGGCCGCCCTTGGGTCCCTCGTAGCGGATGATGACGACGGTCTTCTCGCCCTGCTTGATTTCGCCGCGCTCCAGGGCGGCGATAAAGCCGTCCTCCTCGTCGAACACGCGCGCCTTACCCGTGAAGACGAGACCTTCCTTGCCGGTGATCTTACCCACGGATCCGCCGGGCGCGAGCTGGCCGCGCAGGATCTGAATGTGGCCCGTCGGCTTGATTGGGTTGCTGAAGGGGCGGATGATGGGCTGGTCGGCAGGGAAATCGGGCGTGCTTTCGACGTTCTCCTTCATCGTCTTACCGGTGACGGTGATACCCGAGCCGTCGATGAGACCTTCCTTGAGGAGGAACTTGAGGAGGCCGGGCGTGCCGCCGATGCGGTGCATGTCGGCCATGACGTACTTTCCAGAGGGCTTCAGGTCAGCCAGGAAGGGCGTGCGGTCCGAGACGGCCTGGAAGTCGTCAACGGTGAGTTTGATGCCGACGGAATCGGCAATGGCGAGCAAGTGGAGGACGGCGTTGGTGCTGCCTCCAAGGATGTTGACGACAACCATGGCGTTCTCAAAGGCCTGGCGGGTCATGATGTCGCGCGGGCGAATGTCCTCCTTGAGGAGGTTCTTGATGGCGGGACCAATGTTCTCGCACTCGGCCTTCTTGGCAGCGTCCTCGGCGGGACTGCTGGAGCTGTGCGGCATCGTCAAGCCGAGGGTCTCGATGGCGGTGGCCATTGTGTTTGCGGTGTACATGCCTCCGCAGGCACCGCTGCCGGGGCAGGCGTTGCGGATGATGTCGAAGCGCTCCTCCTCTGTGATCTCGCCGGTGATGTACTGGCCGTAGGCCTGGAAGGCGGAGACGATATCAATGGACTCGCCGCTCTTGCTGCAACCGGGCTTGATGGTGCCGCCGTAGACCATGATGCTGGGGCGGTTGACGCGGCCCATGGCAATAGCGACACCGGGCATGTTCTTATCGCAGCCGGGCAGGGAGATGTTTCCGTCGTACCACTGGCCGTTCATGACGGTTTCGATGGAGTCGGCGATGATCTCACGCGACTGGAGGGAGTAGCGCATACCCTTTGTGCCCATGGAGATACCGTCCGAGACACCAATGGTGTTGAACTGGTAGGGGATAAGGCCGGCGTCCTTGACGGACTTGCGGACGAGGTTGGAGAGGTCGAGAAGGTGCATGTTGCAGGGGTTGCCCTCGTACCAGACGGACGAGATACCGACCTGGGCCTTGTTCATGTCATCCTCTGACAAGCCGGTGGCGTACAGCATGGCCTGGGAGGCGCCCTGGGACTTGGGCTGGGTGATATTGGCCGAGACCTTGTTCAGCTTGTCGTCGGCGCGTCGGGGCGCGGTAGAGGAGAGGAGACGTCTGTAAGGGGTTTGAGGTTAGCTATTGTCATTGAAGTCTTTCAATTGGGAGCGCATACGCATGGCTGGCAAAAGTAGGACGCCTTGTCGCAGCTCTGAGAGCTTGTGACTGGCGGGCAATGGACCGGGAGAGCATTTCGTCGAGGGTATCACCGGGAAGCCCCAGGAGACGACACAACGGAACGGGAACGGGGGATGGTGGGGATGGGTATGTAAGAGTGTGTTGAGCTGTTCAATTGAGTTCCAATTGATCTCCTTTTCGAATCTTTCCTCGATTCTTCCCCTTAAATAATGATGCCAGGTGAGTCACGAAGGATTAGAAAAAAGAGGTGCGGTGGAAGAAAGACCCGAGATCACAGGGACAGTCACAGGGACACGGCGAACGACGTTGCGAGCGATGGTTTTTTTGGAGCAGGCCGCTAGCAGAGCCGGGGGGGGGGGGAAACAATTTGGGGCGATGTCGGCTCCTAAAAATTCTGGAGCTCCCCGCCGAGTGCTCCCCGCATTGAAATACCTTGTCGCCCATTGGCCGCAGCTGTGGTCCGACGCTCCGTTCCCCCCCAGGTTTGGCTGCGTTTGCTGCGCAGGTTGAGGTGAGCCACCGGCGTCGGGTGCAAGGTCAGCAAGGTCAGCCACGGTGTGCGACGTCAGTCACAACTTAACCACACCACCGTCACAGCTCGACTGCAAGACGTGGTGGTGCAGCATTTCCTTTTCAATTGAACTTTCATAGAGTCTCTATTGTTTCGAATAAAGATATTCCAAGCCCGTGAGCCGTGAGAAACATCATGGTGTTGTGAAGTCGCTCTCAACTTTGCCTCATCAGATTACCTCATGCTTATTTCCGATAAGCCCGGAATGCTTCCGGTCCCGGAAGAGCCCCAGTTTTCCAGACCGATCCCGCCGGAAGTGGGTCGCGGCTACCCGGCAACGCGTATGCTGCCTCCATAATCCTCTCCTACAATCGCAGCTCAGCTCCCTTAGCTTCACTACGGACAGAGCCGGTGTTACAAATCACACTCCTGGATATCAATTGAGCAAACCACCCATGGCTTAGGGCTTCGTCTTGTGCTCCTCCGTCGAATCCTTCTCCTTGAGGTCCTTCTCCTCCCTCCGTGTCAAAATCTCGTCAATGACGCCCATGCTCTTGGCCTCCTCCGCCGACAAGTAGTTGTCGCGCTCCATCAGGTCGTGGATCTCCTCCAAGCTGTACTTGTCGTGTCCAAACGACTTATTGATGTGTCGCTTCATGATCTCGTTGATCTGTTTTCGGATGCGCTGGATCTGGTTCGCGTAGATGAGGATATCCGACGCCTGGCCCTGCGTCCCGCCCAGGGGCTGGTGGATCATGACGGAGCTGTGAGGTAGGGCGTATCTCTTGCCAGCCTCGCCTCCCGTCAGGAGCAGCGCTGCCATGGAGGAGGCGGCGCCGAGGCAGACTGTTGATACTGGTGACTTGATGTATGTCATTGTGTCGTAAATGGCCAGTCCTTTGGATCTTGGTCAGTATCATGTCTCTCTTGTTGCGCCCTCTAATTGTAGGTTGGGTATGTTCGCGAACCTGATGATACTGAGCCTCCTGGTGAGTTGATGTACATTGTAATCGCCTTGTCGGGGCTATCGGACTCGAGCCACAGAAGCTGTGCTACTATCGATGCGGAAACAGTATCGTCGATCGCGCCATTGAGGCAGACAATGCGTTCCTATATGTGTCAGCTTGGTGCGCGCGACAACTCAAAGTGTCCATAGGGTCGTCGTACCTGAAGCAGCTTGGAAAAGATGTCGTCTACCTGCATGGTCAGCTAAGGGGGCTACCCAATTGCCGAAGCGGTCGCTACTAACATGTTCTCCATCCGCTCGACTGATCAGTTAGCTATCGCGACCTAGATATATTCAAATAGTCATGGGTGGACGAACCGAAACCTCGGTGATGTAGGGCAGAGGGATGTTTCCGACAGGTGGGCTGCTGCCGCCTCCTGCGACGGGGGGGAAACCGAAGCCAGGCAAGTTTGAAAAGGCCCTGACGTGCTGCCGCCGCGAGACGGCCCTCAGGGCTCGGAATAGTGTCCTCTGACAATTCATGGCTGCGGGCGCGAGGTCAAGGTCGCTTGTGTGGTGTTTGCAATGTCAAAGATGCAGAACGGATGCGAAAAGCGGCAATCAACGGCAGTGTGACGTCCGCTGGGAAAGCTGCTTGGCGCCGCACACCCCAAAAACGCCCCCCTGCGCCCTCCCGAGCTCCGAGCTCCCCCACGCGTCCTCGTCTAAGAATTGCCCCGAGGCGCGTAAAGCTCTTTTTCGTCTGCACCGTATTCCTGAGCTGGGCCACCACCCGGGGATCCGTTCCGAATCTTGAAAACCCCGGGCGATTTCCCAACGTCTGTTATAGTACGCACCTATTATCGTCAGCAAGATTCCCCCTTTCGAGTCGATCGAGGACATTCGCGGCCACACTGGCGAAAGTTTGCGACTACTACTTCCTCCTTCGGGGGTCTACCCCTCGATCGCGATGAGGCCATTCCCGGGCCTTCGACGAGTGCTCCAAATTTCACATAGAAAATATGGCTCCCTCCCCCCGACCAAAGCGTGGCTCGAATTTCTGTCCGGGGAGTCAATAAGGGAGACAGAATCCAAGGCAGCGAAAAGGAATCGGCTGATGTCAAGAAAAAGGACAAATGCAAATGCGCCAAAGCGCAAGGCAGAAGAAAGACAGGCGCAATTCACCAGGAGAATACAAGAGGTCATAGGCCACGACGATATCGCCAAAGATGTACGGATCGACAAGGAGAACAAGAAGGTCCGGACCTCGGCGGGCGACCTGCCCATCTCGCCCGTCATGGACCCCGTGTGGATGGACGTACGCACGAGGTATAGGACGCCCAAAACCAGGCCCAAATCCACACACCGGCCTCCTCCCTCATCATCATCGGGGAGAGCGCCGAAGAAGCACAAGTACATAATTAAAATGGGGTGGGATGAGAAGAAGCAGGATAATACAAAGTACATTATCGTGAACAAGAAGCCCAACGGGGGCAGGTTCCGCGTCAAGGTGCAACAGAATCCGTACGGTCAGTAGCGTGCCACCCATCCATTTGCACGAGGAATTTGAGGAGCAAAAATGCTGATACGACTGGCTCCTTGTAGTTCATGCCCTTGCCTCGCCTATCCGATTCTGTCCCGTCACGGGGGCATCTCTGCCGAAATTCTTTCTTCAGAACTTTAAGGCCGTTACGAATCCAGACACCAAGGGTCACTGGTTTATGCCGGGTGACGTCGAAGTATCGTGGACTCATAAACAGGCCATGGAAGACGTATGCGGAGAGCTCGACGATGTGGAGGACGGAGTAGAAAAGCATGACGATGTGGAGGATGGGTCAAGGGAACACGCCGAAGAGAAGCCTAAAGAGCTCGACGATGAAAAGAACGGACTCGAGAAAGCTTTCAGAGAAGAGGCCGAGGCCAAGAAGTCTGACGATGCCGATGATAAGTTCGAAAAGCGTTTTGAAAAGACGGCCGGGTCCATGAAACCTGAAGAGGAGGCAGTCGGATCCAAAGAGCAAAGCGAAGAGGAGCCTCAAAATCCCATCACCCCAGAAGATAACTTTGAGAAACATTTCGAAAAAGAAGTCGGATCCGAGAAGCACAACACAAAGGAGAAGAGCCGCTCTCCAGCGATGTCAAAGAGAAGACCATCCAGAACAGAACCCCTCGAGGATTCCCTCGCAAGGCAAAAAGAAACAGACCAGCTACTCATCGAATCCCCTTCCGCCTACGTGGTCCTTAGGAAGCCCGTCATCGACTCCATGGCAGGAAAACGCGGCAAGACGCCCTTTGGAGATGGGTGGAGGACGCTCCTAGGCAGGAACCAAAAGGTCATGAACTCGGACATTCCCAAGCGTCTGGTGTGGCGCGAAGACATGGGCGACTTTGTCCTCGACAACCTGCGCAAGAATGTCATGAAGAACATTGCTTACTCCGTCGAGATGGACAACCAGAAAAGGTCGTACATTGAGCCCCTCGAGAGGTGGGAAGATGTCCACGAGTCGGAGAAGAGGGGCTGTTTGCTGTGGTATGACAGGGCAAAGGTCCCCACGGAAGAGAGTCAGTGGGATGAATGGATGAAGGAAGGACAGATCAAGCCATTTGCGACCTACGACGTCCCGGACGCAAAGTACGAAAAGAGCCTGCCCATCTACGATATCGGGCGGCTCATGGGGCCAGATTACCTCGCCAAGCTGAGGAAAATGCCCCTGTTCCGCACAAAGTCGCTCTTCGTCGTCAAGAAGAAGCCGTCGACCCCGCTACAGCTTTACCTGTGGAAGCTGCAGGCATACATGGCCGAGTATCCCTCCGCAGAGAAGGTCGCCGAGGAGAGTGCGGAGAAGCGAAGGCTCGCCAGGAAGAGGAGGGAGGAGGAACGCCAGGAGGAACTCGTCCAGGAGCAATTCAGGCTGGAGGAGGAAGCGAGGGAAGGGTACCTAAGGGCCAAGGCCGAGCGAGCGAGGATGATTCAGGAGAGATTTGCGCGGGAGATGCGCGGGGACGACGAGCCCAAGGACAAGGTACCTGAGGCGGAGGTAGAGCTCGAAGCCGAGTTTGGGACCGCCAGCACAGCTACGCCAAAAGGTTCGGCTGCGGTCACGACCAGAGGTGCCTTCGCCACCCAATTCATGTCGACAGCACGAGTTTCAGCACCCAATGCTTGGGGAAGCGTCGCTATTAAACCCATAGGTACGACCAGGATCGACAGGAAGTCTGAAGTCCCCAAACGGCCCACGATCAAAGCCAAAGCCGAATTTACACCGAAGCGCTCGGCCAAAGCTCCCGCCGCGCCCATGACCGCAGCCGACTTCACCGCCCAGCTCACGGCGACACCTCAAGTCGGTTCTGGATCTGACTCTTGGGGCAGTTCCGCCGCCAACCCTATAGCTCCCGCCAAGGCCATCAACAGGACCGATTCGGCTTCGCCTCCTTCGACCAAGGCTGAAGGTGAAGCTACGCTTAAACATGCCGGCACCATAGCTGCTCCTACGTCCAAGGTCGATGCTCAAGAAACAGCGGAATCCAAAGCACGAGCCACAGAGCCAAAGGTGAAGCCAGTTAAGCCACGCTGGTAGGCCTGTGCCGTTTTCTTTCCATCCAGGCAAGTACTTAATAACGAGGGTTCTCTTGGATACAAAAGGGATGAGCGGAAGGTCACATCAGGGTACGTATGCAGTGAAGGCGCGAAGGGGATGGCTACGTCGTCCCAATGTAAGAAGGTGCGGTGAGAGTTGAAGAACTTGATATGGAGCCATATATATACCCATGAAGGGAGACGCTTCCTTGACGTCTCGAAGTGTAGGAATTACCCCAATCAGCAATTTGATCAAATATATTCATCATTCAGGTGACAATAAGGTGGTACCCAGAGGTCTTTCCGTGTGTTACTTGAATTGAGTGATCTTGGGGATGGTCCAAGATCGAGTTAACCAGGCATAGGAGTAATCATCATAGCTGCTAGCTTCCACCACCACTAGGTAGGTTCATGAAATCTCAGACTTCTGCTTCGTGAGGCCCTGCATGAATTTTCTCTTCTTCGGAATCTATCATCACTGCAAAACTCCCCGACATCCTCATGAATAGGCGACCTACTTTTTTCTACTGAACTCTAGATCTTTCCACTTGACATTCACAACTTCCTCACTTCTCATCGCCTCCTTCTCAGTCAGGTCAGAGGCAGAGCACCTGCCTTTAGTAATTATTCGTTCCTGCTCTCACTATCGCCCAAGCTCGCCTTTTTCTCTCATATATAAAGCCAGTCTTCTCCTGGCCTTCTCTGCCTCAACTCTTTCACACTTCCACACTCCCCCACTTCCATATATCCACTACCACTACAGGCCACCCATTCAGACAACCATCTACCTCATTCACACCATTCGTTTAACTATCCCGACACAAGTCAAATCATACCAAGCTATCAAGTGCTTTTCGACTTCCTTGGTATTCAGCTACAAAGTCACTCACCTGCCACCATTCCGACGCGACCTCCTTCTCACATCTATACAACCTCAAAGCCTCCCAACTGTCTTCCTCATCATGGCGAATGTACAAGGAACAATTCTTTCTGACATGAGTCGAAGAGTTGCGAAGAAAGAAGAGGTTAGGGCTTTGGGACAGTTACAGTTGGAAACTGCCAAGCACGCCCTTCAGGCCGATGCAATCGGAAGGACCCAAGAGGGTCTGCAAGATTGGATTGCTAGCTTGAGTAAGTATTCCAGACCATTTCCAAGTTCCAGATCCCCATGAGTTTTACTTACGTATCACCAGATCTCCTGAATGAAGCACCGAAATCCCGAGAGATTTTAGTAGGCGTCATTGGAGAAACCGGCTTGGGAAAGAGTTCCCTAATTAACGCACTTCTTGGCTGCAATATCGTTCCTACAAGCAGCTCAGAGGCATGCACTGCAGCTGTGTGTGTCTTCGGGTGGAACGACGACGTCTCGAATGGCAAAAACTTCCGTGCCCGTATCACATTCAAGTCTTACGAGACAGTTGAAGCAGAGCTGGATGCACTCGAATACGAGTTGAGTGACCTAGACGAGACCATCAAAGCCCAGGGAGAGAACCCAGATCAAGAATTCGAAGAGCGGCGTGCCCAAGCAACCCGGCAGATGAAGAATGTCGCCAACTGGTCGAAGCTCAGTCTAGAGGCAATCAGAAAATCATCTCCTACACAGATCATTGCGAATTCGGCAGCCTTTGCTGACATTTTCACAAGCAGAAGAGGTGACCCGGCGGCTAATACTTTCAAGCTCGTCAAAGCCGTCAAGAAGCAAGACTTCTTAAGCATTTTGAAGCCCTACGTCTCCAGCTCGAAAGAGGTGCCATCGGCCACGAGGTATTGGCCTCTGGTTGAGCAAGTCGAGATATTTTTGAGAGCCGGCATACTTCAGCAAGGTATCAAACTCGTTGATCTGCCAGGTGTGATGGATGCTCTCGAATCTCGCGCCAAGATTGCACGCAGCTATATGTATCGCCTTGAGAAGAGGATTGTTGTGACGCCCTCGACAAGGGCTGCAGACAATAGAGCGGCTGCCGGCCTCGTTCTCACGGATCGCGAAACTATGTTCTTGGACATGGATGACATGCTCAAGGGTGATTCCCTCTGTGTGGCAATAACCAAGGTTGACGACATTGATGACTTAGCCGCGGAAAGCGAGTTTCCCACCCCAGAGATACTTGCAATCTGCGACGAGATCAACATGCGCGATGGAGATGATGACGATGACGCTGAAGAGAGCGGAGACGATACCATCTACGGCAGTACTATGAATATGAGTTGCTCGACAGGTGGGAAGCGCCCCCGCGACGACAAGGTACAGGGTCGAAGTGCCGTGAGACAAAAAGTCGGCAGTGGTGAGGCAGAGAATGGCCTGGCCCATCTTAGCATGGAATCGCTCAAGTCGCTTCGCAAGCACAAGTGCATCGTCGAGCGAAACAAGTTGTTGAAGCAAAGGGTGATGGAGAACCTCTTGTACACCCGAAACAAGAACAAGAAGTCGCTCGCGATGGCGTTAGCCGATACTCAACCTTCGGTCTTCCCTGTCAGTAGTAGAGCGTTTCGGGCTTTCAATTTGAGAGCTGTCACAAGCGACCGTGATGGATTCCCCGACCGAGAATCCACCGGCATCCCCGACTTAGAAAGCTGGCTACACCAAGTTTCTCTCCCGTACCGGGAAGAGTGGGTAGATGGAGACATTCACCATATGCAGGTCCTGTTTGACGCTGTGGATGGATGGAATCAAAATGACCATCATACAGCATACTCTAGACTCTCCAGTGATCAGAGGGTCGAATTGGACAGAAACATGATCGTTCTCTGCAATAATCTCAATGATGTAAGTTCATGACCGATCAACTTGCAGCTCAATGCTAATGGCGTATCAAGTCTATCAATGCAAAGGTTCGCGTTACCCTTCAGAGGAACCTTTCAGCCATGCAGCCATTACGCAAACTCTCTCTGAAGAGGACTCATCTTGCCAGACAGTCGACCTCAAAAGATCAGCCAGAGCTTGAACGAACCGTTGACCTATTTACCCGAGCAGTCAAGGGATGGGAAAGAAAGAATCCCAGAGCAAATGTCGCTGTGTCTTCTCGACACGAGAAGACTTTTTGGTCTACATACCGAGCTTGCGTCAGGAGAAATGGCGGTCCATTCACCCGTCGTGCGAGAAGCGGACAACCAAAGTCAACTATCTTCTGGATGGAAGACGTGTAAGGCCCTACTCAATATCAATATCGATGGCCCGTGTATGCTGATAAAGTAACAGATCCCATGCTTTCTGGCAAGGCCATTTTGATCAATGGGCCTATGAGTTTACTCGTCGAATTCCGGCAATGAAAGCGAAAATTCGAGGATCTGGTCTCAAGGCCTTTGCTGAATGGGTCCGACAACTTTGCAACAACGATGCGCTACCAATCTCTTTCCGAGAGCAGGTGAAGACTAACGCTTTCAAACTGGATCACCTTGTCGAGAAGTACCTGGCAGACGTGCGCGAGCGCGTCACTCAGTTCCAGTCATCATCGAGGGCGAAGAGAGACCCTGTGCAGAGGTCTCTGGCAAATATGATGAAGCCCGGTTTCGAGGCGGCGATCAAGCATACCGGTATGTCATATGGCTATGGCACTCTCACTACGAATGATTGTTACTGACATTGAATCAGGCTCGAGATTGATGGCGAGGCAGGTAGAGGACGTAGTCAATCATGCAAACAACATTGGCTTCACCATGTTCGAGACGGTACGCAACAACTTGGAGAAAGACCTCGCAGCCGACATCAATCACGTTTCTTCAGACATATCGCGTCTTTGGAAACATCCCAACAGGGGCTGTGGTACGCTCATCAAGGCTGAGCTGAACCGCATCGCGAAGCGTCTTTCGGTGAAGAAGATCGAGATGAACCCGTCCACGAGTGTGAGCGCCGAGACAAAGCAGACGCTTCATAGCGTCATCGTTACTTGGCGGTCTGCATGGCACAAAGTCTTCATACGCCTTCCTGACGCGGGCCCCCCTGATGAGTTTGAGGAATTGGATGCTGGTCAGGCTTCTGAGACTGCTGATAAGAGTCGAGAAATGGCCAAGAAAGAGGCTCTTGAGCTGAAAGTCGGTGAGATTCTGACTCAGTCGGAGGATGAGAATGGGGTGCTTCCCCTCGGCGGCGTCAAGACGGAGCCGGCTTGATGAATCAGGATTTGGAAGGGAGGTTCGGGATTTTAGTTTCGGGGATATGGTTGCACGGGGATTTTGCTTTTTTCTTGCTTTGACTTGCGATGCGACACCCTCGAATCTCCTATTACGCTACATGGGATCATCGAGGCCGTACTTCGCTTCATTCTCGCAAGGCCACAGAAGCTCTTCAATGGCAGATTTAGGGCAGGGCGACAGAGAGGACCAAGATCATTATGGACCCCTCAATGGGAGGCAGCGTTGCTTCTTACACACACATAGATAGTTCTTAACTCATGAAAATCAGCAAAAGCTCGCACTTCTGAAATGACCATTGCGGGCTACGGGCAGGACTTTTTGGCCACCTACAAACGATTCTGCCAAAAAAAAAAAAAAAAAAAAAAAAAAAAGCTGCAGATATTCTTACCCGATGACAGTTGTTTTTGGCTCCTCAAGCGCCTCAAAGATGCTGGACTCGTTCAGTTAACCCGAGGAAGCTTCATGTCAATGCCCTTCTGCCTCTCACCACAGTCCCCGCATTCTACAACCACTCCAAGGCAACGCCAACTCCTCACAAGCACTTCAAAAAGCAAGCAGCGAAAGACAAAGAAAAGACCTGGAGGCTGTCAAACACAATACGACAACTCTCAGAATCTCGTCATTCCCAAGTCCCTGGCCCCACTACCGACCCCATCTCTGCCCATCTTCCCGCCCCGCACCTCAAAATCCTCACGAAAACCCTCATCCTCCACAACGGACCCCACGCGCAATCAAACAAGAATTCTCTCTTCCTGCCCCTTCCCCAACCAGAGTTGCTCATGTATCTCGATCATCCAGCGTCGATGGTTTAGTGGTAAAATTCTCCGTTGCCATCCAGCAGCGTCGGGGAGCCGGGGGTTCGATTCCCCCTCGACGCAATGTTTTTGCTTTTATTACTTTGGGGGAAAGGTGGGGTTGTGGCTACTCCTCCGCGAGGGAGGGACCGTAGCTGTTGATGCAAGTACTGATGAACCTTTTTTTATTTTTTATTTTTTTTTAGTCCCGTTCGAGTACTTCAGACGTGGTGATGAGGTCGCAATTCACATCCTGAGAGGCATGTTGCAAGTCCAGATAAGTAGGGAGTTGGTCTGCTGAGGGGTTCTTGATCCTGATCCTGGAGACTCTGTGGTACCAGCTGCTGAACACAACTCAAGAAACGCTTGTGACTTGCATCCGAATAGTTCAAAGCCCGCCTCGGCATTGAGAGAGACGGAAGACCGCAGGCTAGGATGTGCTTTTTTGTGCGAGAAGCAGCGGGTTTGATGCGGCAAGCAACCTCCAAAGAAGACTGGAAATGTGATCAGTATGGAACCATACATCAGTCCAACATACTACCTTCTCGGATCAAAATCTGTCTTATGGTTGGAGACATTGGAGTGAAGTCGTCACACAGATTCAGTGGGGCACGCACTTGTCTGTCAGTGGCACTAGAGTTGACTAAAGCTGAGCGAAGTAGGAAAAACAGCAAAGGCTGACTGACTATGACCAACAGACCATGAAAGAGTGCGAAGTCAGATGGAAAGACCATACTCCGTACTCGCTCCTCGAATAGAGAACAAATGAGGCCTCAAACTGGGATGAACAGCAAATACGATGCCCAGCGCTAGACCCTACGAGTGCGACTTACATCACATGTCTGGCGCAAAAACACATCGTGGACGTGAACAATCTTGGCAGTCAACTCGACACCTCGACATGACATGCAAACCAACGACAACCCAGCGCATTCAAAACTCCCTCAGAAGCTAGAAAACGCACAGCAATCAAAAGACTTGCCCTCATCTCTTCATCGATGCTCAGACAAGGCATCAAGGACTCTCTCGCCCAGCATCCACTAAACCCCCAAACCACCCCCCCCCCCACGCGTCACACGCAACCCGTCTTAAACCCACAGACGTGATCAACAACGAAGATCGCCAAAACCCAAACCACTCCCACGGGTCCCCCTCACGCGAGGCTGTACCTATCTCAAGCCCTCCCCGCCGATCTCACAACCCAACTTGAAGTCGAGCCCAACCCGATTTCCCTCTCAGCCCTAGCAGACGCCAAGCTCACCACAAGATTCAGCCTCAAGCTCCCTGCCGTCCCTCATTCCCCACACCCGCCCAATGACGGCTCCTCCAATGACACCAACTTACAAGCCGCGCCTGCTAACATCGGAAAGATCCGAGAGGAACACCTGCCAGCCGTCCACCGATCCAACCAAAGCTCACGCTATCAGAGAGGGACGGAAGACAGGTACCTAGTCAAAGAGACGGTGCTGACATAGCAAGCTGGAGGCTACCAGTCAACTCCCAGTGCCACTAACCCGGCGACACGAATTACCATCACGCAGATACCGCTTGGTAGCCTCACATGAAGTACCAAACGCGTGCACCCTTCTCCACCAGCTTCAATCGCATCGGCAGGACTCGCTCGGGAGCCTTATCCGGGAAACTGAAGTTCCCCGCCGGACCGAAACGAGGAAACCATGCTCGAGATGTATCCGTACCTTAAATAATCCCCCGTCTATACTCTCCTCGTGGCCTCCAAAAAGATAAGTCCCAGACTACCGCGTGGCGGACGTAGACTTATCGAATCGGCAAGAAAGGGCAGAAAAAGCAAGGCTCACTCGGTTCAACGATATCGTATCCGTAAAAGGAAGGGAAACCATCTACCCTAAATCATAAATGAGACGATTGGAAAGCTTCAAATCAAAGCACCGACCGCCCCGCGACCTTCAACCATCAAATCACCAAAGTTACCAAAAAGCTCGTCATCCCACGCCCATGCACCGCCAACCAGTCCACACGGTCGGTATCCCTAAACTTCGAGCGGATGAGATGAGATGAGATGAGATGGAGGTAGGCACTATCCGCCAACGGGATGGCCCCTGTATCTCTCCAGCACGGTATCCGCAGTCTTGGCTTCAGAATCAAGCAATTTATGCCGTATTCCAAACGTAAAAATCAAGCCTCTCCAACTGGGAACAACGGTCACCCTTTTTTACCTACGGATACACACTCAGGTACTGACAGGTGCGAATCGGTGTGGCCCGTGGGCTGTCTGTCTGTCCGTCCGTCTGGCAGGCAAGCAAACTTGGGACCTTGGGACACACCTTTCATCCTCGGAGATTGGAGAAAACAACAAATAAACTGCTTAATCGCGGCAGATCCAACAAAGAAAAGACTACGAAAATAACAGCGAAGAAACAAGGAAACATCCCAAAGTATCTCCTACGGGACCAACAAAACAACCGGCACGAAAAAGGCAAATAGACATGCGACGAGCAGACAAGAAGCGAAAAGCACATGTCAATTTCGCGGCAATCGCTCCAAATCCCAAGCCCCCCTGGTCGGGATCTGGGGCCGGCCGGCGGTCTCCTTCGTCGCTTGCTCGCTCTTTTCTCCCCTCTATGCGGATACTATTTACCGTTCTGCGGATCCGGATAACCAGAACTCTCGCACACACACTGTCAGATTTGAACAGGTTGAGTTTCCCTTATTTGTTTGTTTAGTGGAGGCTATCTACCCAAATCTAGACCCCTCCCCTCCCCTCGTCCCAGCCCTCGACACGGAGAAGCAATGGTGGTGTGGGTTCGAGCATCGGCCCTGAAGGCTCCCCTGTCTTGGGCTCTATTGTTATGCAGATGCTGACAGCTGGAGAGAGATCCGTTCAGGGCAGGGGGGTTGTTGACAGAGGAAGAAAACATTGGACGGAAATCCCGGCTTGGCAAAGAAACAACGGAAAAAAAGCCATCATGTCTCCGCAGCACTGCAGTACCGCAGTACCGGCAATGTTGGTGTTCATGTCTGCTTCGCCGCCAGCTATCATGACTCTCGTGAAAGGCTGACCAGCAACAGCTTGCCTAGTATTCCAGTCAAAGCTCAAATAATATGCGGCACCATCCGTCCGAGTCAAAGTGGTTCTGATACGGGACAAACGGTGCCGGAAACCCATCAGCCTCCCGACCGAACCGGCTATTCAGTCTTTCGCAGCCTGCCGTCCGGAGCATACCGAAACCGACTTGACAGCCAAGCGGGCCAAGAGCCAGGCGAAAGACGCACCTGTTGCTGGGCATGCGACTCTCGATTCAGGTTCGACAGGAACACCACTCCACCACTCAACTCCATTCATCTGCAAAGCCCATGGCCGGGCTTCCTGCATGCAGCTGCATGTCCTCCGGGTGTGGGAACTCCCCTACAGCTGAATGATGAGGGCGTCGGTGATGGGAATCCGCAAATGGGCGCAAATGTGCGAAAGTGGGAATTCTCTTATCGCGTCATGCCCGCCTGCCCCAGGGCTTCGGAAACGCTCCCCCTCCTCGTCGAACTCGGCTCCGTACCCGTGCCTGAAAGTCGTGTAGATCAGCCCGTTCAGGGCACTCGGTTCGGTTGGTTGGTTTCTCATCCCCTCCGTTTCGGTTTGGCGCGCCGCTCATCTCTCCACACTTGCTCCGTCCCTTCATCTCACCTCAATCACGTCCATCAACACCCACCACCAAACACCTCCGGGTCATCCTATTCGGGGGAATCATCATCAAATCGTTCCTCGCCTTTCTCGGGGAGATTTCCATTGTGCTTTTGAAATCGTTTCATCTTTCGTCTTTCCATTCGTCGCTGGACTACTAATCTCCGCCTCTTCTCGCGTCTCATTGGTATCGGGTTCATCCTCTGCGCCTTTCTCCGTGCGTCAAATGCTATTGTACAATTGTGTCATTCCATAAAAACGTCTGCTCGCTGTGTGTTGATATTGGAAAGCCCCTCCCAGACGCCGGCCATGACATATCATCCATGGCGTTATGCCCTGACCCAAATACTCCGAATAATTATCCAAAAATCCCTGCTCTGTGTTTGGCCTTGGAGGTATCATTGATCCCAATCCTGACAACCCGGGGTAATCGCCTTCGTTTGCCTGCCCGAAGGTGCATTTTGTTTTTCTGCGGCCGTCGCATCGTAGCGTCCTCTTCTCGAATCAGTAAATAAGAAAATATTAAAGAAAAGTAGGGAATGCCACTTGTCCGTGGCTCGTCTGATGGCGAAAGCGGTCTGTGCCAACTAGGTCGATACAACATTACAACCATGGTGATGAGTTTCGCCAAAGAACTTGACAAGTCGATCAAAGTCTCTGCCACGCAACACTTCCCCCGCTCAATTAGATGAGCGAGAACTTGGATTGGGGCATGTGGCCCAAGGCTGCTGCCAAGGCCGAATGTGAGTCGGGGGCATGCTCGGTGTAATGCATGTCCTCCTCGAAATAGGGCAGCACTTTGATGCCGCAGTGTTGCTGGAAGAATTGAGTCCCAATGTCGTATCGCTCCCTGCATCTTCTCTCCCAAGGATCGATCTTGAGGGGGCTGTGGAAACAAAATGTGTTGTGCTCTGCGCCCCGCACCGGAAAAACGAGGCCGCCCTCCTTCATCGCAGTCCATAACTCCAGAGCTTCCAGTCTCGTGTTGTCGGCGTTGGGCCAGGCGGCTTGCATCAGCTGAACAACAGCGTATCGCAAGGCCAAATCCTCTGCACTGCCCTGTCCATGGCGACCTGCTATCTGCCTCCGTAACGGCTGGAGTTCGGAGAGCAGTTTCTCGAGTCTCTCGGGGTTGGCGTGGTTGTAAAAGATGGCCAAGTCGATCCACGTCCTGGCTACGTAAGGGTGGCGCCGTCCGTAGATGGCTTCGAGTTCCTCGGCGATGGTGGGAATACAGCCCCAGACAAGCTCCGATAGTGTGATCGGTCCATGCTTTTGTTGCACTTCGTATAGTGTAGAGAACGTCTGTCGTAGGGGATGCGAGCGCTCAAAGTTTGTCGAAGAATATGCCGCCAGATATTTGCAAAGGGCAGTCATCATGCCCGCATCGCGATGCACCATTCCCAGCAAAAGTTCCTTAATACCCTGGGGTGATAATTGTTTGAGATCCATCTCCAACCGTTTGAATGCCTTCATTAGTTGATGACCACCTGCGTCGTGTTCGCCCATTTCGAATTTCTTATTCGCATCAGCAAACATGTCGCTTGACCCGGCACCCCAAAGCATAATCGATGTCCATCCAACCTGCTTGTCAATTTCGACCTCGAACTGGCGGCAGTGCAAAAATGCTTTCCGCATATTCCCAACAATCGTCTCCTGCGCTCGGAGCAGGTCTGGTGATCGCAGATAGCCCGGAGCGGGCGGCGGTGTCGGGGTACGACATCGCACATATGATGGGAGCTGAGCTGGCGTTTCAAAGTCGACAAGATCGTACTCCGTCACTCCTTTCCTCTTGAGATACGTGCCCAGATTGACGACCCTGCCATTACGAACGAATTCGGACACTTTGCCCTCGGCATCGCGTTGGAACTTCATAGAAAGTAGTCTCTTCACTTCGTCCTCGGTGTTGTTCTTCACAAAGCCCCACTGGGAGAATCTGGTCTTGTACATCTTCGGCCTATGACAGTGAGATAAGATGAGCGGGTGTTGATCTAGAACAGAAACTTACGTTGCTTGGAAGCCATACTGGTCCGCCATGATCTGCATGACCTCTTTCAGGGGGCGACGCTCTTCCAAATACAGATGCTTGATGGTCCCCTTGAAAGACTCCCATGCCTCAGCAGGAACCTGCTCCCGCGATGGCCGACTCCCGGTTGCAGGCTTTGGCGTGGGGGCGATACTGGGTGCTCGAGCATGACCCTGTAAGATGATTAGACGGAATACTTCCCCAAAATTAGAAGACAACATACTGGGAATGATGTGTTAGGCGGAGGGCCGAACGGCGTTTGCATCCCACCGGGGGTGCCGGGAATGTGGCTCGGGGCCGGTGTCGGCGCTGGGCTGAATGTCGACGTCGCTGGGCTGAAGGGTGTGGGAGCAGGACTAAAGGCAGTAGGTGGCGGGCTAAAGGCGTTGGCATTCGGGGGTGGGCTGAAGGTATTCGTGGTTGATAGAGAGCTGAAGGCGTTTGCAGGGGAACTTAAAGCGTTGGCACCTCCGAAGGTTGTTGCCGACTGACTGAATGCACTAGGTTGGGAAGCGAAAGGTTTGGACACTGCGCTGAATGTGTTTGGTTGGGGACTGAAGTTGCTTGCTTGGGTTGCGAAGTGCTTAGTCGTCGTATTGTTGAAGTCATTTGTCGTTGAAAAGTTAAAGGCATTAGCTTGCGACTGAAACCCCTTGTTCGTGGTGTTGTTGAAGTCATTGGTCGTCGGGAAATTGAAGGCGTTGGCTTGTGACTGAAACCCCTTGTTCGACGTGTTGAGGAAAGGATCTAACTGACTGAAGTCGGCAGTTTGTTGCGGTTGTTGGTGCTGTTGCTGTTGCTGTTGCTGTTGCTGTTGTGGCTGCTGCTGGTGTTGGTGTTGGTGTTGTTGGTGCTGTTGTGGTTGTGGTTGATACTGCTGAGGCTGATGATGTACTTGAGGAGGAGGCGCGGGGTTTGAGGGACCAGCAGCAGTAGCCATACGACTATTTCCATCTCCAAATCGTGAATCCGGCGTGAACATGGGAATGTTAGACGGTGCGCGATCCAACACTGGCTTCGTATGTCTGGGCACTGGGGGACGATATGATTCCGGAGCACGGAAGAAATTGGGCGTGGCCGGGCTGTGAGCGACTGGACTTGTCATTCTACTCATTCCTGAGGAGCTCATGTTTGCTGTGCTGCCGTGCATGCTGCCAAAATGTGCCGACGACGGGCTCGCTATTGACGGGCTTGCGACTGAACTTGCCGGACTCATGATCCTGTTACTGCTTGGTGGTGCTGCGCGAATCCCCTCAAACCGCGCAATCAGGTTGGACACCCCGGCGGGGGGACTGAATTCATCGAGTTCCATTCCTTCGTCTTGCTGTGGCGCGTTGTTCATCGAAGACCCAACGTCGAAGCGCGCATGCTGCTGCGCGGCTGGTGAAGTCCAGTCCATGGATGAGTCGAAGTCCCTCCGGACGGTATCTTGTTGCGGCGGCGGACATGTCGAGGGACCGCCAAAGTTGAGTGGAACACCAAACCTAGAGTATGGTTGACCGGATGTGTTGAGAGCGAGGCGGCCATGTTGACTGCCTCCATATTCTGATCCAGAGGGAACACCGCGGGGTGGTTTGTCCCCAGAATGATTGAACATCTCGGCCGCGTCCCGCGTCCCCCGTGGAGCAGAGGTTCGGACCGCTGGCTAGAAAGATGTCAAGACTCGGGACGAGTCAAAGCTCCTCGGTAGGACAGGTGCCTCGTGTCGTCGTCGAATGCGATTCATCCAAGAAGCCCAGCACGCTGCCCTGGTGGCAAGCATCAATTGCCCGTCAAATGGAGGGGGTGCCACTGGGCCTTCAAATGAAAGACGAGAGCGTGGGAGGAGACCAGACAAAAGTGCCCATGATCGTCGCCACATAAAAGAGAAGGTCTCGGTCACTTTGGCTGCCAAGTTAAAAATAGAGCGGCAGAGGAGAAAGCGTCATGGTCCAGTATGGGTAACGAGAGGGTTCGAAAAGATTAAAGACTGACTGAAGGGCCCCCCGACAGTTGACACAGGTCGAGGTCAGGACGGGTCAGGAACAGACAGGTCGGATTAGGATAGGACGGGAAGCCAGAGCTGGAACTGAACGGGCGGAACGACAAGCAATGTTGTCTTGTGCAGCAGCGAGAGATATGGGGGTGGATGGGGGAACAATGGATGGAGGAGCCGTTGCTCCAGGCCAGTTCGTCCTTTCAATTTGGGCTGGTAAAGTGAGTGGTAGGGCTCTCCCGCTTCCTCTCTTTCTCTCTCTCTCTGTCTCTCTTTCTCTCTTTCTCTCTTTCTCTCTTGGTCGAGAGAGACGAAGACCACTTTCCGGTGTTGAACTGGCATTGGTCGGCGGTCGCCAAGTTCCTCCGTGTGGTGAAAGCTGCAGGCAAAAGTTCCTTCGCGTAATTTCCTCAACAAGGAAAGCGAGCGTGGCACATGGGTAGAACAAGCCCGTATCCCGTCCCTTCGGGGCTCTCTTTTTCAGTGATAAGAGGGCCTCCCAGCAGCCAGAACCGTAGCTGGGTCCGTGGAGCTGCGCGAAGGGAGGGGGGTAAAGAAGCGTTACATGGCCAATGGCTGTTCAGACGGTCTTGTAGTCCGGGCGTCTGCTAAACGAATGGGGAACCATTCACAACGCCTTTTGCTGGTCGGAGCGGGCGCTGGCTACCATTTCGACCGAGAGAAGCAAGACGAGTTGGGGGGAACCCTCGACGACGGATGGGGGGCCTGCCTTTGCTATCGAAGCTGGGGGCAAGGCGGTTCGTCCTTCGTCCTACGGTTGACTCTGTGGGTACATGCGCACTCCCTCCGTCCCTCACGCTCGCCCTACTGCGTGTGTGTGCCTCTTTCTCCAGCCTCCGCGTCCAGGAGAGCCCTGGGAATTCGTCCAATGTGTTCGACATGTCGACATTGCTACCATGGCCCTGTGAGAAAGTGCGCGATAGGTAGGCGACTAATTCCAATTTCCAGGGTGGCCAGGAGGCGGGGAATAGGCACAATGGTGCCACCACTGTTCTAGATTAAGAAGGTGAAAGAGCGTCCTGGTCGGCCTAAAAGACGCCAACGACCGAGTCCTGACTCAGACCACCAATCATCGTGCCTGTTTGTAAGTATCCTATCAACTAGGCCTCCCCCTTTTCGGAAAGGCCGTGGTGAGAGAGAGACAAAGTGACAGTGTCGCGAATTGTCACCAACCAAGCATCAGGTTCCAACCGGGCCTCGCTCGCACCCACCGGACAGCCTTCCGACATGTTCCCTCGGTCCAGGTCCACATCGCTGCTGAGATTCAAAGAGCGCCGCTGTCCGCCGTCGACCATCATGGAGGATGGATGGTTTGCTGCTCGCTTTTGGCCCTCGTTAGCCAAGCAACCAAGCCATCCGCCCTGTGAGGGAAAAGCTGGGGGAGCTGCCGCGGGCGGTGGATCAACGCCGTAGAAGCATGGTGCATGTTCCAACGGTCTTCCACCAAGCCAACCTGGTTCCATCCGATAAGCCATTCGTTGAGCACGGCCAATGGTCGAGGTGCTGTCAGAGACACATCCGAACAGCGCCGCTCCAAACTAACCCGTCTGGTCTCTGGAAGGCCGCGATCGCGGGTTTTCCATTTCAGCTACCTTCAATGGGCCGGCGTCGGGACTGGACCAAGAACCGGCTTGGGGGCGAGTTTCCGCGGAATGGCCGCAAGACAAAGCAGATCTCTGTCTAAGGACGCCACAATTCAGACTCAAGTGCCAGCTTTTAGTTGGAAATTGCTATGGCATTGGGCGGCTCCTGTGGGCACTGCCGAGCGGCGGTCAACATGCTTTCGGCCGGTTGCACCGCAGGCTCGTCCGTCCTGTCCTGTCAAAGCCGAGGCGTGGCCAATGGCTGACTTTGATGGCTGCTCTCGTTCTCATCCATCGTGGGGCAGAGCGTTAGGCGTCTTCAGCCTCTCTGCAGGCCACAGGAAATCCGCCAAAAACAGCGGGAAAAGTGCAGCGTAGCAAATGGCAAGTGGACAATAAGTGGCTGACAGCCCCGAGATATGGACCGCAAGTTGCGAGATGCCGAAAAACATTTTCCAACAGAGCAAAAGATAATAGGCACCGGCTAATGTTCTCGAATTTTCGACCCCAATATCCGCGGAGCCAAGGAGATCCCTGCAGTGCGTCTCACTAGCACGAACAGCCGGCGGCGGGCTCCTAGCTGACCTAAAATGAATGTGACCTGACGTGAAATGTCAGTCAAGACGCACTAGTTAGTAGACTGTTGTCCAAGCTGCGGCTTTGACCATAGCGAAATGTGCTTGGCCTCGGACCTGGGCTAGTCGAAGGTGGTGTTTAGCATAACGCTCATCGGGCAGCTCAAGAGAGAGAAAGTTGGCAAGAGCTGACACTAAGAGGCATGCTCCCTCTTTACGTGGGTCCCGACGGCAAGGCGAACAGACACCGACGGGTCCACGCATGAGAACACTCCATCAAGTAGGCCCGAGGAGTCGGCAATGTTAATGTGAAGTGACGCGAGCCAAAGCACGACTTCTGGCGTCCAAAGTCGTGCTTAACGTCGTGCTCCAGCAAAGATCTACCCTGGAATCGCTCATGGCTGGGTCCATGACCCGGGGCACGCGAGCCGAGTGGCTCTGAGGATTCGTGATCGCCATTGGAGTCATCCACTCCTCGGAAGAGACCGATTGTTTTCCGAAAGAGCGTACCTAAAAATCAGATTGCGACGCAGTCGTAAAACCTGGATGGGACAATAAAGATGTCTCCCGAATTGTCGATGACGCGCTTCGGATCGATTTGAATGCGTTTGTCAGGATGTGGGTGTGGCAGCCATCAGGCGACGAAACAGCTTTTGGGTTATCTTTCGATATTATCGAATCAGCTCAGCTCACACTGCTGGCGGGTAGGTGATGGCTCTGCTGTGCCATGATAAGTCGGGGTATTTGGAACTGCGAACCTTTTTTCCAAATACTTGGGTCCTGGTCGTTTGGTCGATAAGGAGCGACAAAGTTCCACCATGTTTGCTTTGGGAAGGTCGAACAGGGTACTTCGGTCAGGTATCCGTCGCTGTTGGTTCTCAAGACCTATGCTAGCCGGCCGAACGGTCTTTTCTGCTGTGTACTCCTCACTCACCGAGATTGCCGGCAATATTGACGTAAGTTGGTGCGAGATTTCATTCAGTTCGAGAAGGGCTGTCCGTTGAAGAGAAGAGCCTTGAGATAACTCTAAACTTGGCGTCTACGTCGGTAGAGGGAGAACAGGCTTTCGTGGACGAGTAAGCCGAGCCGCAGGGCGGATGTAAGCAGTCAATAGAAAGACGCGAGACGGGTCGATGCAAAGCAACCCCAGGCTTACTCCGCGCCAACGAACCACGACAGCATCCGTGTTCGCATGGACCTGAACGGCGCTCTAGACAAAGAGTTTACGTGGATGTCAATATGACTGTCGATCTTCTCCGTCTGCTGCAGCTGAAGCATGGGATCTGGGGGTTTGGTCAGCCCGTAGCTTGGTGACACTTACTAGCCGACGCAGACGCCTAATGCATGATATTGCTAGTCCAATGTATCGAAGAGAGGAGCAACGTGATATTGGTGTCAGTTGACACAGATAAGAACAGGGCAAAGCCCTTGACATGACTTGATGGCTCAGAGATGCCAAGATATTCAGCGAGGTAGTTGTGTATTCTGGGCTAAGGCTTATAGATCCCCAGGGTTGAACCTCGTCTGTTGTTAGTCAGGCATGGTCAAGCCAAGCTTGTTGCAGTTGAGATCATCGTCTACTTCTGACAACGCTGGGTGAGGTGGACCAGAATCTTGCAGTGTCTGTAAATCTCTATACCAAAAGAGCATGGCTGTTGTCTGGGTACAGACGGTATGCTGTGATGTGGTCAACAGTGGCAAGCAGTCATTGGTCCGGGAGAGCCTCGAAGACTCCAGATTGGGTTCATTGCTCCGCGATTGCGTGGCACGCGTGGCTATCGACGAACGAGACGCATCAAGAGGCATCCAAAACGTCGTCTGGCGGCACATGGTAAGCGCAGGGCCAAAAGTTCCGGGGATAGGTGTTTGGAGTCTTGTTTTGGCGCAAACTGTCAGCTCATCGATTCCTTTGCAAGCTAAGCCAAGGTGTGTCGGGCGGAAGGACGCCGGGAAGAGGCGAGGGACACGCAGGCGTGGGGGTCGGCGTGTCGTTGACAAAGTGACTGATGCTGGATGAACTTCAATAGGGGCCAAGAGGTTGGAGGGTTGACGATAGAATGGGGGTTGAATGGCGACGAGGACGTTGAGAGAATGATACCTGAGGTAACATGTGGAAGGGGAGGCAGGTAGCCTTCGATGGCGTTCCATCGATTATTCTTGGGAAGGCGCTAACGAAGGGAATGTTTCGCGGAAGGTCCCTTGCCTCCACAATGAAATGGCGGAAAGAGGAAGGAAGTAATGATAAGTGGATATTGCTTCACTCAAGGGCACTCTTGCCCATGATGGATCAGCCCTTGGCGTGTACTCTGCTTCACTTCGTGTCTTCGGTAGTTCATATTCAGTCTGAGATATCATCTATTATCATTTGTGAACGTGGAATACTCATGCCCAGCCAGGAAGCCGGAGCTTTCTATCATCTCTGATTGTACGGTATACAGAACAAAAGCCTCATTGACGCAGACGCCTTGGCAGAACCTGCGAGGTACCCAAGGCGACCATCTACACTCGTTCCTATGCTATCGAAAGATACCTGTAGATAGTACCTTTCAAGTCCCCCTTTTCTTTACTTGGCAAAGCCATCACGGATGTCAACGAATCGCAAGTATCTGTCCTTGGCCCACCGGCGCGAGCTCTTGCCGAACATGATCATCGGCAAGCTCAACCCCATGATGACGAAGCTGAGGACCCCGAGGGCGATGAAGCAGTTCTCCATGCCTGAATCGAGCCAGTAGCTAGCCACGAAGGTGAAGAGCATAGCAATCGTGTTGTTGATGACTGCTACGCCGACCATGCCTTCCAATACCATCTCACTGCGAAATGTGGTTAGCTAATGTCCTTCCATATATTTCTAAACCTAGCTGGGAAGAGCTCAGAACTTACGGGAAAGAATCGGCAAGATACGCCAAGCTCAAGTCTCCGGCACAACCGTACCCGAAACCGATGAAGCCCAACCCAACATACGGAACAGGCCAGTCCCAGCCACGCGCGCTCCCGATGCCAAAGAGCCACATGCCGGTCGGGAATACCAACGTGCAGAGCGCCATCAGATATAAACGGAACTCAGACTCCATGACGCCCTTGTTCCGCTTGATCATCCACAACATGAACTGGTCACTTCCGTAACCGCCGTAGATACACCCGATCAGACTCCCAATCAACGTCGGCAGGTTCATGTTGCCCACGGCGGCCGGTGAGTAATTCCACGGTGGGCCGTACCACCAGTCCTCCTGGACTGTCAAATAGAACGTCAGGCAGATGTTCTGCAGACCCCATTGGAGTCCTGCGTACCATACCGCCGGGAAGGTGAAGACTCGCAGGGTGTGCCAAAGGCGGAAGAGATACTGCTTGAACCCCGTACCGCGGAGGTTCGGCGCGGGTGTGATGATGCGGATGCGGTCCCAGTACGTCTTGCGCCGGGAGTAAGAAAAGGCCATGCGGTCGCGCGCGGTGCTAGAGACCATGGATCCGTGGTCGGTGCCCGTCGGCGTCTCGGCGAGGTGGGGCGTCTGCTGCTTCTCGGTGACGGAGGCGTCCTGGGCCGAGGCTGGGTCTCTTTCGATGCTGACCGAGTTCCTGGCCGATGCCTGTGCCGAGGTCTTCTCTGGCACCACGGTGGCGGCGGTCCGGTTACCATTGTCTACGGGGTAGCGCTCGCCGTTGCCGGTGAGGTAGCGGTCTCGGTTGAACTCCGTCTCCTCAAGGCCAAAGAAGATGACGATGAGACTGATGCCGCAGATGATGGCGCCCACGTAGCCGATCCATCGCCAGCCAAGGCCGCTTGATACGTATGCGCCGATAAGAGGCCTGCTTGTGTTTAGTATCCACGCATCCTTCCACTGTGCTCACTATCCAGGGGTTAAACTCACCCGAGGTAGGTTCCAATGGCAGTCGCAAAGGTGTAAATACCAAGCACACTACCAGTCTGGTGTTCAAACCAGATGTCGAGAAGCGATAACTGCACAGTCGCCTCACCAACAGACTCGGCAGCACCAACAAACAGCTGCGACCAAACCACGCCGCCGACATTGGTGATGCGAGCATACCAGATGAGACCACCAATGTTGACAACCATGGAGATCAGATATCCCAGCCGGCGACCGTACAAGTGAACCAGAGGCGAGCTCAGCAGGGTCCAGTACCCAATGGCAATAAACAACACGCCGGCACCGGTGTTGAAGGCGTCATAGCTGATATCGTACTCCTCATTGACACCATCGGCGCCGGAACCCGCATTGTTGGAGGTCGCGGCCGTAAGACCGACAATATAGAGCACCAGGCACGAGTGCCAGATCTTGCGGGTCAGCGACCACCGCAGAGGATCATTGGGGCTCTCAGTAGGCTGAGGAACGAGGACGATGTCGCCGTGCTTCAAGAGCGAGGCGTCGCCAGGTAAATTGTTGCCGTTCTCATCGTAGAGGCGTCGCGTGCCCGGAATACTTTCGGGTGCGGACAGTGGTGTTGTGGTTTGTGGAGCGGCCATCGGGCAGTTGAGAACAAACACAACTGACGTTGCTTATCGCCTAAACTGTAAGTTTTTGGTCGTGTGCGGTTCGGTCGCGTGTGCGGCGGGGACTTCAGCCAGCCCTTTAAACGGTTGGGTATTCGGTATGTGTGTAAATCACTTCTTCTCGTGAAGTTCGACGCCTCCAGCGTCGTTATTGCTAGCAGGGAAGCATTCCGTCTTTGAACAGTTGAAAAAGGGGGAAAGGGTGAAAGATCTCTGAGCGCGTCGCACTGGAAAAGAGATGGAGAGACTGAATCAATAACACAGATAAAACTCTTATCTCTAGCCAAAAAAGATCGCCTGAGTGCAAGTTTTGACCTGAGATGGGGCGGGCCGACGGGACGTCATAATCCTTGGAACCAATTAGAATTGGTGCCCAATCATCAGATGGGGGGTTCATCGAGATGTTCGCGTACGGATACTCCGTAAGGCAAGGTACCCGTAACGTTGTAATGTGGTAGCGACATCCGCAACGGCTTTGTTGCCGTCCCATTTCCGATATATCATATCAGCGCGGTCTACTCCTAGTCCTGCTAGTATGTAATGGCTCTGGCGGTAGGCGCAATTTGGTTGTCTGGCATTGACCCAGACTTGGGAGCCGAATGCTTGTGGTCAAAAACCGTTTGAGGCTCTTTCAGGCTCAAGAGTCGATGCTGCTGAAAATTTCGGCATGCCAAGCCCAGCAGACGGGGCATATGCCGCTTTGTCCAAATCCCGCCGATTAACACAGAGACTCGGCCTATTTTCGGTTTGTTTGACACTCTCCGTAAGCACCCGGTACCCAATGTCCGAGCAAGGAAACTTGTCAGCTTTCAAACGGCAGGCGGCAGACCTCCGGGCTTGATGTCCAGCAACAAAACCGTTTGTAAGTCAAAGTAGAGTGCTATGCTCAGCTGAACCTAAATCTGCCGGTTCGTTAGCATAGCTGCAGGCCCAAACGTCTTGCTTAGCTCAGCCATTCTACTTTGGCGCATATGTCATCTAGCATGCCAACAGTAGTTCAATGACGGGAGACGGCACACACCCTGACACCTCAGCCTTGAACTCGGCAGATACTACCCAGAAATGTGCCAGAATGCCGTGATGTTGTGGTGTTGGGGGAAGTGTGGCGGTGCGCCAGGGTGGCTGTGGTGGCGTAAGCTGCAGCCACACTCGACTGCACTACAGGTGGTGATCGGCAATGTCCTGTTGAACGAGGGAGGTGACACGACGAGGCAACGAGATAAGTCGAGGTGATATGATTTTCGTGGGGACACATTGCATTGCATCTTCTCGGCTGTGCAGGTCCAAGCCTCATAGGGCGTCAAATGCTGGCTGGGAACCCAATCAAGCTTCCTCAGTCACTGGTCACTTCCGGCGACGATCGGCCACCGGAGCCGGGGCTTCTCCAGATCCCAACGGGGCCAATTGATCCTGGATGGCCAGCCTATGTAACGACATTCGCGGCCTCGGCCACGTCTGTCGAGAATTTGGACTTCTGGAGGTCGCATGAAGTGACGTTGGCATCCATCTTGGGTCTTGTCAAAAGCAAACCGCGGGGCAGACGCAAAGAAGCGGCGGACGGGCGGGAATCTGGGCGTTCCACCCCCTTGCCAAGATCCGCCGGGGGAGCTCTTTCTCCGGCAATTTTTGGAGAGATAGGGACAATCACGAGCCGTCATTGGAGTAATTGAGGTTCGACCCCACCTCGGCCCGTGATCCCATCCGTCACGTGGGGTTGACGTAAGTCACTGCCCCCAATTCCTCCTGAAGTGAGTGTCACTTTCCCGTGCCCGTATCGAGTGGGCACTTGGGGAAAGTGTTGACTGAGGTGCAGCTACCTGCAGTAAACCAGCCTGGAAAGAGACAGAGCGAGGCAGGCAGGAGCGGCAGGTCGGCGCCGCATTGAGCTGTGTTGGTGGGTACGTACCTCCTAAAGTGACCGAGGTGAGGTGCCCCAACGGCCACCCGCGTCAACCTTGGATTTCATAGTGGAGGGAGTGGCACAGGCACTCGCACTCGTGGATTCATGGGACCATCTAGAGCTCCTTGCTCATCGCTTCAAAACGCGGCCCCGTTGCCTCTCACCCCATAAACATCCAGTCGTCTCCGTAACTTCGTACCAAGTCCCGAATTCGCATCCTAAATACGCGGACACTACCCGAGATTTGTGAAATGGCGACCCCTGATCTGCGACCCTGAATACCACCTCCTTATCCCACTTCGAGTCGCCCTTTAAACTTCTCGCTGCCCCGTCTGATCCGGATGCGATCCCGTTGAACACAGTCGCCGCTTGCATCCCGCAGCAACATCCATCCGCGCCGCGCGGCGATTGCTTCTCCGAATACCACCGCCCATCACTGAATGCGCACCATTGAATCAACAGATTGATAGCTCAGTTGGCAATAAGCAACATCGCCACACCTTACATCCTCACGAACCTCTCGAGACCATGGCATCTACAGCTGCCTCCCCCAACGGCGGGGCTCACGACCATGTCTTGCGGCCGAGGCCGAGGAAGCCACAACATTCCCAGTTGGCGAGGACACAGAGCAATACCTCTGTCGGCGAGATGAATGGCCTGACACCTCTATCAGAGACTGGCCAGACGAGCGGCACTACCAGGTAGATAACCTTGTTTCTCACGCAAGCTCGTCACTTTCGGCAGACACCAGCGCTAACGTCAATGTCGTCATAGTGGCCGCTCGACACCAGTCCCTCACGATGCCCTCCCCTCCGTCAAGAGCATGTCCTCCGCGAAAAAGCAAGCTCGCGCTGAACAACGACGCCGTATTTTCCCCACGATCGAGTTCGCGAGCCGCGTTTCTCACTTCGATCCCAACTCCGACTACCGGGACTTCCATGGCTTCTTCAACCTCTTTTGGATCGGCCTCGCCATCATGGCCATCACCTCCATGCTGCGTAATATCAAGGATACCGGATACCCCATGCGAGTCCAGATCTGGACTCTCTTTACAATCAAGATTTGGCATTTGGCCATTGCAGACTTTCTCATGGTGGCGAGCACGTTGGTGTCACTACCCCTCCACCGGCTGTGGCGCTCTGCCCCCGCCAACGGAGCTCTCACATGGAAGAACGGAGGCATGGCTGTTCAAAGTATCTACCAAGTGTTATGGCTTGCCTTTTGGATTGCCATTCCCTTTGTGCTCGACTGGACGTGGACCGCGCAGGTCTTCCTGTTGCTGCACACCATGGTCCTGCTCATGAAGACACACAGCTGGGCCTTTTACAACGGCCACCTCAGCGAAACGGAGAAACGCCTTTACGCCCTTGACAACCCCTCGACCGCCTCAAAGGACCCAGTCTATCTATACCCAACACCCGATAACCCAATGGGAACTGTGAGCAGCCCCAAGACCCGCGACTTCAAGGCCAAGTCAGAGGCCACGGGCACGTCAGACACAGATTCGACCTCGGACGAGATCGAGCAGCTCCGCGAGGACCTGGCCCAGGAGCTTACCTCTCCCATGGGAAACCTCGCATACCCTCGCAACCTGACGTGGTCAAACTACTTTGACTACCTCCTATGCCCCACGCTGTGCTACGAGCTCGAATATCCCCGGACAGCCCGCATCGACTGGCAGAACCTCATCTCCAAGATCGTTGCCGTCTTCGGCTGCATCTCCCTCCTGACCGTCATCTCCGAGGAGTTTATCTTGCCCATCCTCAGCGATGCCTCCATCCGTCTGAACACCGTCCCGCCTCCCCCAGTCTCCGAGGCTCTCCTGATTTTAGCAGAGAGCATTTCCTGGCTGCTCTTCCCCTTCATGCTCACCTTCTTGTTGGTCTTCCTCGTTATCTTCGAGTACGCTCTCGGCGCCTTCGCCGAGATCACGCACTTTGCCGATCGCCACTTTTACTCTGACTGGTGGAATTCAACCGACTGGATGGAGTTCTCCCGCGAGTGGAACATCCCCGTCTATAGCTTCCTGCGCCGCCATGTGTATAGCGCCAGTCGTCCATATGTCGGCCGCCTCCCGGCCACCGTCATCACCTTTTTGATCTCTGCCATGGGGCATGAAATTGTCATGGCATGCATCACGAAGAAGCTTCGCGGCTACGGCTTCATTTGCCAAATGCTGCAGCTGCCTATCGTGGTTTTGCAACGCACGAAGTGGGTGCGAGGCAAGGAGACGCTGAACAATGTGTGCTTTTGGTGTTCCATGGTTATGGGGCTGAGCATGGTGAGTTGTTTGACTTCTTCTTGATGTGTGAAAGTAGCTAACCTTTGGCAGATTTGTGCTCTCTACGTCTTGGTCTAAGGCACTTGGGCCGTCGCGATCCGCACCACGGGTTTTTATTTTCGAGTCACGTATGACCACCTCATCTCCCATATGTCGCATTGCCGAAGAGATGGATTGGATGAGTCTGACTGAAGCTCACTGTATTATTATCAAAGCACATCTGTATCATTATCCCGCATCACCCGCGGGGCGGCGTTCCCCAAGACAGACAGACACAATTATTTTCCTGGCGTTTTTCTAGATAGGTCTTATACCCCCTTATTTACATGCCCAACGGGCAAAGATTACATTATGTTCCGGACTGCCAATATGGCAGTCAAGCCTCAAGTCGATGTTGAACATTGTGAAGGCCGCACGGAGTTTGCGGTCTTGAGGCTGGCTTACCGATGAGCTCATATGAGCCTTAGTCCCGGGGTAGGAATATTGATAGCTTACAGACGTAATCGTTCCCTTCTTTTGTAGCAGAAACCCGCCACATACGTGTCAAATTCAACCAACGATCGTCTTTCAAACAACGTTTCAAATTGATCCCCCAGAGCGCCACACAAGCCACAGACGCGTCCCACCAAATTACCCTCCATCCTCTTGGCCCGGCACACCACCAACGACGTCCATCACTCTCTCTACACATGCCATGTCCTTCAGTCAGGAGGGTGTCTCAACAACGCATCCTCTCTCGCAATCTCATCCTTGTTCCCCAAAAACTCAAAGTTCTCGTCATCCAGGATGCCAATGGTGTGGTGCCGCGTCTGCGTACTCTCGCGCCAGAACCAACCCATTCGAAATCGCAGACCGGATAGTTGGTGGTGGAGGTTCTCCTTGGACATTAGTTCGGCGCCTTCGGGTAGACGGTTCATTGCGTTTGAGTCTTGCAGTAGAGCCTTTGTGGCGACCATGCTGCTGTATCCATCTGGAGCTAGGCCCTCCACCTTCATGTGTAGTAGCCTTCATTTCCCCCGGATGGAACTCAGGAAACTAGAAGCTAGCACCAGGATTTGTGAAATCGCTGTGAGAGTCAGTATGCCGATGATGACTTAGGTTACTATTGAGTCCTGCACGAGGCGGTGGCGATAAAGGTCGGTCATAGTTACGTCCAGACTTGGAAGAGATGGCGGTGGTCCGTCTCTGGAATCCTCAGTAATATCAAGGCGGCATTCGAAATTCGCGATTTGAGCCGCGAGGAAGCCATATAGATGGTGGATGTCTTTGAGAATCTCCTCTTCTGAGTTCGGATCTCCGAAAGCCTCCAAAGGAAATTTACCGAGTGGCCGGAGTAGCGTATAAAACCACTCATCTAAATTCATTGCAGGGTTATAGCCCATCATTGATCTTGGCAGTGCCCCCGAGCCATATTTTCCAGATGCTTCGAATTGTGAGTCTATATGTGGGATGTCAAAGGGTATCTTCCATGGTCGAATCTTGGACATATCGGCGCGTGGTGGACTTTTTTGGCCTATGGTGAACACCCCATGACGAAAGATAAATCTTATTTCAGTCGGTACCTCAACCCACGTATACTTGCATCTTGTTAACGAAAGATGTGCAAACCTGTGCATATCGGCGACGAATCTTCCCATAGCGTATGTTTGATACCTAGTCGATGCGAACTTGAGGTCGGACTCTTGAAGATTCAATTCGCAGATAGAATTTATGTCGTATGGGTTTTCCGGGGACAGTAGCCGGGTGGCATAGTATGTATAGTCAATTTTCCGCCAATCCGAAAAGTCGATAGTGCCCACACGCTGTGTGAGCTGTGCTCGGCTTTGTTAGGGCATGTGAAAATTTGAACGATCTTTGGGCTAGGCAAATAATGGAAACCATCGACAGCACGAGGACCCTGTATCGATTCCGGGAATGAGAGGTTGTAATCGGTAGCCGGAACTTTCCAACAAGTAGGCTGTAGATAAGCCACTGAGACATTAGTCCTGACTGAAATGTTTGGCAACGCGTTAGCTTGGTCGATGTTATCGAAAGCCGGGAAGAGAAAGGTATCAAATGTGTTTTTGGGGTATTCCAAAACTCCTTCGCCTTGTCGAAGAACAAGGCCACCCAAAACTTGCCTCACATGACTAATGACATCTGAGTTCTCTATCTTGCTGGAACCAAACCAGGTCTTTTGTTGTAGAAGGATCGGGCTCAACTCTGGTATTGTCTGGACGGTGAAGATGACCGAAACAAGGGTTGTTAAGAATCCGCAAGTGATGGAAAGACACTGCGCTAAGGTAACAATCCTGGCATGTCCTCGGAGCGAGTGGCCGATTACCTGTAGCCCAAGCATGTCCGATAATGATACATCGAGCTCTCTAGCCATGCGAGATTCTTTGAACAGCGTGGAAAATGCGGCTAAACCTCGGTATGCTGAGTCGCTAGAGCTGACATACAAGGCTACGAGAAGCATTGCAAGAGCAGGGATAGTAGTCCAGAGCAGATATGCATAGCCGTGCTCGTCATGGACTGTTGCGATGCCATGTCTCGTCGTCGATATGCTCAGGGAATAATAGAGTCCCGTTGCAATCGCAACAACCAAGGCAATGAAGGTTGCCTGGATCCATGCCTTTAAAACCAAGGGAGTGAAACTGCAGTTGCTCCACGCTGTTGAATCTTCGATTTCAATGGCGAGTTTTGACGCTCTCTCCACACATTTCCTCTGGTATCGGAGGAAAATCAGACTTCCGACGATTGTTGTTGGGTCTATGTACCAAATCTTCGTGGTACTGCCGAGGCAGTGAATTACCAAGGCCAGCATGACCACGACCGGCCCTATGACAGTTGCCATCGACAAACATGTCAATTTGTTTACCACTAGCTTGCTGACATTGGTGTATCTGTTTCCAGTCATGTACATTGATTGCGTTCTGTTTTGCCGGAGACGCTAGTGTCCGATCCATGTCCCAAGGATACGAGACATGTTCATGACCGATTGATAAAACACCACGTTTGTGTAAAGTGAAGCATTCATTGCCCACCGTTCATCATCCTGGAGATTCCCGAAGAAATTGAAGTCAGTCTTCATTGGAACCATTGTCTCAACACTGCCCAACGACTTTTCCTCGCTGCGACGAGGGGTTGAGGTCCCGATAAGGCTCCAAAGGTCTGCAGTGACCGGATGTTTGACTTCGCCTTCCAGTGGCACAACGCGGGGGATTGAGCCATTGTCGATAACTCTTACTCTCGAAACCCAAGAATCGAAATGACAAAGTACTGCCGTAAAATTGAGGAGCACAGTCTGGGAGATGTCTTTGAAGACTCCTGAAATGAGTCACCCAAATTATGGAATGGTTATTCTCTCTGGGTAATCCTGCACAAGATATTGGTTCCTCCAAAGTTGAGCGGCCTCCGAAGTAAAGATGGGAGACTGTCCGATCCGTTTCCATCCAATATCCTGCAGGGGCTGAGCTTTCGTTGCCGTAGCTGAGATCTTGGGGTATCGACAATTGCCGCTCGCAACCATCGAAACGCAACATCAAAGCTTGAACTGAAGAGATAAAATCTTTGCTTTTTGCTAGACCTGGGTCAGAGTAATTTCTTAGCTTCAGACATTGTGTGTCTGTGGAATAGCCGTTGACAGTGGCCTCAATAGACGCATCGATTGTGCCCCTAGAGCTATCTCTGCCTTTGAATGTCTGGTAGGATATATTCTCATTAACGCCGAAGGGGAATGCCACGTCGAAATTGTTGACAGCTTGTGCCATGTAGAATGGTCTGCTATCAACATTTGACGTGGTCGATATAGCCGTGTCAAACGAGTCAAGTATCTCGATGTCGGCTGGTCTCGCAGGCGGCAGTGTTGACTATGCCGGTAGTATACAAGCCAGGAGCAGCAACGACTTACATTCGGATATGAATAGATATTAAAGAGATAATGAAGGCGAAAAAGTGCTTTCTTCTGAGGGACTGAATCAGCACGTTTGGCAGTATCATCGTTTTATAGTCGAGTTCGTAGACGTCGAGTTTCTGATAGGGCGAGTCATCGTGACGGTTGGCTATCCACGGCATGAACCTCAAAGCTTGAGTCTCTACCCTTGACCAAAAAGTGGAAACGAGAGTAAGAACTATTCAAAGCAAATATTAGTTTACTCACATAACCTCGTACCATGATGACGGTAAATCGATATCCTAAAAATGGGGGCACTGCGTTTTCGTAGTTTATTACCTGCTGTTGGCCCGAAACGCCAAAGGTAGACGAGACTCTCTCTTGTTTCCACAAAGCCGTTATTCTTCGAAGATACGTAAGACATGGTATAAAGGCTGATAGAAGCGGCAAGAAAAAAGGCAGAGAAGGCAAGGAGGACATTGGGTTGGAGTCAAGTGGGACACCAGGTTCTCGCATCATCTGACCAAGGTTGGTGCTCATGATCAATGTCTTCGTCGGGGCTAAGATCATCGTTTCCGGCGGTATCGCTGTGGGCGTTGAGAGCTATAGAAGCTATTTCATCATTCCGATCGAGGCGTGCTGTAGACAGACATAGCTCGCAGGGCCCTTGATCGTTGGCAGGCACTACCGGAGCGGAACAGGCTGTCTCTGGCTCAGCATCTCTATCAAGACTGAATGCAGTGCTGCAAGAAGTTTCCTGGCTCTCGGTGAAACTTTCGGCATCGTTGTCGGGGTAGGCTATGGGCGAATAGGACTCGCATGGCACTTGATCACTGGCGACTACTCTCTCTTGGCCAGAATGGCCACAAAGAGGGCTGCTCGACATGTTTCCGTTGCGGTAATCCGGTGCCCATAGGCCGCAAAAAGCTTCCTACTGATCTTGCCCTTTGAGAATTTGACGACGAGGAATTCATGTGCCCGAAGATCACGCAAATGGGTCTTTGATATGTCTCGACAAATATGGATGCATACGTGAGGTATAGAGACACAACCCCGGCAGCAGGCCTCTGTTCCCGTTCGCGTGACAATTGCGGCTACATTTTGTTCTCATATGCCCCCTGACTGTGTGTCTTTCTTTCGTGTGTGCTGGTTCAGCCTGACCTGAGGCATGTCGTCGTAATACAAACGGAAAGGATCTTAGGAGATTCCCATCTCAGTTGAATTTGGCGTACAGAAGCAGTACAAGGCGACGAATTCAAATCTTTCAGACGTAACTGATAAGAGAACGGCTTAGATTGCCTTGCGCTGAGTATTTGACAGTATGCAAACAGCCGTCTACCTCCCCGGAGTCCCCGCCTCCTTCAAGTTGCAACGCGGAGGAGGGTGGCTACCATGCACAGTACCTTCTTGACTAAAGTGTTTGTACAAGGTAGAATCATGAATTGAAGTAAAGATTGAAGTGAGAAGTAATTACTTTTGACTGACCTGAGGTAAAATGTATGGTCGGGAACTTATTCCGAACGAACGCCGCAGTTGGATGGTGAGTGGTCGTTGCGGGCGATGGAGGAAGGATGATCCATATACGGCGCCCCCTATCCACTAATCGGCCGCCGCTTAAACTTTACCCAAGCTCCTGATGGCCGTGTAGCGTTCTTAAAGGTGCGCAACGCGTCGCTCCGCTCCTTAATTGCCCCCCAACTTACTCCCAAACCGCTCACGCCCAATCAACCCCTGTTTCCTCACTCAACCTTCTTCGCACAACCACCACCACCACCACCACGACGAACAATCTAAATGTACATCACGGACTCCACCCTCGACGGCCTCGTCGCCAAAGTCCGAGAATTTCAACGCAAAGAAGGTTACGGCGTCATAAAAACCCGCTCCAAGCGATCCGCAGGCACTAAGGAAATATACCGCCAAGACCTAAGCTGCGATCGCGGCGGCCGTCCAAAAGCCTCCGTCGCCACAGTCCGCACCACAAAGTCCAACAAGACAGGCTGCATGTGGCGCGCCCATCTGACCCTCCAGGCAGACTGCTGGGTCTGTATACCGCACAACATGGAACACAACCACCCGCCGCTGACCGAGTCCTTTGCCGCGAGCCGGTCCTTTCGCCAGCTGAGCTGGGAGGCGGCTGAGGGCGGCGTGCAGGGGATCCGGCATCGGGTGGATACGTTGTCGAGGGGGGACCTGCCGATGGGGAAGTTGACGGCGCGCGTGATTGCCGAGAAGATTTCAGAGGAGACAGGGGCGTTTGTGAGGGAGAGCGATGTGAGGAATATTCAGGCGAGCATACGGCGCGCAAAGGCGCGGGATGCGTCTGCCGGCTTTGAGAACGACGAAGAAGAAGAAGATGACGATGAGGAAGAGGAAGAGGAATGAAACGTTCCCTCTAATCTCGTATTTGCCACCGCCTCCAAGTCTCGCCCCAGCTCATTACACATGGGCTGAGAATAAGACGGGAGGCCTGATGTAGGCAGAAAGGGTGTCACCGAGGTGCGTCTGTATACCTGTCTGCCGCACGTCAGAAGCCGTCAACCCATAAGAAATGCGGCAAGGCCTGCAAAGGCCGTAACACCAAAGTTCGTACAAAAGCTAAGGATGAGCGCGAGGCTTCCCTGTATGTCCGTTGTCTTTATTTCTGTTTGACTTGAACATTATACACATCATGAGCTCCAAATGACTCTTTCTTGTGACCTGAGCGGAAAGCTCTCGAGATAGGTACTTGGAAAATTGAATAAATTACGTACAATAAGGGGCCGCTGTAAAAAAGTAGAATAACAAATTGCGTGTTGCTTAGGCACGTAGTTGTGATAGTACAGCTAGAAAGCAAGTATAAAACTACTTTCAAGATTCTATTAAAAACTATTTTAAAACCTAGGCAAGGTAACCTTAGTCAAACTTGATTCCTAAACAAGCTATGTATATAATTTACGAAACCCAGTATTCAATAGTTAAATCTTTCCCTTCGATGCTCTTATATAAGCCGATGAAGCCATTCTAATAAGTCTGTTTTCTCTCTTATAATAAAAAGACTTTGCAACCTAATATGAGAAGGCCTGAATATTGCCCTCCTCATTAATATTGACTATTGGCAGTTTCGGAGAGGTCCAGTATAGTTCACTAAATTCATCCCTCACACCCTTCCCTTTCTATTCTAGGTCTAGCCCTGGCCTCATTATAGTTAGCGGTTTCTATTATTTTTCACCACCGTCAGTAGCAGGTACTTCATCAGCGTCTTAGTCAAATATTCAATCAAGGTTCTATTTATTGTTGCCTCTGCAGTAGGAAATGTGTATGAAGATATGCTAACATCTACGGAGGTGGGATAGGTGGGGGGCCAACAGGATTGGGCCTGTTGACCGAGACTGGTTTACTTGTAGCAGACGGCGAGCCACTCGGTCCAAGTGCCTCGAGGTCGACATTAGCTGCCGCAGTCAAAAGATCCACGCATTTGCCATGCGTAAGCTCCACCACCTCTCTACTAAGCTCGGTGTCAAAAGCATAGACCGAAACGTCCAGGTCGTAGGTCTCGCCCTTGCCACAATTGCTCGTCCATTCGCTGGTCGTCTCGCTGAATTAAACGTAAATCATTCGCATCTTTGGGACATGCCGGAGCTCAGGGTTGCCTAGCGGCGGTTGGATGCTGATGAAATTGATCAACTTTGCATTATGGAGATCCTTTTTCTTGCTTTCAATTGCCAACTCTTTGGCGGTATTGAGGAAAGATTGTACAGCGTCGAGAAGCATTGACAAGGCCGAATCCGGCAGTGCAAGAGATGAGAAGATATCTCGGATAGCGTCCAACTTTACCGAAGCTGAAGAGTACCTCTTTTTGACGCTGGAGTTGGTCATGGACTTTGTAGCCTCGAAGCTGCCCATGCCGTTGTAGTATTTGTTGAATAACCCATTTGCTGCAGCATTGGTCATTGCCATCCGCTCCTCAGGCTTTGTGATGTCATACTGCTCAGGATGCTGTGCCTTCGCAGCGGCAGCTAAACGGGCATTGACGACACATGCAAGAAAGGCCGTCTTGTCGTATATATCCTGATCATCAAATGAAGTCTTGTTGCCCTGAAGACGAACGGTAGCGTTGGCATTATTGATCTCCTTGAACTGCTCTGGACTGAGCTTGCTAAGCTCGGTATCATCGGGTATTGCTCTTCTGGCCAAATCCGCTTCAAACTCCTGGACAGTGCTACCGAGAAGTGCGTGAACGTGTGCAAGCGCGAAAAACTTCTCCAAATAGGTATCTGTATGGCCAATCATCGCGGCATACTCTCCTAGAGCATCAGGGGATGGGCCCTTCAAGAGTTCAACAACAGTTGAGACCTCTGCCCCGCGGAAGATGGTAGCTTTCTTGGCCCCAAAGGTAAGGCTGAAAACAATCGTGTCTCCAGGGTTGACTCTGATTGCTTCTGGAAAGTACCAGAACGTATGGACCGGAGAGTGATAAACACGAAGACGGGTAAAAGTGAAGCTCTGACTGGCGAGAATGTCGTTCGGCGCAAGAGAGCATTTGAGATGGTCTGCGTCATCGTAGAGAAAGCATGAAAGCTTGTATTTGCCAGCGGCGGGGTTCGAAACCTGACCGCCGTAGCATTCGAGACGTTGGGGAACAGATGAGGAAGCCATGACTTCGAAGTAAGTGTGTAAGATTATGGATTGTAATGTTGTAATGTTGTAATGTGTTGATGTGATGAATTGATACAGGATTTCAATTCAAAATGAAGACTATACCCTCTTATATAAAACAACGAGCTACTGTTGTATTCTCAGGAAATATCGCTCCTGCGCCAGACAGCTTGTTACGCAGGGGTTTCACACGCTGGCTCTTCACCTCTGACCGGTCTCGCCTGCTCTCTCATTCATTACATGCGGCCCCTCTGTATGAAGACTCTTTGGTTAAAGCTGGAAACGGATCACGACAGCTATGTGTGGTGAACAATTTACTCCCAACTCACTAATAATCATACACCTGAAACATGGAATTCAGACACGCCTTTGGGGCCATTGAGTCCACCCGTGTAGCACATACTTTTAGATACTGAAAACAGCAACTCTATTGCTGACGACTATCTCCTAGCGTTCAAAATCCTCCAGTACCTGGTACGGTGATGATGCAGGATAAGGTCAGACGCAAAACCAAGCGCAATCCTGAACGAGGCTGATAGTTATCTTGACTTCCAGAATTTGCTGCAAACGACATGGAGTCACTCTACACTCGTGCGTGTATTGAGACATCATGCGAGTTTCACTTTAGTAGAAAGCCATAATCAGTAGATTCGCGGCGTGGCAAGCTGACATATAACTGCAATATGCATGAGAAGGCCAACTCTTATGTTCTAAGCTAGATCTGGTGATTCGCCCGACTAGGCTTGAGACTGGCTGACCTCCACAGCTGGCTAGTATAAGACCATATAGCCCATCAATTTCTATATATATACACACGTTACACCATGCTTAGAGGAGCGAGTGGCGTGCTGCCGCAGCATGACATGAATTTAAAAACACCGTGGTCAGCCGTGACCTTAGCGGCAGCCCATGTCTGCAAACGTATGTAGGGTGTATAGAAAGTGCGTACATTGTCTTATAATGGCCTATGGCCTATAGGGTACGCCAGCACCCGGCGATGATTGTTTACGTAGGCTGGCAGCCGATAATTAATTTCATAAAGGAGAGATTTAAGTACTAGCAGGATATGAGTATGACACTAAATAGAATTAATATTAATAATAACTAATACTCTAAATACGTTATCTATTGTACTAAATTTAAAACAAGGAAGCTTATTGATGCATCGATTGTAAGTCAAAATATAACAGTCTAGTCACTATAAAGAAGATTTATCTTTTCCTTAGTCTCAAATAATCATTGAGTAATAGAGTTTATACATATAGACGTAAAGCGGATTCTTATTTCGAAGAGCTCAAAAGTACTCAGCTTAATAACTTAGAGCATCCTCACCGAGACTCCAAAACCAACAGGTTGATTACACAAACACAGCCGCAATATGGAAAGTGGAAAAACACCTTTCCCCGCCCAGCTTTCCCCAGAAGAACTCGCCAACAATGTCGAAATCACTCGAGCATGCTGCATCCCACATTCATTATGCCTAATCAATCATTTGACCTCGCTTTAGATCCAGCGTCATCCAGCCTCTACTCGCACTTGCATTACCCCCACCCCATCAAATAACATCACCGAATCGAGAGTCAGCCCAGATAGATGTGGTCAAGAATGCATTCCATTCGACGAGAATCTAACTATAGCCGCCCTCACTGAACCCATGATAATTCCCTTCATGATGATCATCATCTTTCCCTCGATAGGCATATGCCTGCCATGATGTTATAATAACTCCTCCTCTTTCTTATGTTCCTCGTTTCCCTCGACTCGTGCAAAAATGAGTGTGGTATATCCCCTCCGCTTTGCAACTCCTCGTAGCGAATGACCAAAAAACAACGATTTGACAAGGATGAAAAAAATGTCTTAAGTTTCGTTAGAGATCTGGGAGAATACCCCAGTAAATGTGTAAAATATATGTCGCCATCCCAATGCATGTATGTGTGTATCGTCAGACTCCAGCGTACAACAACTTCTGTGAGAAACCCAGGACGTTCCAAATGTCCCCGTTGCGTCGACGACGTCGGCTGCCTGGAGCTGAAACGGGGCTCAGTCTGGCCACGGGAAAGGGGGGAGAAAGTAAGGCTTCGTTGTTCGTGAACGCCTCATCACGAGGCGCCTGCCAAAACTCAAGAAGCTTCCTTGATCCCCACCCGACCGCCACTTTGACCAGACCCCGTCATCCTAGGCAACCACCGCCACCTAGCACGTCTCGCTCCATAAATGCCAATCAGTAGCCGTCTCAAGCGGCCTCAGTCCCTCAAATGCCCCCAGCGCCATTTCGGGCTCGTCAATCGCAGCCCTCCCACATTGATATCAAATAAAACAGATCGGTACTCGTTACTGTATGGTTTTTCGTCTTTCATATCGTCCCCTTCATACCAGCACGAACCAAAGAAAAAGAACCTAGAGATGGAAACATGGAAGCTAACAAGAAATAGAAAATGAAAATCAGCCGCGCAAATCAGGTCGCAAGGAGGATGGACATCGACGCGTTCCAGCAGAGCGACCTATCTCTCATCGCGAAGACGGCGGCATGATCATCGTGAGATCGAGAGGTGGTTGAGCTGCGCCAAGCTTTCGCCGCTTAGCGTACTAGTAGACGGTATTGTACTCATCGCGGTAACGATGTGGAATGTTAGAGTACTGAACATCATCATATCTCGCGGTCTTCACCTTGCCGAAATACGCGCTCGAACCCGAGTAGCTCGCCTCCCGAGACGGCATGGGAGGGCGAACATTGTAGTAGTCGGCGTGCTTGCTGGGCTTCCTCGGAGGAGAGTCGTCGCGGTACGCAGATGCGTAACCGGCCTCAGTAGCGACTGGGACTGTTCTACCACCGTTGACGGTGTATCGAGTTCGATGACCAGTCTCATACGACATTGCCTCGGGAGAGTGAGTTCTGTGTCGATGGCTCCTTTGCTGATAATGGCGTTCTTCTTCGGATTCAGAGTCCTCGCTAACCTGCGGCTGCAGCCTTGAACGGCCACGGCCCCGGGTGTCGGCAGACTCGGCAGGCACATGAGAAAAGGTTTGAGCTCTAACAGGACCAGGAGGAGGGCGGTTGTACCCATCGGTGAAGGTGGCCGATCTGCCCAGGTGCTTAGGCGGCGAAGTGGACGCAGGCGAGGACGTCGCGGAGGCGAACTGAGCCATGTGGCGAGTGCTAGGAGAGGCATCGACGACATTGGGCGATGGCGGAACTGGCGCCTCTTTTGTAGGAGAAGACTTCTTGTGGCTCGACTTGTCCCGAGTCTTGGTCTCAGAGGAGCGCCTCGACTTTGATCTGCGACTGGTATCCTCCTCAACAGTAGGCATGGGCGGAGGGGGAGGGGGAGGGAAGGGCATCGCAGCCGGGGGTGTCGGAACCGCGACAGGAGGCGCATGTCGAGGCTCATAAGAGGTCTGGGCACGGCTCAGACCCGGGTGAGCCTTGCGTGATTGTTCCATATAAGACGCTGCGAACAGTACGGCATCGTTGTATTTGGAACCTTTGGCGTCAGCCGGGACAGGAGGCAAAGGCGGCACAGGGGGCTCTTCCCGGAGAGGAGCGCCGTCACGCGGGATCGAGCGGGACCGCTTGTCCTTCTCCTTGGTGCTACTTGACTTCTTCTTGTCGGATTTGGCGAAATAGCTGGACTCGTCGTCTTCGATGTAGACAGGTTTGTGTCTCCGCGATTTGTCCTCAGCCTCGCGTTTACGCTCCTTTTCTCTCTCCTTTTCGGCCTTCTCTTGGCGTTTGCGTTCTTGACGGCGCTCTTCCTTCTCGGCCGCAGCCTTCTCAACGGCCTTCTTGGCGGCCTTTTCGTAGGCCTTCCTTTCTGCGCGTTCCCGTTCCTTGTCACGTTCTCTTTCACGCTCCCTGTCTCGCTCCCTGTCTTTGCGGTCTGCGGCACGTGCAAGCTCCTCGCGTTCTCTGTCCCTATCTTCCCTGCGTCTGCGTTCCCGCTCACGATCCCTTTCGTCATCTTGGCGGGACGGTTTCTCGTAACTTGCGGCTCGACGAGCCCGAGGCTCCTCGAAGATGGAGTTTGATCTGCTGTGAATTTCTTCGTCCCAAGATCGAGAATTGTAACCGGTAGAGTACATGGGTTTGCCGCCGGGCGAGGCACGATAGGTCGTCTTGTAGGTATCCGGTCGGGGCTCGGCGGTGCGGACTTCGTAAGATCTGGCTGCAGGCGCTCTGGGAGCTGAGGTATTGGCGGACATGCCCTTGGCCATCTCCTTGCGGAGTTCGGCCAGTTTGACGTTGTCATCGTACTTGCCTCGCTCGTTTTCGTCGCTCAAAATCTCGTAGGCCTGTTGGACCTTTTGGAACTCATCTTGCTTTTGGGCCTTGAGCGTTGGGTCCTGGACCTTGTCGGGATGGCATTTAAGGACGAGCTTTCGGTGAGCACTTCGAATTTCTGCGAGTTGTGCATCTTTGGAAACGCCTAAAATCTTGTACGGGTCGGGTGGTAAAGCGGACATGATGGATATGTCTGGTGGCGTTGTGATGTTGGTTTGGGGGCTCGTGAATCCAGTTCGACGGCGGTCAGAGAGCGACTGATCAAACGAAAGCTGTGGTGAGGGTGGAAAGACTGCAAGGCGTTGCTCGCGATCCGGTTCGTGTCGGTCTCTGGGCGGACGACGAGGCTATTGTTGCATTGAGGCGGTGATGACTAGGCACTCGGGGCTGTATGGATTGCCTGTTGCAATTGCAGCAGACTGTTCGGAGTTGTTGTCAAGTGTATGGGACCGCGGTGCCCGGCGCGACGTTATCGATCCAGGTTGGAAGGGGTTCCCCAGATGGAATGTTGAGGGAGCAGAAAGGTTAAGCAAATGCGGTAATAGGAGAAGTAGTAGTAAGGTAGTATGTAGGCTGAAGTGAAGTCGCGATAAGTGATGTACTATGAGGGAAGAGGCTAAAGAGGAGGATAAGGTCAGGCGGAACGTTGGGTATCGTTAAGGTGAGGTGGTGATGTTATGGTCGGAATTGTGAATCGAGTGAGAGAGAGTGTGTGAGGCAAATAGAGGAGAGCAGAGGCAAGAGATCAATGCAGATGCGGATGCGGATGGCAAAAGAGGGCGAGAGAAGCAGCCGGATGCGTAGGGCGAGGGCGAGGGCCAGAGTCGGACGAGTGGTCGATCGTGGGTCGTGGCTCCTATCTCTGGGCTTTCCCCTCGAGGTGCAGCAGCGCAACCAGTGTCCAGTACGCAAGTGGAGTTGTTTTCGTGGGTTGATGTTCGCAAGTTGCGTTGGACGGGCAGCTCAGGCGAAAGGCGAGATGGAGAAGGGGGGGGAAGACGTGCCAAATAGGTAACGGGATGATCTCCAGAAGACCAGGAGGAGGAAACGGAGGCGGGTATGGGGAGCAGGCCGGAGTGACTTTGACACCCGTACTTCGTAGACTGACTTCCCAGGCACTGGGATGCTCTGCAGGGAAGCGAGACGAGTGGTGACTGGAAGAGCGGAGAGACTTTTGGACGCTGAATGACTGAGGATTGGAAAGGCAAATGGAAGAGAAGTGACTTTCGGCGCACCATGCGACTTGCGAAGAGAGGGTTCCCAGATGCGTGGGTGGATGGATGATGGATGGTAGATGAATGGACGGCCGATGGTCCATAGAAAAAGATACATCAGGGCGTTTCCGTCCTGTCAGTCGAGAGCAAGCCGGTGCAAGCGTGGGACGTGGAAGGCGTGGTGGATTAGAGTGGGTACATGTCCGTGGACGGTGGGTCACAGAGCCTGGGGTCAGCAGTACGTACCTCAGTACAAGGCACATGTACTGTCATTCCCACTGGAAGGTACGGGTTTTAGGTACTTAGGTACCTTGCGTAGAAGATACGTATAGGTTAAAGTGCCTTACCTCACCTTACCTTACAGATTACGGCTTGGTCAGGAAGAGGATACTTACTGTGATTCTGTGAGTCGGTGACGGAATCGGGTGCCCAAAGGGTCCAATACCCAAGCCAAATGCCCCGTTACTCCTCATTTTTTTTTTGATTCTGATTTTCAAGTGGCCAGACCGGGCGAGAGCTGCGAAGATGCAGTCTGGTGTGTGTGTGTTTCCCGTCCGGCTCTTGTACCTTGACTGCGGTATTCTCGGCGAGTCGGGACTGCTGAAAGCCATCCAAAGGTACGTATTCGTACTCTCCAAGGTGGCAGACGAGGATGGTGGACTGAGGATGTGACTTGACAGCACGGGGGCTGGCCAAGTATTGAAGGTGCGGCCTATTAGCAGGTGCTCTTGATTGACGATGAGGTCACGGGCTCTTGGGCGAAAAGGAGGGGGAAAGAAGACGATGACTGGACAAGACGGTGGTCGATGGCTGGGTCTGGGCCATTGCTGGTTGGACGAAAAGGACAGGATCTGTAGCGGAGCGTCCACCAGTCAAAAACGGCTGACAGACACTAGCGCAAACCGAGGTGCGGGCCAGCTTCAGTTTTGTGGCTCTCCGTTTCAATCCCACGAAACGGAGCCTCAGGGAACCTCCCTTCTGGGCCTCCTCTCTGTCTTCCTGTCTTGGGAGATGCAGCGTGAGAATCTGAACGGAGGGTACATGCCTCCCAACCACCTCCACACCCAAACCTCCTTTTAGCGCAGCCGTCACCACTTGATTTGACAAGTCACCTCCAGTCAGATGGATGGTTGACTGTTTTAAGGCTATCATCCAGTCGTTATTTCCTCTTCTAGAGGTGTGGTCAACCAGTGATGATCAGAGTGCCAGGGCTGTTGCACACAGACGGTAGCCTATGAACAGGTACATTTACGATTGCACACAAGACAGCAACTGATACGCTCCTCGCATGCGGTACAGCACAAACGGGGGCGAGCGGATGGGGCTTGTAGCCAGGTGAGACGGTTCTGGCCTTGGCTGATGATGCTGTCCCTGACGAGAGCGGGAGGGGGGATTGGGCTTTTGGAGGGGCTGGAGTGGGTGTGATGTGCGGCGTGCCCAGCGGGTAAGGCTTGTTGTGGATGGATGACCACGGTGACTCTATTGCTTGCCCGCCCATCGGTACGACCACTCTGTCTCTGTTACTCCGTACCGCAGTTGTCGTCGAACCTCAGACATCGTCTGGTCTTTTGGTCTTTTTGCCTTCCCACGGACCGCAGCTTGAGTCTGTTCTGTTCAACCACCTATTCTTAACCCCAGACGGACAAGCGCACAGAGAGGTAAAGTCCGAGGTCTCTGTCAGTCGGAGCACCGTCGCACCCGGCTTGTCATCGGTCTCGTTTTCCTTTGCGCAACCCGCCGCTGAAGTCCGTCCCAATGCCTGTCTGGAGACTGGCGTCGACCGATGTCTCGTCTGTGTCCTTCTTCCTGCTTCTACGGCCGTGGACAGGCCCTGCTTCCCTCTCTGTCCGACCCGCGTCGTCCGTCGCCCAAATGGGCAGAGTACAGCAGCTTGCGGTGGCTTGCTGCAGCTGTGGTAGGCGGCCGCAGGGGCGGAATGGATAGTAAATGACTGAACCCCCGGCGGAGCTGAGCCATGGTACGCAACGCCTGACGTATGCGGGACCCCTGGGACCTGCCCGTACCGGTGGCTTATGGGCCTTCTCGGTTTCTTTCGTGTCTTTTTCCTGAAATGAGGTCTCGCGTTGTCGAGGGGACTTGTTTAGTTGACAGGACGTGACAGGTATGGCATGGAACCGCAAGAGGTCGGCCACGAACCGAACCCTCCAGGTGATGAGCGACAGGGACGGCACATGGGCTCCCGCCGTAAAGTCGATCGCTCGCGGCGGCCCTGGATACGGTGAAGGAGAGTACCGGTGGTGGGGTGGTTGGGGGAGGAAAATCGAACCCAAACGATGGGAGCAACAATGTACCTCGCCTTGCTCTTTGCGTTGTAGAAGATACAACTTCAGTCCGCCAAGTGCTGTACGGAGTACCATGCTAGGATATCTTTCAAGATCCAAGGGGGCCATCGCCCATCGTCAACGAAAGTGCCGACGACTGCGCCTCGGCTGGAGGAACCAGAGGATGGGGCAAAGATGACGATGTGTGAATCAACTTGAATCATCCTAGTCTTCAACGCCTCTCGGAGAGAACGGGGAGTTTCTCGTTGACGAAGAAAAATCGAATTCTCTTCTTTCACGAGGGGCCAAAAAGAATGACAGAGCCGATTTCGCGCACTTCGTCTCTTGTTCGCTGGATCCATGAAAGCTGAGTGTAATGCTGTGGTTGTACCCGCGAGAAGCTGGGGATGCCGTTGGATAGGAATTGATGAATTAGGGATGGTACGGCACCGTAAACGCTCGTTCGCCTTGTCGATTGGGCAGCGGCAACACCAATATCCAGGAGCAGGTACCGCAACTGCACTGCAAAGCAACAGCGGAGGAAGGCAAGAAGGATGTGGCAGTGGACAATTGGAAGCAGGCGGTGGCTCGTACGTAAAGTCGTGGGTACTTTGCATCGTGAGGGGTTGAGGGGCGATATCCACGTACCGTCGACAAGAGTACTTCGGACTTTGGTCGACAATGTATCTCACTCCGCCGTTTGTCGCGCACCGTTCATCTGCTCCTGCCTTTAGTGGTTGAGTGGCAATAGCGCAGTCTGCCAACACAAGGTGGCACCTGGCACACGTTCAGCCTCCAACGCTGCAGCTGGCCGGTCTTTGATACGTTCGTCCGTTTTCAAGCAGTAACCTTGATTGTGCTTGGTAAGAGAGACGCCAAAACGTCCCGTTTCCCGAGGATAGCGCACAATAAGTGACAAAGTCAATCAGCACATAGGGGATGCCCGTTGGTGCTTAACAAAACGTCTCTTTAACACACGCTAAGCAATCATCTGCCCGAGTCTAAAGGGACCTTGGCTGATAGTGTAATTCATCGTTCTGCGAACTGCAGGCTGTGTTTTTCTGGCCTGCTCGGCGAGCGCGAACTTGAACCTCCAAGCCGGAGGCTTTCGGAAAGACAGTTGTATTGCATCAAACCACTGTCTGACCCTCCTCCAGCGGGTTTCTGAATGTTCTATTTTCCTTTCGGACCATGTTACCGTAGATTGGAAGCTGATAGAGCCACCCGAGCCATATTTGGCAGCAAAGAAAACATGATTTCAAACGCATCTGTCAGACGTTGCTGAGGTAATGCCCAGGCCCGGTTGCCCAGCAGGGCTTCCAACCTCGTCTACTTGCAGCTTGACTCCATCAGCACCGCCCATTCGGCTTGATGACACGCACTGCGGCGATTGCCCGGGGCCATCTGGCGGTGAACAAACACCTCGTTTGACCACCGTTTGCGATAAAAGCGGGCCTTTCGGGCACTGGAGCACCGTCCTCCGGTGCCGTGCCTTCCTCCGTCGACTCACGACTCTGACTCCTTCCAAGTTTCCTCCAAGAAGAAGTACGTACATCGTTCGCTTACCTAATGGAGGCAGGTACCTTCGGGAGATGCCCAGGGCCTGCGAGGACCCTCCCAGCAGCGAGCACAACAAGCGCAGCAAAGTTGAGCTGTCACCGTCTGACCAGAAGCGTACCGTCTCCCTGCTAGCCCAACCACCCCTCCCTCCTCCAACTCTCTCTCAACCCAAACCGTTTCCCATCGATTTTTACTCCCGGCACTCATCCAATTCGATGCCCAACCTCTCATCCGTCATAAGTCTACGGATAGAAGCAGCCCATGGAACGAAAGAAGAGAAATACAGCCAAGTATTGAAGCCCAACGGCGATACAACGATGATGGCGACCAAGTAGTACAGATGACCAACTAAACGTATTTCGTGGCCTGGTCTGGCCTCGCCATGATATCAGACCTACCCGTCCACAGCCAAAGAGACGTCGCCAGCAAAGTCATGGGTGCGTCGTGCCCCGGGTCGATATGCCATACGAGGCTAGCCAACTTTTGCCCGTGCCCATCAGCTATTATTCGAGCTTTCCGCCGGGAACGCGCAAAGACACTGGCAGGCCGCAGGCCGCAGAACAGACGGCGCCACATGGTCGTGATCATCTTGCGAACCCCAGCCTAACCAACAACCATCCCACCTTGCCCGCTTCGTCTTCGAGCTGCAGGGCCTAGAAAGTGGCAGACGAGACGGGACGACAGCAGCAGCAAACTTGTTCTCAGCCATCATGTCTCTGGCTTCCATCGACTTGTAGCAACGTCATCCTCAAGAACAGGAAGATCGCAACTAGCCTGGACATCGTCAGCAATGCCTAGCCCTACGAAGCATCTTCCAAGTCTGGGGAGACTTACACACCCACTCGCAACTGGTGTCGGCTCTGTCTCAAATGCTTACCTCGGAAAGTCCTTTCACAGGCCTTACTGCCGGATGTTGTTCCACCATGCTTCGTTTGCAGGTGCATCCACGGCCGTTTACGCATTATTACCTCTGCCCTGCATCTTTCGGCAACGTACGGCAGCTCATATCCTAACGACTTACTCGCAGTTTTCGCATAGTATTCGTCAATGGCCGCCAATGGAGGCCGCCAGAGTTTAGACACTGGCTGTGGAGTCATTAAATTCGCTGGGTACTTTGCCTGCTACCAAGGTCGGCATGTCTGCAATGTCTCCGAATTCGCCCTCTAGCTCGTCGTGTCATCCAATGTCTACGGCTGAGCCAGAGACTGGCGGGCTATCAGGGTCACAGTCGACCAGTAACGGCGACCACTGCAAAGTGTGTGCATGACACCATCCACAGTTCCCAGTCGGGCTCTCTGCATCTACAATCACACAATATCACAAACCGTTCGACTTTCAGACCATTCGACTCTCAGGACATATGTCTTAGCATGCCATCTTCTTTCCTCCGCGCCGTTGCATCCCACGCCTTCTCACTCGTGATGAGATCGTCGTCTCTACGCGGGGTCGCGTGTCGGTGACCACCAGGAAGATCGGAAGCAGGTACGAACTCTGAGCATCACAGCCCCCAATCTAGAGACAGAGGCGCCCCCTTCTGGAGACTTTGTGGGTGAGAGTGAAAAGAGCGACCGACATGTGCAAAAACTCGACACGCAATTTTTTCCTTCGGTCCCTTTTCACGTGAAATACACCTTGGACTTGCGCTTCTACTACATGAGGAGGGGGTCCGGATCCGCTCTCCATTGGTTCAGAAGACCCAGGAAGAAGAGGAACAAGACCGTCTCCCGCGACGACAAATCAGACGAAAATTGGAACGCCCTCTTGACCAGTCAGACAGAGGCTCATCTGCAGCTAAGTAAGGACGAGTAGGAACCCATGGGCGGGAGATTTTCCTGAAGCAGATGCCGCATTGAGGGAGATACGGTGCTTGAATCATGCTGGCCGAGATATCCTAGCCAAGGGCATGAATGTCAACGGACGACCAGACGTACCTTGAAGGCTTCGAACAGCACCTTGGCCTTGGTACTCGGGAATTATTACAGTGATATTCCAGGCACGAGGAGTAGTCAGCGGCTTCTTACCCCTCAGCAACATCACCCAAGATTGACACTTGCTGTTTATCACTGGTCCTTGGCAGCCAGCCGGTGGTGAAGGGGTTTCACGTTTTAGCGGTCAGCGCCGTCTGGGCCAATGGTTCGAGAGGGACCGAATCGTCCCGTCTCGTCCTGTCTCGTGCGCGAGCGGGCCTAGGTCCGTCTTCTCCACCGCGGATGATCAGCTGGCTGGTGCCGCACTGGTGTGGATATCCGACCAAGTTTAACAGCTTCTGCTAAGGCATTTCCTTGTGAGTCTTCGGCATGGCAATCCGCTTCTTGGGCAGCCAGTCTCTATCTCCAGCATGGGAGCAAGAAGCTGTCCTCAGCCTTTGGTCGATCACAACGCCTTCATCCCTCCTTGGGATGAGTCGTAGCTCGATCGGGTTCGTGCGGGCAGCGATCGGCCGTCAAAGATGCAGCAGCCTGCTCGCTGTTCGGGCCAACATGAGCAGTTAGACAGACTGTCACTGAGTGAGTGGTGAGACTGAGAAGTGAGCGGCCAACGGCTTCGAGCCACGGAAAATACAGATACGTGTCTGCGCTGGGTCACCACTCCTTCAGCAGGAAAGCATTCCGTCCGCTTTGCCATTGCCGAAACTCTTCAGGGAATGCCCTCCAACGCTCCCGTGAAAATCTTCAGGAGAAAACCGCTCAACTTAAGCCACGACAGCCGGGAGTTCCCAGCCGAATTCTGCGTGCCAGTGACACCTTACTCCAGGGACCCGGCCGATAGCCTATCAACGATAAGATTCGCGAAGTGACTGCCGGGTCATTTGGAGGGAGGGAATTTTCCCGTTTCTGACCACAAAGCGGATACCGCGCCAACAGATTCCCATTAACGTCTCCAATGACAGCCGCCAGTTACCACCCTCAATTCGTCAAGGCATGGGATGCCATCCCATCTCTAGTACCAGAATCCAGGAAACTTGTATGCGGTCGACGACTTTGTCAGTCATCCTGTGGATAAGGTCGCTGCATCTCGCAATGCTCAGTCGGCGATCGTTCCAAGGAAACGGCGTTGAGAAAAGAGGCATTTTTGGCGGGAATAGGACAAAGCTCCTGCGTGGACTTGAGCCGGTCAATCGCTAGCTTGCTAGTTTGTGGTCCTCGCGGAGCCTGGGCTATGCTCAAGGTCTATTTTTTGCTGGGACATCGCTGCCTTTTGTGGCGGTGAAGTGCCTCTCGACAACCTTGGCCTGGAAAGCTCTCTACTTTCTTTGCTACAGCTTCCATCCTTGCCATGAGCTGTTCAATTGAGGAAATTTTGGGCAACTCTTGAAAGTCGAAAGCCTCTCTCTGGTGACAGAGTTCCACAGACGCATCCAGACTTCATCAATTCGAAATCTCGATGGCAACACCATCATGCCTCCAGGTGACCTTCTCGAGGAGACGTAACAGAGTTGAGAGGGGTGATTGAGGGTCTCAGGCGCGAGCAACCCCCACCAAGCGAATCGAACCCCGCGATTCCGATTCCATCACATCACATCATCCCACCTGCGCACAGCCGCCGCATCTGATACTGGGCTCACATTCTCCCGCCCGTAACCCCCCTTCTCTTCCGACTCTCACGTTGTCCCCCCTCCTTTTCAAAGTGCGTGAGCGCCTCCTGTCTGAGCGATGTCTCCACCACTGCGTTTATTGGGTGTTCAACAAGCGCCGAGCTGCACGTCTTCACTCCCTCTCCGGTTCTGCATGTCCATGCCCGCACGCGAGCCCGTCTCCCCGGTCTGGGAGACCGGAATGTCTACCTTATTTTTCCTTATTGTTGCCTTATAGCCTGCTTCCCACATATGCATCTGCCCTCCAATGGTTCTCAGGATGGATGATGGACATGCTGCTTCGCGAAGCAGAATAGAAATTGACCAAAGACTGGAAAGACATGCCCCCTCCCTTCTCCCATCCGAACGCGGCGGTTGGCATGGTCCCCAGCCAACCGGCTCCTCACCGCGAGCTGTATGGCTGACAGTACAGAGGAGGCATATCCGAGGAGGGTCCTTTTCAGCGTAGCATCCGTACAAGTGTACGCTGATCTTCGCCCGGGGGTATAACTGAGCTTTGTCCTATCCCAACGACTCGAAGGTTTTCCTTTCCAAAGGGGAGCCTTGCAGGAGAGAGATAAAAGGCATGCGTGCGTGGGGAATCCGGCAGGTTGTATCGCTAAACTCGGGGTCATTGGTCGGCGGCACGGGATGGACATGCGGTATCAGGCATCCGGAGCCGGATAGATGGCCAGACGGGGCGGCCCATCAAGCGAGGAGGATGAAAGTCCCGGGGACCTCGACTCCATCTGCTTCCCACCTCTCACCTCTTGGGTTCATGTTGTGACAGTGGTCGATGGTACTGGCGGGCCGTCTAGGGTTTTGTCACTCTCTCGTGGCCGCTGATGGGAATTGGCCATGGTGTAGGCCTGTGTGGTAACACAGCGGCTTTCTTGAGGAGGGCCGCGTCCGCGACCACCTACCGCTGAGCCTGATCCGATGAACAAGAACCCGTTGTAACGTGTAAGCACACGATGCACCGCGCAGGTCGGAGAGAGATGGGAGGACGGACGGGAAGCACGAGGCGAAGGGGGGTTCCCGCGCCGCAGAGTACAGAATCGAGATGCAGGTCTGAGGCGCGGGCGACCAGGCCAACCAGCCAGCCCGCTTCCTCTTCCTCTTCCTCTTCTGCCGTCTTGTTGTCTTGAGCTGTCCCAAAGGCTATCTGGTCTCCACTGTTTGTCCTTTGCGTTAGGCATCCAGACATGATTATTGAAATTCTTGTCCAATGGGAGAGCCAAATTGGAAGGTTTGGATGTGTTGATTGGTATCGATTGGTGGCTGGGGAGCGGATTGCGTCGGGATTGGATGGGGGTTTGTGTGGTGGGTGAGGACCGTGAGGAGTGCATCGAATGGGGGAAATAAGCTGAGAGAGAGGCTTTGGTTTCTGATTCTGTTTCTGATTCTGTTTCTCTGGTTTGGGGTTAATTTTGATGGCTCTGATGCCTGGGATGGTCTCAAGTGCATTGGTGAGTCCTGAGAGGGTAAGGAGAGAGGAGTTTGGGGGCTTGGGGTCGAGGCAGCTTGTCTTGTCTGCCTGCTCGTCTGGTGGCAAGGCTGGGGCCGTCTTACATCAGCTCGGCGGAGGGGATACTCTGCAGCTAGGTTTCGAGGGCTGTGTCGTGGGGGAAGGCGGAGATGCACAGATAGATAGACTGTATTGTTTACAGACGTGATTTTCTTACATCAGCGACGAGTGTTTGCGAATGGTAGTGTTTAGGCAGGGGGCGTGAGGTATGTAATCAAGTTGAATACCTTTTTCGGGCTGGCCGATGTGCCGGTGCCTCTCTCGTCAGACGGATCACGTGTGTGTATTCACGGCTCTTTCGACATGAGCTGGAGAGGGGTGGATAAGACGTTCTAGTGTATCCTCACGATGAGTTTCTCAGGCAGCGTTCCATGGATTTGTGATGAAGCTGCGTCAAATTCCCAGGCATCGATCGACTCTAATTCGATGGGTGCTAGTAGAAAGTGCAGCAATGTGCAAGAATCGTGATGGTGTGTATGGGTTAGGATTTGATCCAGCCCATCCAGCCCAACTTGCACTTTCAGGTCCCGCCTCGTTGGGAGGGTCCGTATGTCTGGCTGCGTTTGAGGGGCTGAGGATGAGGGAGGGGGAGTTTAGGCTTGGTGTTTTTTGTGCCTGATTATCAGCGCGTGGTAGCACTTATCGACGCGTGAAGCAATGTGCAAAAGTCTGAAAGTGTAGAAGCATAGGAGAAGTGCAAAGTTGAAGAGGTACCTAGGCGTCCAGGCTAAGGATGTATGCGCGTAGGTGAGGCAGAAGAAGCACGCTTCTATGTGATGAGGCTTCTCTGTGTGAGGCTTATACCTGTGAGGCTGCGTTCCTATCATTGGATCATAGTCTGAGGAGGGGAAGAGGTGAGAGTGAGGCTTTGAGGCAGCTTGTGAGATGTATTGAGGAGGTGGCCAACGGCCTCAAAGACAGCTTTATCCTTCTGATGCCTAGTTGATTTGGTCTGAAGACCTCTATTTCTCGTGTTTGTGGCTATGGTTCGCCGCATGATAGTCGTGAGAGACGACTTAGATCTGGAGAGAGGGAAGACGCGCCGAACGAGGTGGCAACACGATGTTTGAGGTTCTCAGCACTCGGAATTGTAAGGCATAGATAGAGTCATGGAGTTGAAGAGTCAGCCCAAGTGTAGAGTCTGATTCCTCTGACTGCGCCGTCCTTGCTTTTCCTGTTTCTGGCCTCTGTTCCCAGCCTACATAATCCCGCCGTCTGTCCGCGAGTCTGTGGATATCAAATACCTCAAAGTGTGGGGGTCCTCTAGTGGCCATACTCTCGACGTCAAGAAAAGAGTATAAATCAAGGCATTGCGTACAGGGGATGTATGGTACTACGAGGGAGTGCTCAAGGTAGCTACCCAGTTGCAGAGTGATGAAACGAGGGAGTTTCTTGGCTCTAGACGTGTATTCAAACTCGTATACGAGCATGACGGTGCTCGGAGTTGAGAAACCTCTTAGGTTAAGCCTTTTGTTACATAACTCAGGGTTGCCTTGATCTAGAGACTAGCATCATCGACACGTCCAGAAATATGATCTGCTTGAATGCGCAGCTGCACAAGTACTTGCTGGCCAGACTGTTATTCGAGGAGTTCGTGGCAGGCTATATATATAGCGCTACGACAGACATGCCTATGAGATGATTGAAAAGACGCGGTCTAGTGGAGATCGATTGACACCAGCTGTATCGTGCAATGGCGTGCCGTGGTGTGTAAGGTTACATTCTTCTTGATATTAGTGATGAATGCTAGCTTCCAGTGCCTCATTTCCTTATCTTCATGGTTTATATGAAGGTTCGTGAAATGGCCCGGAGATGGGCAACAAATCAAGTCTCTTCTCAAGTTGCAACGAGCCCGTAACAAGCTCAGCCTCTTCTTCTCTCACAATCATGCCCTTGTCGCGTTGGTGAAATTGAGGAGTCCCATACGCGGCTCATCTAGTTCTCGGACGCCTTACGAGCTTGAGGCCCAGGTATGTCAAGACAGTATTGAGAAGAAGCAGCCGACATGCGAACCTGCGGCACAGATATCAAAATAGGAAGGAGAAGAGCGACGCACCAACGGATACAGATCCTTGGACTGTCGCCGGGCGATGAAAGGCTGTGTGTAAACTCGGTAACTGTCCGAAATGTTATGTATTATGCCACGAATGATGTGCGCGAAGGTCACCGAATACCCGCACCATGTAGTGAAACCTTGTGGTTGAGGCTGTTGGGACGGGAAGGCAGACATGGAACGGTCCGATCTGTTCTGATTGCCTGCTGCCCCATGAAACTCCTCTTCCGGCAGTAGTTCACGCAGGCCACTTTGAACCGCGTCAAACGGGAAAGCATGCCTTCACCGATATGCAACACCATGCAGGCGCCTCGTCGCCAATGCAACACTAATATCACAGCCTCACTACTCAACCCCGAGCAAGGCATTTGCCTACCTATCTACCCTGTCCCATTGAGGCTCTCCTCAATCCACATACGTGACCCGCGGCATACCATCGCGACCCCACTCCCACACCGGTAAATCCAGATCCACGACAATGGGCTTGTTGACCGTCTTGCCGCCGTGGGGATAGCTCTTGGCCATGATGGCGCAGTTAACGACGCACGTCTCCTGCCGGCCAAGGCGTCCGGCCAGCGCGGCAACGTCGGTACGGAAGGAGATTGGATCGCCGCCGAGGCCGCGGGTGCCTAGACCCGGCTCTGCGGCGGTTTCTGATTTCGGTCCGGAGGTGGACGGAGCCGCACCGGAGGGCGTATTTCTCACATCTGCGTCCGATGGACTACTCTCCGGATGCGACCCGTCGTTGCGGAGAGGGTTCCCGCCCTTGATTGACAGATTCACGAGGGACTGTTTGTTCCCCTGCCCCGGATCACTCCAGCCCTCAACGCTTTCCTCTTTGAACGCCGAGCCACCGCACCCAAGATCCCATCGCACCCTCTCGACGCCACGTCCCTCATGAACATGTCCGCAGACAGCGAGGCGTGGACGGACCCGCCACAAAGCACGTCTCAGGGCCTCACATCCCGCTGCGCGCCGGGCGCGGGATTCGTCGCAGTGAGTGTGTGGCGGGGTATGCGTCACCACGACGTCCGCTTCAGGCGGTATATCGTCCCAGAGTGTGGGCAGATCACTCGCCGCGGCGCCGATGGTGCCGTGCTGAGGCGCGTCGTAGCCGAAGGCCCATAGGCCGTTGCGTGGCGAGTACGGTGATCCGAAGATTGTGAAGGAGGTGTGTGGTCCCGAGGGGGACGAGAGACGGATTGCTGCTGTTTCGTGGGCGAGGTAGGTTATTGATGGCGAGTTTGTGAGGAGGGCTTTGCAGTCTTGGGGAGATTGTAGTGTTTGGTTGTGGAAGTGGGATCCGTGTTGGGCGTAGAAGTCTTGGTCTAGGGTTATATCATGGTTCCCTGGGCGGGATTCGGTCAGTATTTTGAGATGAAGGGATGAACGTGTGTTTTATCGTCTGGGTGAAGAGGTTTTGAGGGGGGGGGGGCTGACAGTGTGCGTACCTGCGACGACGATTTTGGTTTCAAAGTCTGCTTTTTCGAGCCATTGGACTGCCTTTGATAACTGGTGATGGCGTCAATTACTTGTTCCATACAGGATACGCCAAGAAGGAAGTGGACGAAACTCGGCGAGCCCATGTTTTGTTCACTACGTTGCCACGATGAACCCAGATACTGAAAGACAGAAGCTCATCTCTCCCCGAGCGCCTCCCACATAGCTCCCGAACAGGTAAGTAGCTGAGTCGACAACTAGGAACTTCCCTCTTGTCTCTCTCCGTACACTCACAGAAAGACCACATAGGGGGCACGTACCTCGGAATAGCTGCCTTGATTGGTCAAGTCGCCCGCGTGGATCAGCACGTCGCCCTTTGGCAGCTTGACGGTGGTGTTGTGGGTGTCGGAGACGCAGACGAACCGGGTCCTCCGCAGCATCGGCTGGCGTTGTGTCCGCGGCTGCGGCTGCGGACGGTCAGAGGTGCCGGTGTGGTCCATGATCCCGGCGATGTTGGAGGGCCCAGCCATGGACTGAGGGCCGTGCCGAAGTGGGCTCTGAGAGGTGAGTGGTGGCCGGCAGATGATGGGGGTTGATGGTGAGTTCGGGCCGCGTGTCGTTGATATGGTTCGATGTTCGATAGACGGGGTGCGGTGGTCGTACCTTGCCCCTAGGTCTCAAGTGCCGCGGCTATGCGTGCCGGTGATTCACGTCTCTCTTGACGCCAGGCCCTAGGTACGACCTGGGAGCCTACCTGACGGACTGGTGATACTGCGTCTAAGCAACGGCTTGCTCCAGAGGCAGGCGCTGTGGTCCACGTCAGAGCACGGGTGCAACCCCAAGTCTCAGTAGTTTCGGTGGCTCCGAGAGCTCGGTGGGCTGAGTAGTGTGGCTGCACCATCATATTTTTTGAAATACCTCACGTGCGCTTTACTACCCGCAGTCTTTACGCAAACCCAATCCATACCTGTAGTATCGTGTTCAATTGCGACGCGCTATGTGTTCCCTAGGATTAGTGCGGCGACTTACCCTGCGGCTATCTCTTGGTACTCATTTTAATCTTGTCATGCACCCCGCCATTTGACCCCGTTCATACTTTCTCTGCTCAAGGAGACGTGATTTCCATCACACTTCATGCCAAATCCGTGCACCGTTCGACATCAAGTCCTTCGATCACAGTGAGACCAAAGCGAATCTCTTCAAAATAAGAATAGACTACGGAAAAAGAAGGTAAAGGCGCCTACGGTTTGGTAGGCCTGTGACAAGAGCTCCACTCTCACTGCGGGGAGGCTGAATATACGTAGTAGCAACGACAAGAACGACTGGTAAAGTCCACCTAAATCTTCGACGAGGCAATATGCCACTGGATCAACTAGCAGAACAGAATCAGAATTTCCTGCCAGTCTAAGTCAATGATCAACCAAATTATAAGGGCGCAAACAGCTAACGAAAGAAAAGCTACTAGGCTATAACCGTAAACGGTAGAACTAAGAAGCGTTGTAGCAATACGCGCAGGTGAGGCTCAAAAGTCAAACAACACATTCTCCAGCCATCATCATAGTAAATCGCCTACCAGAAGCCTGGTACATTCTCGATCGATACTCTAGATACTAGTCAAATCACGCTGGAGCGCTGCTTGCCTTTTCTTTCGACGAGAAAAAGCCCGTAAGTCGTACGGACTTCTCCGTACAGACATGGTACTGCTGAATGATCTTGGCAATGTTCCAGGCTGAATGCCCAGAAGGTTAAGCATGCGATCTGCCCATGCCAACGATACAACCATTTCACGCCAACACGCTAGTTGATCAATGTAACATGTAACACACCGCACCGACCACTTGGAGGCTTGGAGGTGAGCAGAACTTGCCGTACCCGGTGGGATAGCTTCCTTTCCGCTCTTTGGATTTAGACAGACATTGGTTGAAGCACAAATTCGTTAAACCAGGCGTATCTCCCGTCCTTCGCAGCAATACAAAGCTATAAGCTGGGTCAGCAGATGCGCGCCCTTCTTCACAACTGTAAAGGGTTCAAGTCAACTAGGTCAGGCCAGGAGTTTAGAGGAGAAGAGGGAGGAAAAGATAGGGTTTAGTCATGTACGGAGTACTCCGTAGAAAATATCTGACAAAGGATGTATAGCTTCTGCCCGGTGCTCTGTAGATCTATCCTATGAGTATCGTGCGATATGAAACCTTGGCATCAGCCTAGAAAACTGAATGTGGGACGCAAGCAAAGGGCGTTCGTTGCTCAAGTTCTCAACACAGGTCGCAAATTGTCCATACTCGACCATGGACCTCGACAACATAGATTAAAATCTCTCAAAATAACAAAGTTCACCCTTCACTTTTCATGTGCTGGGCATTGCAACTGATTCAGTCAACTCATTGTCTTACGAAACCCGAACTCACATCTCTCTCAGGGTCACGGCTACAACAAGTATATAATAATTTCCAACTTCCCATGGATAGCATTCCTCACCATCACTTCAGTATTCACTGCTTCAGTAACAACGTTCACTCCATCCATTCACTTTCAGTTTCCTCTCACTAAAAACACTCTTTTACCTCTCTTCTTTTGAAAAGTACATCTTCCAACCTCGCCATGCATTCCTCATCTATCCTCACCGTCGCCGTTGCTGCTCTAGGCTTCTTCGGTCAAGCTTCGGCCTGGTGCAACTGGAACAAGAAGACAGTCGAAAACTGCTGTTACCGGGACAACGACGCGAGAGTCAGACAAGGCGGTTACATTAACTTCCCGCAGGGCACCATCTGCCCCGAATCGCACGCGAAGACATGCGGTGCCGATTGCTGCACCTTTGATACTGGTCTGGGCATTGGCTGCCCCAAGTAAGCTTCCGTGGGGGTACTCACTGGTTGCCATGTAACTCGACGGTAAGTTTCTCTCCAGATCCTGGTCTATTGAAGGTTTATGACTAATTCTTCATTATCAGGCCGTTACTGCCATTTTTGCCAACTTCCAATCTGGAGCCCTTTACGAAGGTCACAATCACTTGCTTGTTGTTGTTCTTAGGGTTGTTGGTATCCTTGGCGTATTCGACATCATTGCAGCGGTCATGAAGTGGTCTGTGGTGAAGTTAGTGGTATTGTAGACTTAGAATCACGTCTCAATCTAGATTCGCGTATAGAGGCCTGGGCATTTGGTTTCACACTGTTGAAGATACTCGTTGATATCTTCACGGTCGATTGTCGAGTCAAGGTACATTTAGGCTAGTCTGCTTGCGTTGAGGATGTTCTGGTATAGCCTGTATCAATCAACGCAGTAAGCATGCCTAGAGGCTAGTTCCTAAAATACCGACATTGATAACTTTGACTCTCGTTCCATTCTTCCAGCAAGTAATGGCAGGGCTGATGGATTTGACAAGTGAGCGCTGTATAACCGTGGATACTATATGAACCCCTTCCTGCATGCGAGGTCAACACTTAATTGCTTGCTTTCGATTCCTTTGGTTTCCTGATTTTTCTCCCGCTGGGCTGACGTTGGCGCTTGAGATTTCATACCGGCGGACCCCCCGATCGATTTACTTATTTTCACCCCAGGTTCCGCCATGGTGCAACGTCCCGCTCTTAGTAGTATCTTGAGTCAGGGTCTAATCGATGCTCTGTGGTTTTCTGGTGGTCATGTTTATGTTCAGATGCCGAGGTACGATGAATCAAACATTTATGCTCACTTGAACAGTGGCATACCTAATGTGAGAGTTAATTGTGAATGCCCCGGATTACATAGGCACATAGGCTAGATCCTCTCGCCAAGTTCGGTCGATCGGCCCCTGCTGAACGTTCCTCAGCGGCCAGAGTCGTTCGGAAATTATCAGGAAAGGACGATCTGTAAATTCGGGGTCCCCTGCAGTTTCAAAGCCAAGCTGAAGAGAGGAAAGTGACAAACATGAGATCATAAGCCTGGTGGTTCTTCTAGAAGGAAAAAATAGGGGATGTTTCAATGTGTGGAATGGATGAACGTCTGTTCGGTGTGGCCGCGCTCTATGCCGGGTCAAATGGTTGTTCATCAAAGGGTATGTGTAATTGGCTGGAGACGTGGGAAATCATCGAATGTGGGGCCAGTGAGGTACTTGGGTATCTCCCATTTCCGTCATGCGAGATCCCAGGAGAAACGAAGCGCCGCGATTGGCCATACCGGCGGTGAAGGGATCTTGTTGACTCGCATCCCCAGTTCGTTGACTTTCGTGGGAAACTCGTGAGTTCAGAGAGGCTTGCTGCCGTAAAAGAAGAAAAGGTCAGCAGTCGGTATCATGCGAATGGTCAGATGGAGAGACAAAACGGCCTGCAGGCGAGGTAAGAAAAAAGAAAGCCAAGTTTCCGAAATGGGGGGTTTTTGTGATGCGGGACACGGGCGCATGCGCAGTCACAGTCTCAGCGCGCAGATACGAAAAGGAAGAGAAGGCATCAGCCACTCTTTCTCTCAACCTGTCTGAGGATCTCGCGGGTGGTGGCACCGGCAGAATGCCAATTCCAGCGGCGGAGAAAAGAGTGATGGCTGAGAGATTGCGTTCTCACTCCGTAGTTCCAACTCCCCAGGGAGTAAAGAGTGAGAACTTGAAATTGGGAAGAAAGAGGCACAGCTGAGAGTCTGAGCACACAGACCGTTGAGATTCCTGGTTGGCGGTTTCTGGGATTGATTGCCTGGTCCAGGGCCGCCAGGAGGCGCAAATGACCAGTGCCGGGGGGGTCTCTGGCCTCGAGGGTCTAGAATGGTGCCGGCACAGTGCGGCAGCTGCAGCTTGCCGAGAGGTTGACTTACATAAGCAATGAACCGGGGGATAACTTTTGACCGCCTGAGGTTTTGGTTTTGTTCACGCATATGTCCCCAAACACTATTCCAGTTGGCACCAACACCTTGGAACAAAATCTTGCTTGAAAATGACGACGACGTGGATATAAATAAACAAACTCAACCAGGTCCGATCTCGCTGATGGGTTTAGGTGACGTTGAATTTGGGTCCTGGTTAGCTGGCTGATCTGGATGGGATGAGCCTGGATTGACAGATGACGATGTCTGGCTTATCACGTATGCTAAGCATATCCGGTCCAGCAAGTGCCCACGGCTGGCATTCCAAAGGACAAACCCACGTTCCATTTGCTGTGCAGCACACCCCCGTTCCCGGCCGTTCGACCCATCGTTCTTCAACGGTCCAACTCCACCGCAATTACGAGGAACTCACTGTATTAGGAGAAGAGGGGTTATCCTCCTTTTCTTTTCATGCATCGCTTGCGGCTCCGTTGTGGGAACCTGCCGTTGGTATGGATTCTGACGACGGGAATAGCTTCAGCAAGATAGGTACTTAAGCCAAGGGAGCAAAGTAAACTGCAGGAGCATCTAGTAGCAAGAGTAAGCTGTCCGAGCGCACCTGATGCACTGACAGCACTGTATCCCTTCCCTCCACCTGGATGCGCCTGTCTGCCACTCACCTGTCGGTGTCGTAGCACATTGGCGGTTTGACCTTCGTCCATGTCTCTCCCAGCTCCCAGACTCCCTCTGAATCAACGCCATGCCATTGAACCTTTCTTTGTCTGGTCTGCGATGCAGCGTCAGTGTCACACGAACAGCATGTGGGCCGTTGCACGGGACTTCTCTACGTCTCTGGAAAGACGTCTGGCACCCGTCATTGGCTCTTCTGTTGCAGCCGTCTTGCATTCGCGTGTCTGTCCATCGGGATGAAGAAACACACCGGTAACAAACGCATCTAGCGGTCGTTGTTGGTCTTTGTAGTTGTTCGCCAATGAGACGCGGCAAACTAACAAGCGCAATGGATCGTTCCAGCTGCCTAATGCTCTAGTACTCCGTATACGGAATACATAGCAATGTACCGATGAGGTACCTAGGCAGCTGCTCGTCCCCCTCCTTCCCCTCATTCACAAACTGTTTATCGAATGACGAGTGTGACATCTTTCTCGCTGACTACCTGTTACTTTCCGGGCCAGCCTTTCAGTCCGAGCATATCCGTCATTCTCTGCAGAAACACTTGGGGAACAAAAAGGCAAATGCGCAGATGGGACGAAGATTGCCAGATGCAACTCTACTCCCGGCAGCATATCTTCTTAATCTTATCCGTAATACCATTTTTCACTCCCTCCTCTTCTCATTCTTAACAGAAAAACCCCTCCAATATCTCACGGCCTGTATTGGGCCAGAACGCTTTCCCCCTTTCTTATTCGCTGCCTTCAACCTCGTCTTGTTTTTTTTTTCTCTTCCTATCAGCGACCGCGGCTCCCCGAAAGAGGGAATCCCACGCCTTGCACATGTGGGTCTTTTCTCTCCTGGACTGCGCTGGGGTCTGACCAACCGACCTCCTCGAATACAAGAGGGCTAATCCACAAAGGATCTAGCGTGAAGATCCAGAAAGCTACGTACTGTTGGAAGACAGCACCAAAACAGTGACACTGCCTGCGCACTGTGCTTTAAGTGTGTGCGACTGTGCGGCCCTCCTCCACTTCTCCCTCTCCCATCCACTTCGTTCACTCCCCGTCCTTGTCCATTGTCTTGCTTTTGTGTCTCTCTTCTTCCTATTGCGTTGCTCTGCACCGGCACTGTGGAATCCACGCTGAGAGCGGCCACCAACAGAGACAGAGAGGAGAGACTGGACGCCATACGCAACAACAGCTCCCCGTCAAACCACCACCACTTCCTCCCACCACCGCACTCGTCGCTGCGAATGGCCTCCCGCTGAAAGGCCTCTCTTCTCTACTATTCCCCATTTCGATTCGACAGCCCTTTTACCACGTACCACCTTCGTTGACCCTTCTACCGACCTCGTCCTCCGGTCGCTATCCCGCCTTGACGCTACCTCTACTCGCTTTCCTTTGTTTCGACACACCAGGCGACCCTGACCCTGATCGTCCTGCCCAGACCTTTTCACACCGTCGCGCTTCGTGAGCGCCTCCTAATAATCCGCTTTGCCGGAAGAGCTACCACCACGCTAGACGCAAAGCCGGCGACGCAATCTCAATCTCCCGCTCTCGTCCAACAACACCAGCTCTAGCTTCACTTCTTTCCTGCCATTGTTGCAGCACCACCATTCAATCTCGTTGTCCTTGGCCCGACACTCATCACGCACTCAAGAGACCTGCCTCGCTCCTGGACTTGACGACTTTCTTTCGATCCATATACTCCAAGAGTCTGGAGCTTGCTGGCCCTCCAGCTCTCCAGACCACGCGATGGCCGCCATGTCCGCCGCGTCAGCGACGGCCAACACAATCACGCCCCCGAGCAGCAGCCACGGCAACGGAGGTGCATGGAATAATTATACAACGGCAGACACAGAGGTGAGATGGCTGCGGTTCCGCCGACTTGGCAGACTTTTGCAATTGGCCCCGGCCATGCTGCCTGCGAGTGTATATGCTGACATTGTCCCGCAGAACCTTCAAAACAAAAGGTCTCTGGATAGAACCGAGCAGAACAGCCGGCCACCCCTATCGCAAAACGGCAGCTCGGCGAACATTTACGAATACGGCTTCGAGCCTCTGCCTCCCCCGCGAAAGAAGGCTTCCAATGACAACATATCTCTAACGAAGAGCACCAGATCATGGGACAGGACAAACCGGCGTGACCATGACACGTCGAAATCGGGCAACATTGCTGATGATGTTTTCGGGGGGAAAGCTGGGCCTGACGAGAAGCGATCGACGAACGACGTGCCCGTCTCCGACGACGACAAGTGGATTCACCGAGACAAGCTGGCCAAAATTGAGAGTCAGGAGCTCCAGGCTGCAGGCATCGTCTTGCCGAGGGCGCGTGCAAGCAGCAAACCGCGCAGAGGCCGTAGTGAGGAGAAGCTCAACGGTACCTCCAGAAGGACCACGTCCGCCCCGCCAGACGACGAAATACCTCTGCCGAGATCTAGGAAAAGCTCGATTTCGCCGGAGAGCAGAGTGCCGGAAGAGACTTTGCCAGACATGGATCTGCCTGCCTGGGATCTTCGACGGCCTGAGGAAATCGCTGTTGAAGGAGATGATGCCTACTGGACCTCCATTAGTGACAAGAACAAGAGCGGCTCCAAAATCCCCGTCGCCAAGGCCAGCCCGGCCCCCATCCCCGAGTACTACTTGGAGAGGAACGCGCCCTCTGGACGAAGACGGAGCGGTGGCAGCGAGCTCGAGACAATAGCCTATCCGAAACCGCGGCCAAGGAGCGGTAGCGCAAACACGCTCGGTGCGGCGTCAACTTTGGCACCCGCAAAGCGCAACAACACCGACATCTCTCCCCGGAAAGGCAGCGGTACCTCGAGCACGACCAGAAAGACCTCGACTCAGATCAAGGGTGGTGGAAAGACAAAGACACGTGGTGGCAAGGATTCTACGAGCAGTATATCTGGGAACAGGCCGATTACGCGATCTGGAGACCTGTCTCCCGGTGTCAAGAAGCCAGAGGGAGACCCGCCATGGATGGTTGGATCCTACCGTCCCGATCCTCGTCTGCCGCCTGACCAGCAACTACTCCCGACCGTCGCCAAGCGTCTGCAGCAGGAGCAATGGGAAAGGGAGGGCAAATATGGCAGCGTCTACGACAAAGAGTTCCGCCCACTCACGGCAGACGGTCTTCTCAAGCCACCCGAACCTGGATCGAGCACTACACCCCCCGAAGAGGAGAAGCAGGAGCAAGATGAGTGGCCGCTCAGAGGCGACGCCCCCAAGAGTCCTACGGCGCAGAGCCCTACGTCGCCGAGCATCAAGCAGACCAACTCGTACTCGACCATGCCCAAAATCTCCGACAAACCCCAGACTAGCCCGCTGCCCAGCCCTCGGGGCCCACTGAGCCCGACGATGCAGCCCCAGCAGCCCGCCGAGACTCAGACTGTCGTCCGCGTACCCGAGCAGCCTTCTGCTGCGGCCAACATGTCCATGGGCGGCGAAAAGAAGAAGAAGAGTGGAGGCTGCGGCTGCTGTCTCGTCATGTGAGCGGTCGCCGCCAAGCGCCCTGTCTCTCAACTCTACAACTCAACCCCGTATATCCCGTGTCCGAGTCACGCCAACATACCCCCTTTTCAACCGCGAGGCGAGCCTCCAACGACGTTACGAGTCTCTTAATTCCATTCACAGCATCGGCCGATCAATTAGATGTATTTATCGAAATATTCCCAACCAGACAACTGCATTGTCTCTCGAAGGCAATGCACTTGAGAGTAGCACCGCGGTCCAAGTTTTTCTTTGTTACACTACCGAGCGTCCTCCAGCAGCTTCGCGACTCAGCGATGACCTTATCCCCGATCCGACGTATGCGTCACTTGATGGCGATGGAGGTCTTGTGGCGACGCGCCGAGTGACAGGGATACTGGTTTTTATTAGAAGCTGTGCTGCGAACCAGAAAGGAGAGGAGCTTGTTTATTCGAAACCCCAACATTCCTGGTATGAATTCCGGCAGAGCCGTGGTTCACATTCGAAATCGAAAGGCAGTTGAGGGTATGTCCATCCTCGATAAGACTTGCCCCAATATTATTCCCCTGGTTATCAAAATGTATAATCGTTAGCGATTACACCCAGAAAAATTGTCAACTTTTTTGAACATCCACATATACTTGCTCATGCCGAGCTCCATCTTTATTCTTTAATTTCTGCGTGTCATGTTGTTGAGTTTATGGGGTTGCTTCTTCTTCCATGTCGCCAGGCGTTTTTATTGTTGAATTTTCTCCATGCCTGGCGTTTGCTTTTTTTTTTTTTCGAGAATGGGGAGTTTGGGCATCTGTGTTTGTCGCTGGTTGAGTTGAGGTTAAAGATATTTCCATGAAGAAAGCAGGAAGATGTGACGACAGTAGGGGTGTCGGTGAAGAGGATGGTGATACCGGGCGTAGAGACAAGCCCGTTGTCGCCGGGGAAGTGACGGAGGTGATGGTGGAGGGGGAAGATCGAGGGGAAGGTGATGTGAAGGGAGGGGACGGGAAGCTAGGCATCGGTGCGGATTTATATATAATTGATACCCCATCCACATTCCGCCGATGGCCGAGGCGCGGTTGAGGGGTAGAGTGAGAGGAGTATTTACTTCATATGAGTTGAGCTGGTGGTGCTGGACATGGTGGTCAAGGGATAGAGAGAGAGAGAGAGAGGTGCGAAGTGAGAAGGAAAGAGATAAGGGGAGCGTATTTAAAAATCAAGGCTTTATCATCCATGTCTGTCCCCAGTATCTGCATCATGAACAGCGCGCCCCTTGATCGAGTCCAGTTTTCGACTTCATTGGAGTATTTGGTGTTGATTTCGAACCACCTTACCATCGTGCATACATATTAGTAGTTTTGACCTAACCCGTCGGCCTGAAGTGTCGCTGAGGGGAATGGGCGTGGGAAAGAGGGGGGGGTTATACTCTTCGTGGTTTGCAGGTTGGACAGAGCAGGGTAGGTACGGTTGATGGGGGTGGGGAAGGAGGTAGGTAGGATTGAGGAAGGAGGGGGTTACGAGGAAGGCACGAGAGTGGCGGGAGGAACGTACTTGGGCAGCATAAGGTAGGCGCGAGACTGAAGACGCAGGACAGGGCAGCCGTGAGGAAGCCCGAGGGCAGGCACACGAGGCAGAAGGAGGCTCTACCTAGGTGTGAACTGCCTGCTCTGGGCTTTGAGTGGTTTGCTGCATGCGTTCCAGGAAGGTGGACTCGTCGTGATGCTATGTGTACATGCCTCATCGACCCTGGAGTGGAACTCTCCCTCGAGATTGAGAAGAGTTACTGCCGAATCGAGGGTTCGACACCTTGACTGAACCTCGTGGCGTATGAAAGGGACGGTGCCTACGCCGGACTGCTTGAGGACATTCCGTTCCTTGAGCAGGACACCTTCAGCTTCTTCCATTTTGAGGAAGCTACGTGGACCTTTAGTCGTCGAATGTTCCGCAGATGGTCTCATGACATGACGAGCATGCCGAAGATTTCCTTGCGTCAAGGCAAAGTGACAGTGTCTCAAAGGGGAAAGAAGTTATGGTACAGTACTACGACTTGGTTTAGATAGGCTGTCCTGTTGGTGGGATCAGGGCGGAATACGTAGGGGACGGCGAGGCATGGTGGCCACCTTGGCCTTTTCCTAATGAGTAGTGCGTAGTTACTAGTGATATAAGTGACCTGCCTGGCTGGGTCGAGTTCTTGCGCGACAACACACTTGCCATTCTTCTGGCGTATCCCAATGCGCCTGGTGCTCCAAGGCTTGGTAACCAAGTAGAGGATGGCTCCCTTCTAGGGGAATGTAGTTGGCCCCCAAAGTGTATTGAAGAAGGAAAGGGGAAAGTTCAGCCTTGATCATATATCATGTCACATCTGATTCCGTTCTCCAAATCGTACCTATACTGACGATAATCGTCATGCGTAAGCGGGGGTTACACCTGGCTTCAGGAATCCATCAACCCAAATACCACTCTCAATCATCATAGAAGGCATTCCGGCCACCGCTAACCGCCCGCGTAACAGTGAAACTCCCCGCAAGCCTCCGTGTAGTCATGCTTCCCGTTTCCCTCTAGAAAATGCTGGCCACCATGGGCTTCTGCCCCTGAGCACGATCCAACTCCCTGGGAGCACCTTCTCCGATACCGGACATGCCAGATGCCGTATATTGTGAGGGGGTCTTATCCGTATTATCCTCGGCGACCACAATCAGGCTTCCTCTGAGCCGAACCTGAACCCCTTTCGCGAGCTTTTGCAAGGCATCCACAGGCTGAAGACCCCCACCCGCTGCAGTACGGCAGTCTTGGCCGAGAGCGACAAGAGTGCCTAACGACGAGCTTTTGAGGTCTCTGAACTTTGAGTCTGAGCCTCCCGTGTAGTAAATGATAGTAATGATGAGGAAGATCACTGCAGCCACGATCTCGGCTGCGAGTAGCATAGTCCAAGGTCATGTTATCTTGACGTATATGGCTACTGTTGTTGCCCGCCCAGGAACAATGAACACGCCTAGCGTCCATTGATCATGGGGCAGTTTCATCCGGCGTCTATTCCCCGCATTAGCTGTGGCATAAAAGAACAAACAAGCCGCAAGCAATCAAGCCTAGACTTACGAAGCAGACAATAATGTGGCAGCGTTTTTATAAATGTTCTCGAGGCAAAGTTTCCGACGCTCAGGGTTTGGGATGTTGTCCTTCGAAAAAAGTATTGAGGTGTGAAGCGTAGTTGGAAAAGGCTGACCTCTGGCATGGAGTGGAAGAAATCCATTAGGAGCAGGAGACGAGCTGAGAAATGTTAAACCTGTGAAGTAAGTTCTCAAGAATTGGGATATTGTCTCCATCGCACGATAACTCGCACTGAGATATTCAGCTTCACTTCGAATTTGCTTGACCGGAAGAAATCCACTTCGCGTCGGACTTTTGAGGCTAACAGATTCGTTCCAGCGGTTCGGCCTAGTATTGCATGCAAATAAGTTGTCTTTGGCTATTAATGGGCATTCTATGTCGAGAGATGGTTTGTCGTCTTGTCCAACGGGTTCGATAAACGTATCCTCAATCAGAGTATTTTCCCCACCCAGCTGAATTGTGGTGGTAAAAGATTGTACACACAGGTGGAAGAGAACTTCGACAGCCTCATGCTCTGTACTATGGATATGGTCAATGGCCTCCTTCGCTGTCGTGGTTGGACTTTTGTCTCTAGCTCCCCACCAGGTCTTGTCGCTCTCGGTCAGTATTGGCGTGGTGTAGATTAGAGAGAATGATGCGAGTTTTGCCCGAAGAAGGGCTTTCTCGTGTTGAAATGCAAATGTGTGGTTGCCGTTCAGTATGTCTGTGGACAATGCTGCTTTGCTTTGATGGCCGAACTCATAGCCACCAGGAAGCAAAAGTTTCCATAAGCTGCCGTTTGGAAGGATCCTGTCGGATAGTAGTATTGGCGCCTCTGTCATTGTTCCGTTCTCGAACTTCTCAACTTTCAGAGAAAACGTTATGTTCGCAATCTTTACACAGACACTAAGGGATTGATATCGATTGAACGTGCAGTTGCCTGTAGAACAAAATGTCGCGTTAGTGTCGATGGCGGCATACGGTAACGGTTTCTGGAAATTCTCATAATCTTGGAGGTTAGTTTGGTAGCTACCGAAACGGACTGCTGAGTCGAGTGCATCTCTGGGGTACATGAGGTCTCGAACAGTTCGTGTAGTAGCTTGGCTTTCTGTTGCTTCATTCGCGACGGGGACTTCTTCTAATGAGTACTTGATGCATTCCTGTGTAATTGGCGATGTCAGAGCACTGATGGCGGTGAGGAGCGCTCTGAGAACCACAAAATGCCGGAATCGAAACCACCAGAGTAGTACCAAGGAGCCCCAGGCTCCTCGACTTGCTTGATCTATCACTTCGAAGTCGTAGAGAGGTCGAGATACACCATTTGTGTTGAACCAGGCCCATTGCGACTGGCTGATGCAGGCGCAGACGGGTACCATGAAGGCAGCCTTCGCTAAGGTGGTGGATAATGCGAGGAAAGAGTTAGTGTAGCCCCGAGCGGCCAGTGCGGTTGCTCTTGCGAATCATATTTGAAAAGCACGACAATGATAACTTGATATTTCGAAATCAGTATTCGGAACTGCTCAATGAGCGTTACATTACTTACCGGCTAAGAGAAGTGTACTCAATACGATGCAGAATATCTCGAGAGCCCATATTTTCCAAGTCGGCTTTGAGGTCTCGGAAGTTCTCTCGGGTTCATCAAGCCTTGCGGCACTGGCATCCGTAGGTTGCGGCCTTTCGTCAGATCCTTCAGAAGTCTGTCGAGCACTAGTGTAAGTGGTGGCACCAGCAGGTTTTCTTCGGGTTCTCTCGTCTAGAATAGACCAATCTTCATGTTGATGCCAGTTGAAAATCCAGCACGCTACAAATTGATCGAGGCCGGATCGAGCTTACCTCGCTTGCCATGATCTCGGCTTTGGAACTTATCATTATCGATCCATGAGTTTCGGCGACGGAAGTTGGGTGAGATGTTGAAGGCGGGGCTTGCGGACGAGGTGACGCCGAGCGATTCAACTCACTTGCGCTCTGCGGAGAGCACTGATTAGAGGCCACCATCGGACCTTTCCTCTGAATACAAGCATCCAGGAGCATGGCTTGGGATGGCTCTTCGGTGGCCTTCATAACTGACGAGAAGGCAATGGTCAGGAGTTTGAATGATGCTTCCGTTGGAAGATAGAATCAGCTTGTGGGTGGAGCAACGTTTCTAGGCAGCTTCCCTGTGAGATGATGAGGTTGTTATATGTTTATGGCGTGCTCAACTCTCAAGCCTACAGAGGGGTGTGTGGGATGTAACATACAGGGCTCTCCAAGTCATTACGGAGAATCGAGATTATCTCCATAATTATGAAACCATCATAGGTATTAGTAGACAGATGTCTGGCTTCTTGGATGTTATATTCGTACGCTACTGACACGGCTATCTGGTGCCACTGATCTCGGTTTATGGTAGCGCCAGTCTCGGGCTACCTCAAAGAAAAGGCGGAAGATCTTTCTAGTGCAAGGCCATTGGTAGTGGGACATAATTACGTCGCGAAGATAACAGATGTCACTACTCTACATAGATATCATGCTGTTCTCCGAAGAATTGCGCACCACTTGACTCGCTTATTCTGACTGTGAATGTCTCATCAACCAAGGGAGTGTTCCGTTGAACAAGAAGTGCGCAGTCATGGAAGGATGACTAGGCAAACACTCATTCTAACCTCGACATTGTGCCAATTACGTAGTATATTCGGGATAGGCCACGTTGTCTCATGAGTCGTAACCTAATCAGGTATTCAAACCCGAGGTTTGTGATCTCAGTAACTGCATCACAGTGGTAAAGAAGAGCTTGAATAGACTCTTGGAAGGGCGGTGAGCCGGAAAAGACTCTAATCGATTACAGGATATAGCAAGAGTATGGTAATTTGAACAGGCAGGTATCAATTCACAGTCAATTTTGACGAACTAGAAAATCTGGACCCTATATTGTAACTCTCGACAAACGCTAATGGTCGCCGGGACTAGCAACTATGCGACAGATCGAATTATCAGATATTTCATCTTAATAAAATATCACACCTTATGGTTTCCAATTGAAACCAGTACTGGTTCGTTCTTACTGTAGCAAACTCAATGAAAAAAAAAATGCCTGAAGTAGGCGTATTACGCAAGCTTAGTTCCATAAACCACCACTGCCTTCAACGAAAGACGCTTTCCCAATAATTCTCGGCCTCATGCCTCGTCTCTCCCACGAACTCAAATCTACTGGTTCAAGACCGACGCATCCAGAACAGTCGGGGTCGTCTGGACAAGTGTACCAACAGTGACATGCGGCCAGCTAAGCCCAGCAAAGTCGAGAGTGACGTTTTGGGTGTACTGGAGCTGGGTATACGTGACAGCCACGGTCTTTGCCTGCGAAATGGGGAAGTGCACCTCAAAGACGGGCACCTCTTCTCCGTCGCGAACGGGCAGAGGGGAGAAGTGCTTGCATGTCTCGTTGGCCGAGGGCTTCCAGGGCTCGAGCTGGATGTTTGTGCGGACGGTGGAGATCCAGTACTGGGCTTCCATGCTGGTGGCGTTTGCGTTGGCGCGGCTAGGGAGTTTGAGGTTTTGTTGGCCGTCGCCGACGAGGAAGCCGATGTTGGAGGTGCCGCCGCCGAAGTTGGTGTCCGTGGGCTTGGTGGTAATGGTGTAGAAGGTGTTTTCGACAATGTCCTTGCCCTTGTTGGCGTTCTTGAGGACGGTGTTGGGGTCGTCAATCATGGCTTGGGTGATTGTATTGGCCTTGGTGAAGGGGGCGAGGTTCTGGGGGAGGCGGAAGGTCGCAGGGTCATTGGCGTTCTGGCTGGGGAAGTGGAATCTGTCGTGGCTGCCGACCGGGAAGGGAGTGATGTCGACACTTGGGATGTTGGGTGCCCCGACGCTGGAAGATGGGTCGGAGAAACACTGGGCGTTGATAGTCGTGCCGTGAGGGATGGAAGCCATGCGAGCAAGGGAAGTCTTGAGGTTGGGAATGGTGGTGGTGGGAACGTGCATCCAGAGACCGGGCTCAAAGTGGATTACGGGAGGGGTCGTGTTGGGCAAGACCTCGGTGATATCGTAGATGGTTTGTGTGTAGGGGACACCGTTGAGGTCAATATCTTGCTGCTTCATCAAGCCGCGGTTGGGCACGTGACCCAAGCCAGGGGCAAACACCTGAGTCTCGTGTGTGATGTTGAGCTGGAGGATGTTGTCCGGGAGGAGGCCTTGAGGGAGCACAGGGTTGACGTCCAGCGTGGTGGGAGAGCTAGTACTGTGGGGGCGGAAGATAGTGTTGAAGCCCCTGCCGGTGAAGGTGCGATTCTCCAGCTTATTCAAGATGCCCAGCGGCGCGGCTGGTTCCGCTGGCGTCGCTTGTTGAGTGATGTTGGCATGGGCGGTATCCGGAGTGCCGTTGTTGTGGGTGTTGGCGATGAACGGGCAGCCGCCACGGCCGTTGGAGTTGTCGCCTTGTGGCTGGAGGACGGTGGCTCCGAAGGAGTTGGCCTCCGGGACGCTGATGGAGGCGGTGGTGGTGATTGGTAGACCCATAATTGCAGAGATGCTCTGATGTAGTTGGTTCTTGAGAGTTAAGGATGAAGATGAACTGTGATGTGAGAAGAATACAGGATCAGTTGGATGATGAGAAGGTGGGAGTCTTTAAGTAATTCATCCTGATACTACCGATATAACCTAAATGAAGGTAAATGGAAGCACGAGTTACACACACCACAGATAAGCAGAATTCCGCAAGCGCTGATACGAGCTGCCTGTTGATGGCTTCAGTTGAAGAGCTGAAGTGTGAACGAGACATGTCGAGCGCCACAGCCCGTAAGCTCGAAATTATCATCTCAGAGGCCTCAGCCGCATTCGAAGCTGACAGTGAGGCGTTCTCTGCTTCCCTTCCCTTCTTTCGTAAGGCGTGTGTCACTCCAATCCGCTCGCTGCCTTCATTCCGGCAAACAAAGATGAGACGCTGTAGCCTGTCGCTCCATGGTGAGGCTCGGCAGGGACTGTACACCACCTTCTGGGCAGTATGGGTTTACTAGAGATCCTTCCTTGCGAACGACGTGCCTAGGTATGCCAAAGAAGACGATGGAGAGTTTTCAAGTGTCTCATGTCCCACTCTAGGCCTTGGGAAGCTGCGGCTGAAGTATCGGCGGGCACGCGCCGGTCCGCTTCCGGAACGTTGGAGCCCGCAACCAAGCCTCATCGGCAATTTGGGAGACCCTGCAAATATCGTTGTGAAGTTCCTCCTCTTGTCACGAGAAATGTTCGCTTGACTGATGTTCTGTGAGCCAGATTCACCAGCGGACGTGCTTACGCTTAATAAACGTCGTACAATACTCGTATTCACCGGGGACCAAGTCACGGGAAACGTCGAAGGAGTCTTACATGCAGGTACATCTTATAGCCTACTCCAATCTAGCACATGTGCGTTTCCGTGGGGATCCCCAATCACTTTTCCCCCTCATCAGCTGGAATCCAAAAGTCTCTGGCTCTTTGAAATCCTCCACATTTGATTAGCAGTAATCCACATGCTATATTTCCCATGCCATGTGCTGATCTGACGGCACCTAGGGGAAACGTGGGAGTCCCCCGCTCGGGTGAGACGGTCTAGATCCCCTAGCCTTGAACTCTGGCATGCAAACTGTCGGACCGCCTCGCGCCTCCACTGCAACCGGAGAGTTTTGCGGCTTCGCCCAGGGTTGTGTCTCAACCCTTTGCTAGGCTGACTGCCACTTAGCCCGGTGGTGCGGAACGTTCTACCGCACCCGGGAAACACGATGGCGGGGTGGAATTGTCAAGGGTAGCACACGTTATTCGAAGTTGTCCTGTGCGGTGGGCAACGGGACGAGATTTCGGTGAAGAATGTGTGGCAAATCACTGTTTTCCCGTGATGAAATGCGGATCAGAGCAACGGCCGTACGGCATCCTCTGATTTTGAGTGAGTACGTATAATAATATTTTGCTGTAAGTTAGGCCTTGATGGCACTGTACCTTAAACAACAAGCGCACAAGACCAGTTGAATAAGCTACATACATATGAGGGAAGAGCTGTGTCGCTCAGGTGCTCCTTCCCGTCGGTTGCTTTCGTTCAACAGACTCCCCAGGAGTACGCACCAGGTGAACCACTGAATATTCACGGTTGGGAATCGTAGGCAGCATAGGGAGCCTGATGCCTTCCCATCATAACAACAAATACCGGGCCTGATACCTGAGTGGTGAAAGCCGCAAAGTGCTGACTGTGTGCGTTATGCTCCGTAGAATTCCAGGATTCCGGCGTTCAATCCTCGTCTGGCTCTTGTTGTTTTTACCTTTTTTTCTTTCTTCCAATGGCGATTAAATAATAAGTCATCTACATTCTACTTGTTTACTGCTGTTTGCAAAGTACAAGGCATTCTTCGAACCTACCTTAATTTGCTTCGATAAATAAGTCAGTGATAGGCTTCCAACCATCATTTCATAGTCCCGCTACATCGTCAGGCCTTCTATGTGACGTTCAATTCAATGAATGAGTAGGTGGTCGCAGTTGATATGGACGTATCGCAAAGACTGGGTACGGGGAATGATTGAAAGAGGCTCGGGGTGAGGCTGGGGCTCGGGCTACACCGGGACCCAGCCCCTTGACTTCAATATGCCCAACATTCTTCGGGTAATACTACGTTTCAAATAAAGGAATAAATTATGCTGCAAAATAACGTCAACTTCAGTAGTCTTAGCACCGATAATCCTTACGATCTACTCTTATTCTCTACACATCTGCCTGACTGAACTCGCCCCGCAGGTGACAACGATAGTTGATGGATGCTAGACACGCGTCGAAGCACCCAATATCGAGTGAGAACATGAATAGCACATATTCGTTAATTTAACTTTCTAGGATGCAATCTGTTGAGAGATCAACCCGGCAGCATAAGTAGCTGGCATCCAGAGTATGCTAGCAACGTATCCCCACTTGAAGCTTCTATTCTCATAAGAACACTATGTCCGACTTTCACATGCGAAGCAACAGCATACATTCAACTAGAAGAAAGACGCAAACGTGGTTCCAGCTTAATCGGACACCTCAGAGGTATCAGAATACAGCAAAAGGCAAAAGAATGCGTCGAGGGGGAATCGAACCCCCGGCTCCCCGACGCTGCTTGATGGCAACGGAGAATTTTACCACTAAACCATCGACGCTAGATATTGATGATCCCGTTTGGAACTCAGATACTGGTCGGTGACGACAATTGGTTTCAAGGATGGATACGGGTGTGGGTGCTGTTCTGGGTGTTCATGGGTTTGAGATTGTGGAGGATTGAGGGTTCACGATGTCCACTCAGGTTCCACTCCTCTCGTGATTAGACTCAATTGAAACTGTCCCCACTCAAAGATGGGAGGGAACCAACTTGAGCAACTTTGGAAGGCTTGTGCATCAACTTCATGTAGTCTAAGCATCTTTCTCCTTCGTTACGGCTGCCGAGGCAATAGCGGACGGATATATACATCGTCTAAGGTTGGAGAGACTTCGATCTAGATCATTGCGCACATCAGATATAGCCACGCAGTGAGCTAGTGACCACAAGTGACATCTTAATTCAACGACAGTGGTTACGCGGTGTGCTTTGTGCCGTACTACGAGACTAGCATCTAGCGGCTCTGTAGAAGGTGTTTACTACTACAGAAAGCGTACAGACATGTTGGTTTCTGATACTAGTACTGCGTTGTAACTCGTGACACTTTTTTTTGATGTTCTCTGTGACAGTGCTGGCTGAACCGGCTTTTGGGCCTCGGCAGTGCGCCGATTGACTTGAGACAATGAGGCTCGAAGTCAGTTCAAGACTGAGGTCATCGATAGGGTCAACGTCATCAACTAGCCCAGCAAATCGTATATACAGGACTCAAACTTGTCATTTGGCAATGATGTCTGGATGACTCGCCTGTGGCCCCGTTGGAGCGAAAGCCTTGTAAGACCTCTCCTATGAATTATTATTCAACTCGTCTTGATGCGTGGGTCATATGAAGGCTGTTTTGAGCTCGCCCCATTGTGACGACCAGTAGCTGTGTTGGCTCATTTGGTGCGAGTATCATTTGACTTACTGGGTCTAACAAGAGCCTCTAACTAACGATTCCTGACTAACCAACTTGAAGATGCGACTTGCTATTTCAGAAGAAGCTAGAACCTACCTCACTTCTACAACGGATGGCGATATCATGATCGTGAAGTCAGCGGTCGCATGCATAAAGGCAAAGCTTAGGAATTTAGTCGTTCGGCAGAGCTCGATTTCTTATGACTGATTGGAACAGGTCTGAAGAAGCTACGCTCAGCCGAGAGCTGATGGATCTTTTAACTCACCCTAGGGCGCTCTAAAGCTAACTCTTGCAGCTTTTAGACTAGAGCTAGCTGAGAAGGTGTTTTGACATCACGCTTTCTCAGAATTAATGGTGGTGTACAACATTGTTTTGAAGGATTTACTAGTAGTCAGAACCCACAAAGCTGGAACAGAAAGGCCTGTTTGAAAGGTGAATTTTGAGGACGACCTGAAGCTGGCGCATGATGCATCTTGGATGAGCTGTCTCAAAGACATGCCCGCTGAAACCGTTGCATTGGAGAAGAAGGCCAGGAGATATCATTATTAATTGCTTGAACAGAGCTGCCACTATCAGCAGAGAGAGAAAATTTGGTGGCATAGATTAGCGTGACTCGTGGTCATTAGATGGCCCTGATACAAGGTGAAGCCTCGCTGCCAGCGGGGGAACTCAAAATTGGCTGTTTCTATAGAGAGCAAATGATGGACCTTCATCTTGAACTATCAGCTGAACCTCTTTCACGTTCTTTGTTTTTAGAATTTCTTACCTTCCAGGACACCCGCCGATATCTCGTGGCTTGCAGATCGAAACACTTTCGCAGAAGCTCGCGCCTCTCCCTTTCACACTCCACCAGCGAAGACCCAAATGCACGCTACTTTCTTGCGGCTCCACGCCTTGATCCTAACTCCGGTTAGATGGGAACCCTGAAATCGAGGAAGTGGCGTTGCGGGCCGCACCAAAGCCGCATTAGAGCTTTCCCCGAATCCCCCGGCGCCCCGAACAGGGAACCGAGTCTTGCCAGATCCGGATACGAAGTGAATAACGACGTCATGAACAAGCCTTTTCAAAGACGTTGGTCGGTCCTCATTCAGCCGACAACTCAACCAACGTTACGTTACCTCGTTTTTAGCGCTCAAAGACCGAGATTTGCTTCAACGTGTTGGCAACCTTCTCTCCCTTGGAAACAGAAATTAGCCGCGAAGCCGATATAGGCGAATTCTATGGTGTCACTGTGCTGTTAGCGATGTCTCATAACCCATTGCCACGGCCCCTTGACACACGCAGTGGGTCTCGTATAGGTAGACTCAGTGGTCCACCATTCGTAAACTGGCGAGGGAGAGGATTGGTGAAGGTCTCACCGCCATGGAAGAATGAGCTGGATAAACCTCCTGAGCACCTATTAATGCAAAAGAAAAACTCTATCGCGCCCCAGCGAGTTCGAGTCACAATGACTTGCTGTCCCCGTTCCGTCCAACTGACAAGTAGCAGGACGTCGCATCGCTTTCGGTTCCCGCGGCTTCTTGCATTTTAAGTCGACGGGAAATGCTCGAACTCTGGGCTTACAATGCTCTTCAAGCCCTGTGAATAGTCAGTTGGTAAACACAAACAGAAACAACGAATCATTATCTCAAAGGAGTCCACGCTCAGGATTCCGGCCGAGCAACAAGTCATGCATAGAAGGAGACCCCTGCCATCGACATGCCAACGCTTCAAGCTTGGCAGGGGGAGTGGGGTCAGCCACTGCACTTTGCGCGCAGGAAATCGGCTTTGACCCGGTTCATCTGAGCCGTGGGAAGAAGCTTGGCGTGCGTAAGGCTCGCTCGCTCGACTTTCTGGGCTGAAAAAGAAGCCTCCGGGGAGCTAGTTTTCTCCGAGGTTGGGGAATGATGATCGCGCGACAGGGGTGACTATGTCTGCACGTTGCCCAAAATAGATAGATTAAAAGTTGACAATCGTCCCATCATGTGCCTCAAGGCGGGGAAAGGTGTGGGGTGGTCCAATCAAAAGGCAATACGTACGAGCGTTCGTCTAATCATACAACATGAGCTGCCAAACCCTTGAGCCCGTCATGGGGGGGGGCTTCTCTGGATCTGTGGTGAGCACGCGGGAGTTTAGGCTGGAGTCTTTTGAGGGAATTCTAGGTGCTCCCGCAATTGAAGTTGGAAAGCCCCTTTTCGATGTTATGCTGCATGGTCAACATTGGCGGTGATCAAAATATTGAAGCTGCTGCATGTGTACTCCGTATGGTAAGGGGGCGCGGCTGATGTGTTTCATTATGCGCGACTCACCCCAAGATTCCTATTTTGTGTATGGCAGGAAACTGTAAATTGGATAGGGCTATTGTTGAGTAACTGGAAGTCGACTTTTCCGTTGTTTATTTTGCATAATAGACGTCATATAGGGGTTGGAGGCTATGACGTTTCACCTCAACACTAATTCGGGAGTCGGGTCAAATACGAGTTCGGCAGTACCGGGGTCCACCGATCGCCGTTGGCGATCGTCATTGCCCCGGTGGATAGCCTCCCGACTCCTCGTATTATCCAAGATTCAGTTGCAATCAAAAGAATATATAAGGTTGACAACTTCGCAAGCTGTACACATGTCTTTCTTTCTGTATCACACACAATCAACTCACACAACAACCTATTCTTTAATCACCAACCAAACACCAAAACAACCTTCAAAATGCAGTTCGCCACTCTTCTCGCTTCCGCCTCCGTCGCCGCCGCTGCTGCCATCAGCAAGCGTGACGTTACCTTCAAGGTTTCCAACTTCGGTGCCGACTGCATCCCCCACAGCACCCAGTGCTCGTAAGTCTACAACAACCTACACTATCATTCAACACATACTAACAACCATCTTCCAGTTACGGATTCACCGTCATCCAGCCCGGCACCATGGAGACCACCGGTGTCAACTGCACCGCCCTTGTCGCCGGTAACACTGACGGCACTCTTCCCGATGTCAAGGAGGGCGCTTGCACTCTCTCCTCCCGCACTTTCGACGTCGTCCGCAGCGCCGAGGGCCTCACCCTCACCGTCTCCCAGCCGGTTACCCCCAGCAGCAACCAGACTGGCTCCCACCTTCTCCCCAACTCCGACTTCGAGATCTCCAACCAGCCCAACGCTGTTGTCCAGCACTACACTGGTGCCCGCTCTTTCGACCTCGAGTAAATGTTTTACCTCGTTCGATTTCATCGGAGAATATGCCCTAGCGACCATGGGAAAGGGTGTGCGCCTTACACGTAGCATTGGGAGGATGGCAAAAGATTGTACAACACATGTTTCGATAGAGTGAAAAGATACCATCATAGAATTCAACCGGTTACTCATCCACAACTTGTTAGCCTCACTGTTAAACGCCCTGTTGCAGTATAACCACCAGGACCGCCGTGTGTTATGCTTGTGTTTGCTGCCTTCAGCAACATTGTTAATGTCACCCCCGATGTCGATTCTATCAAGGACTTCGCTGGCTGAACCAACGCTTCCGGCACCGGCCTCGCCAGCCTCGTCGGCAGCCTCGTTACCATCGCCGAGGACATCGACAATATCTCCGAGGAAGCTTATGTTGACTGAAGGCTTCGGGGTATGGGCAGTAGTTGTAGATTAATTGGGGGAGGGGGTTCAGAAAATCGGGTTCTGAATGATGAATAACAGTTGAACTTAACTTGAATGCTTTGGCCTGGGATAGATTCAAGGTTGTTTCTCTTCGGAGACGTTGAACCTTACATAACTTCTTGGTTTCTGCCTGGAGTCGGAGTGAAAATGAGTTCGACAGACAACTAGAGCTGAGCCAAGTCATGTACGGCGATATTATTCATACCTCATGGGTCCTACTGCCGCTGAGTACAAGCCTTCAATCAGCCGCGCTCCCGCCTACTTCCCGAATCAGACACGGGATTACGCAGACATCCGTGATCTTGCTTGACGCAACCATCACATTACAAAGGTAAATGATAAAGTTGACATCGCAATCCGAATCAATCCATTTCTCGTAGACGATAGGGATACACATTGCTGTCGTCTTATGCAGATGCTGCCAGTCTTCGTCTTACAGCACCCTGCAAGGCAGACGCAACAGTCTTCTTGGTACCTCGGCCATCCTTCACTGAGACCACACGACATCACAATCTGTAAGTTATGTTGAGGCATCCCAATCAGAGCGATGACCTATGACACTTTTCAGCCGGCGGGAAGCGGCACAGCGTTTTTGCAGCTAAAGCAGAACATATATTTGTCTTGTATAGATCAGGCTCGTGGAGCTAACCCGGTTGTTACCTGCCCGCCCAATAATCATCCTCGCCGGCCTCAAGTTATTGTTACGTCCATTGCGATCCAACCAAAAAATGAGGCAACCAATCATGGTGAGACCCCGCCGTTCTATATAAAGCTGTGGCGTTATCAACGGGCTGTGCTGCACCACCAAAATGATAGTTACGCAAGGTCAATACTTAGTTGTTGGCGGCTACGTCTGGAGCCTGATCACATGCATACCTTCCCCTGTCAGGCTTCTACTCCCTCTCAATTACCGAGAGTCTCTTCCTATACTTTGCGTCGAGCCCTTTTCTTCACATAGACGCGTCCCTACTTCAGGTCCAAGACTACTTCGATGAAAGAATCGAGGCTAAAGGCAACTTTCTCAATGTCCTGGATCCTCTGTCTGTATCTAGTGGCGTTGCTGGTCTGATATCTCTCGGAATCACAGTCTGTAAAGGCCTCAATACCTTCTGCCAGGATTATGGATCCCGCGACTTTGACATCATCAATCTCAAGGAGCATGCGCACAGGCTAGATTCATTTCTTCACTTAGTCCAAATTCGCTTACAAGCATGCCACAAGGTTGATTCGGCGCTGTCGGCGTCTTTGCAGAACTGTTTTGGCGCCTGTTGGGGATGCATCCAGGAGTTTGAAAGCCTGGCTAAGAAGCAAGCCCGGTTGACAGGTCCAAAAGGGATCAAAGAATATGGCAAAGATGTAGCGAGACACTTGCAGTATCCCTTACAAAAGGCCGAGTTCGACAGGCTGAAGGCAGAAATGCAGGACTTTTACGCTGCCATGACAAATTATCTACTCTTGATCAACCAGTAAGCTGGAACAAGATTTCCCTACGTGAGTGTTTCTAACTTAGCCTTCAGTGACCTCAGTGCTGAGCTGCGAGAAGCTGCAGTTTCCGAATCCGTCAGAATTGGTTTTCTTATCTTGTCTGAGAAGAAGAAGACAGCAAGCCAAATAGCTGCCTTAGTGCCTGCTCTAGAAAGAGTAGTTGACGCAAAGTTAGCTGGGCTCCAACAATCATTCGACCAGCGCCTCAAGCTTCTCTCAACTGCGGCTTGTCGTCTTGGGGAAATTTCGCCAATACTATTGCCGATAGATGAAGTTGAGAACCTGAGAGTACCAATACTACATCACTGCTCTGCCGAATCCCAGGGCAGCGTTGCAGGCTCACTGACCTTAAACGCACGGAAATCACCCATGCACCGTCGTATCTATAGAATCGTCTCATGTTTTTACCGAGGAACGTCGAGCGGAAGCTTAGGCTTCCACACAGTCAGTAGGTTACGCGATCACTCAGGAATTTGGATGCTCTTGCAGGGCTAGCCCCTATTCAGACAACGTCATCGCTCTTCACAGCGTCTACGAGACCATGACAGCCATTGCGAGCTTTCCTTCATGAATCCCCATCGACGAGCCATTGAAGGGACGCTCAAACTCTTCAGCACCCTGTTTTCTTGGAGATTGGAACTACAGTATTCGAAACAGATACGTTTAAAAACCTTGCAAATTCACCCTGCAATGACAGCTCGTTCATTGGTGTCAAACGACGCACCTTCTTTCTTCATTGTCAATGAGCTCGTTGACAAAACCCGACATGACATCACAGCAGATATTCTGCAAGCTGCGGTAATATCTGCGCTTAAGGACCTTCGCTGTCTATTCAGGGATGGTAAAGCTTGGCCAAGTGATCTCAACTCCAGCGACCAAACCCTTCTTCAGGTAGGAAAAGCCTATGGCACAATCTTGCGTTCTAGTTATGCTGACTTGAAAAGCGCGCCAGTAATGTGAAGGGCCGCTTGTGGTCTGATCGCATGTCCGAAATTTGGGTTCAGTTTATGAAAGAGCTAGTGGTCATGGGCGTTCCCTTGAATGAAACCGGAAGGTGAGGGTAAAATCTCTTGATATCTTCTGTCGTCACCAAAGTGTTCTAATGTGAGCAATGACTTCAGGTCAGCTTTGGATTCGTTTCTTCATCTTCAAAGGGGTAAACGAGCTGGTCTTATGAGGAATACCTCAAAAGATCTGGAAGAAGGCTCGATAGGCATTGCAAAAGGTTTACTCGAGCTAGGTGCTCTGTCCATCGGCCCAGCTATCAATTACACGGTTTTCGTATCTGGGGACGTTCTGAGTATACCTGATATTTACCAAAACTTCCCAGAATATGTCGACAGTAAGTACAAATCTGATTTTCAACTAAACTACCTTATTCTCAAAGCTTCACCATTAACACCGAAAGGTTTTGATTATGGATCTTTATCCTGTGCACTCCTTCAGAAGTCAGAATCAGCTATCAAGAGTATTCTTGGAGGGTCGCCCAATTCAGTGGCCGAGCGAGGCTATCTTGGTCAAACCCCCCTTCACGTGGCTGTGTACTGGCCCAGAGGCCATGAATTGCTCTTTGACTTAGCCGAGGACGCCTGTCTTCAAGTTATTGATGTGGAAGATGCCACGGGATTAACGGCAATCTGTTCGGCCATACTCCTGCACCAAGCAGACTCCGTCCAGGTTTTACTCTGCCGGGGAGCTACCATCGATCTTGAAAACACTGCCACGTTCTTTGGACATCCCAATGCCTCTGATGGATACTTTCAGAGTCAGGAAGTCGTCGATCTCCTGAGTTAAGAACTAGCTGCTCGCAGACGCAAAATGCTGCTTTTCGCCAGCAGAAATTTAACGGAAAAGAAGTTATCCGAAATTGGAATGACGAAGTCAACTATCCTCCAAGAAAATGCCTTTGAGATTCTTCAGGCACTTTCGGTCCTCGATATGATATATCGAGATTCCCGCAATCTTTCAGAGTTCGTCCTGGATCTATTTACCATTCCCCTGTGATGAGCGCGTAGTTAGCAGAGGCTCTATATCGCTCCGGATTCGACCACGTCAACTCCGCGGTTCATGGCTGTACTCCTCTGGATGTCATGAGGATAGCCGGGTTTTTCTTTAGGGCAAGTTTTGATGATTCCATAGACTCCATTACCTGGTTCGAGCGCCATGGGGTAGATATCAAGCATTCGATACCCGTTTTCAAACACGGCTCAAAGGCGAGTATTACTCCAGGTTCTTCGGGGCACACGACTCTTCATCGGTTGGCAGCCGGGTTGGGTAGTGTATCGAGAGGTGACTGGCCGTGTCAGACACTTCAAGCTTTGAGTGGTTGCACAGGAAGCTCCGTTCTCTCGAGAATCGTGTCAGAAACCTCGAGAGATTGTTGCAACTGTCATTGCTCCAGGCAAGGCTGCAGTCCACCCTCCACATTTGCCAAGCCATGGCGAAAGAAAGACGGCCGTAACCGAGGCGACCGGATGCTGAAAAGCATGTGGGATGTCATAACGAACCTGGTAACTTTGTCACATCAAGAACATGGACAAGCGTTGCTATAGTTCGTACGCGTCGCAACTTTTGACGACCTTGGCATAGGCCATAGTTGCTGCGAGTACAAACACTATAAGGCTTCAAGGTCCGTCGAAGTCGAAACCATTTACGACCCTGTGTGGATGACAGATTCCGACGAAGTAGCAGAAATACAAGAGGAAGATCAACATTTGGCCATCACGCTGGAGCAATTGATGGAAGAGTTTAATGTCAGACTGAACGAGCCGAGTCTCGATGTTGAGGGTTTTTGGTTGTATTGGCGCAAACGAATGGGAGAGTTCGAGAAAGCTAAAGAAGAGATGGTTTCCGAGGATATTTGTGCGATCCGAGAAATCGGAGTCAACCTAGAATGAGGTAGTTCGGCGTAGGCAGTCTTTTAGGCTTTGTCTACCCAAAGTCATAACCTAAACAAATCACAGTCTTCTTCATGTCAGCAAGAAACCTCGAGGCTTCGAGGATTACGTGTAATTTCCGGATTTGGTATTAAATCCCCGGCCTCCGAAAAGCGGATAGTGACAAGCGAGAGGACTGTTGTTTCTAAATTGTGACACTGCTTATGCTACATCTTGCAGGATGTTTGGCTGCATTCTTGACTCGATAGCTAGGTATCTCGCGCATGAGGGCACATCAGCTATTGATATTTTTCGAGATACTTGCTCGAGATGCACTGCTATCGATGTGTACCGCACGAGCTAAGTCGTCAAACAGCACAGCACCACATAATGGCTTGCGTCAAGGACCGTACATGATTGTCCTCTCATTGACTACCTAGTAGCACGGCTCGATAATCCGGTGACTACATTTCCTCACCGGACCCGACGGGCCAGTGGCCCTAGCGTCAAAATACAAGTCACTAGGTGTTTATAGTTTTTTTAATACCATTGAAACCGGGCGAGGTCTCCCCTATGTGACATGCAGTGGAATGTGATTTACGTTTCATGGTTCTGATGAGTCGTCATTCACCGTCGTGCCCTCTTGACCTACTCTTTCTAAAGTCCAACGAAATGATAACGGTCAACGCCTTGAAACCTCTCAGCGACTGCCTCTGTTTTTGCTAACGCAAATATCCAATGCTTATATACCAGTCAAGTAGTTCAGCGGAGAGGTTAGCTCGGTTCCCTATCGTTGTTCGGGAGCATATGGCCTATAGAATTATACCCACCGAGTGCTCCATCCTTCCATTGATCACTCAGCCGAGTCAAGGAATGCCAAGTCGGATCGGCTCGACAACGTTTTCTCTTCTAAACCTTCAACCCCATCGCGAAAATGGAGTTGCGTAAGCCGTCTCCTACCTCAAGAGCTGATCCCCTGGAAGGATCAATAGAATCACGATACCTGTGATATATGACGGAGCTCTTATTTGAATGGTTCGTTGACCAATATAATCGCCTACTTGGCCGTGCTCATCTATATTTCAGAAACCCAATATCAGAATGAATCCACCACAGCGCTGTCACGGCTCGTAGTCAGGCCTAAAAGTTTCGAACTAAGGTACCTGGCGATCAACAACAAAATTGAAACCGAAAGGCTGCGAAGTTTGGGTGGATAGCATGGGGGATTTTCTTGATAATGGAACATCAAGAAACACACAGGAATCATCGCTGTCCTTCGCAAATTCCCGCATTGATGTGAGGGCGGCTAGAAATATGGCAGCACCATCGGTGGGGCCGCGAGCGACGATCGTGGAGTGTTTGGTGATGTTAGCTTCCGTATTCTCGGCTACTCCGGCATCCACACGGTGGTTCGCTTTATCATTCGCAAAGTTACATGCCCACACCAAGAGATTGACAAAGTTTTGTCGACATAACTTGGTCTCTCAAACAAGCTGTGATAAAGCTTCTCCTATTCAGGTACGAATATTAAGATATTTTACCAAGTGTGACGATGTAAGTATATAAGCTATACATTCAACTTCAATTATTCCTCATGAAGTCATTAAGACCAGGAAATACCTCCACACAAGACCGTAAGCCTTTACCTTCCTTCATCCTACCTCCTTAAAAACGCGTCCACCAACCCCCGAAACACAACAGTCATTGTCATCACATCACACAAAGCAAAATGAAGTTTGCCACTGTACTTGGTCTTTTGTCACTGGCAACCGCCGTTACCGCAAAGCACTACTGCTTTGGTGGCTGCGTCAAGTGCTACTGCGGCGACATCCAGTACGACGACCACCGATGCTCAATGTGCAGTTGTAATCACAACGCCTACAAGTCCGACGACCCCAACAATAAGCAAGGTAACTGCGATCAGCCTGGTGGATTTCACCTTGGATGTGGCTACAACTCGAGCGGAAAGTGCAAAAAATAATGGTGCTGAGGCGGCGATTGTCACGCTAGAAATACTTGCTCATGGAGAAGGCAGGAGCCATTATGTCACTCTGGGGTCGGCGTCCCACGTCAACGTGACAAGAACGAGCGCAGGAGAACAAGTTAGGACCAATTCCATGAGTGTCAAGGCGGTATAGATGCCGGTGCAGTGTTCATATTGAGACCTAGGGGTTCTTGGAAATAATAATTTGGCATACCCTACTCCTCGACCTCTTTTTAAGACACCTGAAGTGAATGTACGCCGAGTGATTACCATCTTACATTATCATGAGATGAGATCTAGGGCTTCCCACCTTCCGTCTAAGAGGAAATCACACTACATGTGATGGGCTGGTTTATTCGTATATGAGCTGTACCCACTTGTTACGAACTATAGGCCTCATGACTCTGAGTCGCTAAGTCTTCGTATGAATGGAACTAAATATTGGCTAGGAAATAGAAAAGCTCAAAGGACAAGAGCTAGAATCTTCCAAATTCTATTTGAAGTGAACACGGAATGGCGGGTATACTATACGAATGCGGCTACATACGTGGGATTTAGCTCATATTGGTATAAGGCTGACATCTTTAAAGTTAAGTGATTCGCGAAGCTTAGTTGAGAGCAAGTCGTAAGCTAGAGAGCCTGACCAAGTAGGGTACGTAGGCAATTAAACTAGAGTCCAATTTCAAGGAGCGTACTAAGCTTGAGGTATCCCCTCGGCGGACTTAGTCCATGCGGACAAAAAATGTCGTTAGAATTGCGTGTCGACGTCTTGAGTTTCATTCTTCCCCTGGTACCGGTGGGATGCTTTGGGAGTACTCTACTTTTGATGAATTAGAGTTTGATTGCCGGCCTCAACGGCATAGACCATCCTACCGACGGGATGGAAAGGAGGCAGAGCTCAAGAGAACACGACCTCGCTCGCGTGGTACCCTCGTGTCTTCTGCTCATTCAAACCTCCACCGCCAAGACGAACACCCATCCGGATACGTGCACCGAACGCCAATAATGGTCGCCATCACCCTCCCGCTCCTAGCAGCCCTCGCAGCGAACCCGTCGCGACTCGGCATCGTCTGCGCGCGCTTCAAAGAATCTCTCGATCCCTGGGCACCCGTCGCCGCTTCCACATACCTCTACTCCAAAGGCGGCGTGCCCCAGACGAACGACACCGTGCAGCACTCCTCCTTCCGCTCTTACGTATCCCTCCGCAACATCGGACGAGAAGGCCACACTCACCTCTACCATATCGTAAACAACTACGACACGCTCGACGACATCATGATTTTCACGCAGGCGGACCCCTTCGACCTCATCGCACCCGTCGTAAACACGACGGAACAGATGGTGCAGAAGGCGATGAGCGTCCCCGCGGACGACGTGACGCCCTTCAACGACGCGCTGTTCCACGATGTTGCGGACTGGGGCCGGATCGACTGGAACAGCTCGGCGCAGAAGCTGTGGATCACGGCTAGTCAGATCAAAAGTTTGCAACTTGCGCCATACACGCCGGCGCAGTTCTGGACGATGGTGGTGGGCGGAGAGCATCCGCCGGCGATTCGGGCGATGCACGGCGGGACGTTTGCTGTACGGCGAGAGACGATTCGGAAGTTGCCCAAGGAGGCGTATCGAAAGGCGCTGGATGAATTCGAGACGACGAATTCAACGAATCCGGAGGTTGGGTTCTTCATGGAGCGCATGTGGGCTCCGATGTTCTCAGAGAAGTACCGGCTGCCGAGTGTGCAGAATCCGTGATGTGGTGAGGCATATGAAAGAACTGTAAGGAATAGAGCAAAAGGGAATGGTATTTAGTCTCAAATGCAAAAGATTACTTCTCCTCGACGCGCCGTTAGGCGTCTGTTAGTAGGTGTTTGGCTCTAGGATTAATCTGATATTAGTTCTGGCGGCTAGCAGACTGCTGGCCAAATCATCATCATCATCATCATCATTCTCGACTATCTGCGGCTCGTCAATGAGGCCCTCCATGGTCTTGACGGCTCTCAAGACGACGCCGCCGTACAAATCCTCGTATTGCTGGCCAATGTTGCGATAAATCGCTTCAATGTAGGCTCTAGCAGCGTTGAGTTCGTGGCAGTTTGCTAGCTTGTGAAGAGCTTCGTGTAAGGGGACAAGACGAGGAGTCTGTTCGTAGTTAAAGATTATGGCGGCATATTGATTGACAGAGATTGCCGAATCCTTGAGCAGCTCCTGCAAGCACTTGATGTCCTCCTTGACCATCGATAAGAAAGCGCTCCGCTTCATCGTCCCTTTACCGTGATATCCTTGTGGCACGGTGGGTGGAGCGAGGCAAATCGCGGCATCTGAGGCGGCGGCGACGTGCAGTCCCACGTCGCCCTCCTTAACTTGAAATATTGGAAGGTCCTCGCCGTTACGGGAACACCGTTATCCAATAAATGGTTCGATATTTACGGCCTAATCGAGTTTTTACCTGGGAGCCCTTTTCAGTCTTTTGAGCATTTCGCCAAATGCTTTCCAACAGTGATTAACGGACGCCCAAGCAACATTTGCGAGACGGGAGGGCTTTTGGCGTTCCTTGACGCTTTCAAGGTCACACGCCCCCAGAGCATGATGCACCTGAAAGGTTTGGAGGAACATTTAGTCGAAGCTCCCCTCAGTACCCAAAAATCCATTGATATCGCGATACTTGCCGACGAGTTCTACCGTCCAGCTCGAATGAACTCGGACAAGGACGGATATGACGAGGATGGTATGGCGGCAATGGCCAAGGCAGTAGGGGCCGAAACCCTGTCCGTCTCCGAGCTGCTATCTCGAGGGGATCGAGAGCAGGACCCCAAGGCTCTCAAGGCCTTCGACGACTGATTTGTTAAGATATATTCTATATTGAATATTTCCAAGATAGAAAGTGATAATGATAATGGTAGTTATGGAAAAGTTAATGATGGGAAAGATAGGAATATTACGTATTGGGCGAGAATCCATTGTGTCACCCACTTGACTGAGTATGGGGAATTCAAGGCATGAGTAAGTAGAGAGCTACGTTTGGGCCAAGGTGTAGGCCATCCGGCCCCGGCTTAGAATAGCGCAGATAACAGACTTCCTCGGATATCTAAATTGACAAGCATCCGCCGCACATGTTGGTAAAAACATGCCTTCTAGCGCTATTCTTTGAGATGAGCTCATGCGTTTTGAGATAGTAGAATCGGTGTAGTCGGCTCCATGACTTTGCGACTTGGTCTTCGCGAGGGAACCCATAGGCAATGGTCTCATTAGGTCTGACCCACCATCTGTCAAAGTCCAAATGGGCGTTATCCGCAATCATTGAATGTGAAGCGAGAGTACCCATGCATACATATTACGTTGTTTGCTGGAATCTTCGTCACCCGGAGCAAAATTTCCGGGAGCCATCCCGCACCCCCACGGCCTCGTAGGACCGGGGCGGGGCACTTGCACGGGACGGGCGCGGCATCACCATCTTCGTTACCTCGGACCCTCGTCATCGTAGGTAAAGGGCGAGACACAAAGCAAACGGGGGGCTATGGTTGTGACTGGCACCCATAAGCTGCATCTTGGCACTTCCAGTAGTTTCGTCTTCGAAGACGGAACACCCATTCCCCTCTCGTCGCTGTGGTCCGACGCTTGCTACCGGTACTACGCGAGGTTGCTTCACCCTGCATAAGGGTTCTGCGACTATGTCCTTAGTCTCAGGGTCTCAGCCTAGCTTTTACCAAGAGGCTGAGCTCTAGGCGATAGCCTCAACGGCGGTGACGCCCTCATATCCTCTAGTATTCCGATGAGAGAGAGAGGCTAACAGCGCACTTGCATCGGAGCAAATGTCGTTGGCATTTGTCGAATGGTAGTGCCCCTCCCATCGCTTCGAAATCCGACAGCGCGTAACCTCACACCGGGAACAACTAAAGGCACAGGGTCTAGGCTCGAAAAAAGCTACCTTGGCGATGCGTATTAGTTCATCCTACACCAATACTCATTCCCTCCCTAATCGTCATCCCGCCTCCAAGGAGGATTCGCAGCCAAAATCCAGATTCACAGGGATTTGACCAAGGTCACGGATCGAAGGCATAGGGCCCTCATCTTCCTTCCTTCCAGTTCCTGGCGGTCAATCATGCACAACCTGTCATCATTGTACATTGGCGCCGCATGTCATCCCGTCGACGGCGCGTCTAGACCCCGAAGATCCCACTACAACGCACCCCTCCCCTGCTCGGTGAATAGTCTGTACCCTCTCGGCCGGGAAGCACTAGCGTTCCTCCCATTTGGGATTTCAAGTCCGAAATGCCGGCGGGAGGGCTTCTGTACAACAGCATGGGTTGAAGGGACGACGTTCGTTGCAGTTGTCGTGTAATGAAGCGCCTTCCGTGTATGCCAAGGGGGTGTATAGTGGAGGAACAGAAGGGGCCCGAAGCATCGGTATTACTTTACCGAGACAGGAAGACACGGCGCGCCTAGCGCATCAGCCGCGATGCGAACCAGAACCCATAACCTTCTCGACACGCCCCAAAGAAGGACAACATGCCATTCCAGTATCCATGAGAAGGGGCCTCGGATCACATATTGGCATCGTTGCCTTCCGGAGACGGACATGAGGCCACTTATGGCTTTCGATGTGCCGGCTCTCCATCGGCACCCGTCATCGGGGGTCGTGGGGTGCCGGGCTGTCGCGAGCCGGGCTAGTGAAAGCCCGTGGGTAAGGGGATGGGGAGACACCGGGCTTTTCGGACGATGCAAAGAAGATGAGATGACGGGGTGAAATCGTGAGCTAGAAGCTCGCGGGCATAGCCAAAATCGGAATCGGAAACACGCATCGCTGTCAGGACCATGAACACTGGTTCATGAACGCGGGCCGGCGAGTATGCCGTCGAAAGACATGCCAACCACTTCACCCCAGTGGGAGGAAGAACCTTGGCTTGTCTTCTATGGGGCCAGATAGCATTACAATAAACAAGACAAGCGTACATAACCACAGGGTCGTACTGCCAACAAGTGGTGCCGCCAGACCACCGACTGGGTGCTATTTGGTTCCGCTGACAGATCAACACCCAGCAGCATGAGGAATCAAATGGGCAGAAAAGCCATAGAGCCGCACTGGGGAGAGAGAAAATCCCAAAAACCCTGCTTGACGAGAAAATGCGGCGAATCTCTGGGGCATCACCTTACTTCAAGAGAAAACCACAATGGCCGGGAATTTGCTCGCAGGCGTTCCCTGTCATCGTATCGAGTTCGACGATGGTCTAGAACAGCGAGGTGGTATTGAAATCCATCTTCTCCATCAGAATGGCCGTCACAGGCAGTTGATCAGCACGGGTGGCCCCAGTGTCAAGTGATGGGTGTCGTCGCCCCGATAGAAGAGTGTCCTCCCCGAACACCCCTCTCCCTGCTAAATGGATACTGCGCCGAACGGGCTGGAAAGGATATTGGTTGACTGAGACCGTGACCCCAGAGAATCAGGTCGATTGGGGCAGAATCGGCGATGTCAAAAACGAGACACTTTGACTTGCTTTTGACTGGAACTAGAACCGGAACCAAGGAACTTGGCGCTGGGGCCAGGGCTGGAGTTAAGTTGGACAACACCTGGAAAATGGGCACTTCGGCTAAACCAGGCGTGGTCTTCGCCGTGCCGGCTCCGAATAGCAGAGACGATCTGGGCGAAAGACGCGCACAGCAGTGACGATGAAGAAGAAAAGAGTGGCTCACTGCCCAGTAGCAGTCACGGCCGAGAGGAATGTAGCTCGATCGCTCGAAATGGATCGAAGATGCACCATACGGTATGGGTGCAGAAACGTCGGGCGTGCAGACGGGTGACGGCCGATCGGGAAAAAACCTGGAACGGTGAGCCGTTTGACGGTAGGTATTGGGTGAAGATAGTATGACGATGCCGTGGCCGCGAGCCAATAAAGTAGAATATTTAGACGATGCCTAGCATCCAGGGACGGATGTGCAACGTTCATCGCGATCGCAGACCAGCCGGATCGACGACAAGGGCACGGGCAGGTGCTGTATCGGAGTCACAGCTCTCTACGATACTCAAATGAGTAAAGTCGACAGAAGCGCTCGAACTAGGTCAAAGTGCACCTAACGCAAGGGTGACTGGCAGGGAAGAGATTGGGGGTAGAAACAAACCAGGGACCAAGAGAGTAGTCTGTGGATAGCGAGGAACAGAAATCAATGCGAAAATGTGAAGAATTCGATCGAAAAATGCCGACATCATCGAAAAGGTGTGGAATACTGGCAAAATTGGCATTGAATGTCATCGAGATCGAAGAACGACACAGCGTCATCGTGGGTAGGGTATCCGCCAGTAGCGCACACGCGAAATAGGACGTAAAGACACCATTGGCGTTTCGATCGGGTTTCGTTTCGATGACCGATGCGGAATCATGTGGTTGAAAACCGCGGAGGGCCGGAGGACTTGCTCCCCCCCTCTAGCAGCAAGGCCGGCGCACCGGGGGAACAGGACGGGAAAAAGAATGAAGAAAGTTTCAGACGCTATTGAAGAAGCTAATACTTACCTCTCAGTCACGTCTTACTTACACTCTGGATGCGGTTTTTCCGATGGGCGACGGGTGCGAGCCGATCAGACTAATAACTGCCCGATGCCATGTCGTGGGGAAGGTTGTGTTGCTGGCAATGGATTTTGCGCATGCCACACCCGCATTCCCGTCAAGCGGCCGCAAGAGGCTTGTCTCGATACTAGAGACCCTGACCAACGTCTGTACAACTCTGTACAAGCCTGAGTGACGGGATTTGACGTGTCTTTCTTTGGTTGGCGACTTGGCGTTGCGAATTTGTCGGGCAGCTGATGACTATCAAGCTTAGAAAGGTCAATATCAGTGAATGTTGGACATGGAGCGGGGTGTTTTCTTGGCCTTGTCCTTGCGGTACTCTGCTACCATTTCGCAACGCAAGGGAGGCAGATAGAATAGAGTCCTGAGTTGAGACTATTGCATTCGCAATCTTCTATCAAATCATCGGTTGTTGGTGCGCTTTGGACCGATGGTTGCCTGTTGATGCGCTGGTTTGTGCTGCCCGATGTGCCGATGCGATGCTTCCGTGCCGTGCGTGCTTGTTGCTACTATTGATATTCTCGACGGGCTGCTGTAATTCACCATCAGTAGTCATCTGCGGATCATCCGTTCCCGCAGATGGAATAGACGATCACTTGCAGTATGAGGAAGGCCTTTACCTCGAGGCGCAAGAGCTGTGACCACAAGGCAGAACAATTGGAAGACTAATCTCCACACTAAAGCTTACCTTGCTGATGGGAACAATAGTGGAGGAAGGGAGGCGAAAGGATCGGGGATGAGAGACGGGTAAGGCTTGAACACACAATGTCGATCAGCTTTGTGCCATTGGATGAATTACCCTTATGGGACCTGATGGAATTGTTCCCTATGGAGGAGACGCGTCCGAGGTGGCGATGGGCGTGGCGAGTAGATTCGTTGATGTTTTGAGGATCGAGCAACCCAGTTTGCTTGTGTCCGCTCTTTATTCCCCTTACCCTACATCGGCGATGTGTTCTCGCACATCGACGATGCGTTTGAGCTGCACAGCAGCCTCGTGACAAGCGAGAGGGTGTGCGAAACACAAATTCGGCAGTTTTGAGGGTTTGCGATGCCAGACTCGTCCAAAAGACCGAGCAAGCGTCAAAAAGACAACCCACAAGCCCACCGAAAAAGAGTGAGAGGTCAGGACAAGGTCTTTTCAGCCACGCTGTGGCAGAAAGGGGTCAGTCGAATTTTTGAATGCTCATTTGCTTGGGCAGTGGGAGAAGGGGGTCCTCGCTGGCAACCTGCAAAGCACAATGGGATTTTTTTTTGTCTGATCACGATGACATGGGGAAAGATTGTCGATACCTGCCGTAGCACCCGATGGGCGATATGAGTCTTCCAACCCACACGCGTCTCTCGCTACGAACGCACCACGATGACTACGCAGTAGCGTGAGGGTGCTACGGCAAGGGACCTTGGCACCCCGTGGCCGCTTAGACAAGAGAAAGATATGCCAGGCAGCCCAGAAGCCGAACCACCGCTCATTCGCATTTTCCACGGGAGTTGATTACCTGATAATTCGAGAGATTCCTAAGCAAGGGTCTTACTTGATAATTGAGGACTCCGAAATTTAGCGTAACTGGTTCCCGAACACCGTCTCGATCTTCTTTGATGATTGGGTGCCGGATTGATAAAGTTGACTTCAAATTGAGCTAGGCATGAGACGACACCCAAAAAGGGCTCAAGCCTTTCCCCAAAGAGGTGGGGCGTGTGTGAGCTTGAGGAGCGATATCTTTGAGACCGGATGTACTGAAGAAGTTGACTTATTCGTAGAGCCACGCGGGGTTATGCACTTGATAGCCGGCGGACCCGAAGATACGCCCAGAGTTTGAATGCGAACGAGAGAGGGAAGCCGAAGCTCTCTTTCGGTGCCGCGCAGACCAGCAAACCCTCTCCGCGTGTGCGGAGATATGGATGGGTGTGAAGACGGCATTTCGCACTCGCTGGGGATCCGGACGCGAGATGGGGGCCCCGCGCGTTGGGAGAGTAATCAGGAGATAACCTCAGCAATCTTCCGACGCATCCATATTGATTAAACCACGACCGACCAGCCGAACGGAAAGTAGAATGGGGTTTGAGTTGCCACTCATCCCCGATGCAGTGGCCGGGTTCCCGGGGGCGTGGTGTTTTCTTACTCCCATCCTGTCATCAACAGAAACCTCGCTGACAGCCAGGAGCCGTATTGTGGCTTTTTGCCTGCCGGTGTGTGACTGAACTGAACTGTTTCGAAGAGTCTCGGTTGTTGACGTTTAGCGGGAGCCGTTGGCGAATCAGCCATTTTGTACTGCCTTTTGCCTGCGCGGTGCGCCGATTCTGCAGCCTGTTCCCATTCCAGTGCCTACGCTCTTATCATATCATTCTTCACATCGAAACGCGGTCTGACAGGCACCAGGACAAGACTCGGGGCAGGCAGCCAAGCGAACCCAGCCTCGGACGTGGGTAACGTACGCGCAATTCCAAGAGGCGCTTCTCTCTCTCGTCCTGGGCGAACGGGCGGGCACGCGGGCTGCTGCAGCCACAGCCACGGGCGCTCCATTGGTGAGGATATGCGGGCTTTTGCGTAGTGCCGTCTCTGGTGGTGCGGGATTGTGTGAGGTTGAGGCAGTTACATGGCATGGCATGGGATTTGGCACACACGCGAGGCTTGCGTGGTCTTGCATGGCATTTTGGCTGTTTTGCAACGATTTAGCATCCAGTGAGACGATGGGTTTCGAGCTACGATACGCCGACCTCCTCTTCCTCCCCATCTATCCTCCCCCTTCTCGTCTCCATACAGAAGAGGGGGCTTCGCTTAGGTTGAGCAGCGGGACGGGCAATGCGCGGAGGTAGCGTAGCACCGTATTCCCTTCTGACGGACGATGCCCATGCAAGACGGCCGATGAGGATAAAAACTCTCGATGTTAAGGCATTGTGGACACATTCCCTAGCAACGGTGTCGCGCGCATAGTGCATAGTTGTGCAAAGGGAAACGCCAATACCCTGCTCTGAAGATGCCATGCTAGACGCCGAGCATGAGGAAGATGGCTTCCGGCAAGTACTGCCTGTCTTGGAACCTGGGTGTCAGTTCCTATCGAAAGTGAAGAAGCGAAGACGCGAGATAGATACCCTTTACTCGCATACGAATACCAACTTACGCTGGAAGCCTCCCTCCACGTTCGACACCCTACACCTCCAACTAGCGTCTGCCCTACAGAAGTTAAAACCAAGTCTTGTGGTCTTGACAGAAGCAGTGACAGTAGCCAAAAAGGAAAGGGCCCTGGTAGAGCTGGGAGTTGGGACGGCGTGCGTGCTGTGCGGGCAAAAAAGATGAAAATGGGCTCAGAGCAATTACGGTGATACCGAACCGTCTTGGTCTCCTGGCTCTCCCCACTGCAAAAAGGTCCTTCAAAACAGAATAGACCGTGAGACCCAAGCTGAAGAAAACGGGGACCCCTAAGCTGAGGATCGAAGAAAAGGCTGGGAGATCGACAGGGTGTGCTGTCTTGGCGTACAGCCCAAGGGATCGAGAGTTTGCGCGTGTCATCAGAGTCTAGCCCCTTTGAGGTACAATTTCGTCTCTCAGTAACTAACGCCCATGTGGTTATGTCGGTGCTGCCGTCTCGTCGGTTGTGGACCGTGGGGATTTGGAGCCAGGAGGGGGGCATTCCGTCTCTTATTGCTGTTAGTTGCATAGACGGGAGATGAGCTTTTGGACGGGGTAAACTGCATTTCTCCATACGCTACCGAAAACACACCCCCTCGGCTTAACGCAAAACGGATGCATGTGTGAAGATGAGGGGAAAGGGAGGCAAAAGAGGGAGCCAAGACAACAGATGGCATTGGCCAATCATCGGCTGCCAGTAGCATGTGGCTGGCAGAGGTCTTGGAGGAGGCAGCTGCCGTCTCAAAGTTGCGTGGTGTACACCTGTATGCGGCTATCTAGTGAGTATTATGTCCGTACACGCACAGATGGAAGTCCTGGAGAGCCAAGATTAATTATTTTTGTCACAGAAAGGTAAGAGTGGTCTGAGAAAGCGAGAGACAATGACACGGATGGCTACCCGCGGAAGACGAAGTAAGGATTGATTGCTTAGAGTATTTGTGACTCTGCAGAGGGGTAAATGGACTTTGGCGTCTCGTGGGAACTGCGATGCTTTGGCAGAAGAAGGAGGATGGATTGGAAATTGGAAATGCCATGGCGGGAAGTTTGAATGAAGGCAAAAGCACGCACACATGCCATACCTACACTTTTGCGCGCAAAGGGGGAAAAGGCTGAAATTGCAAAAGCCCGTGATCGTGTGACAATATCAAAAAAAGGACAGACAGGGCTCATCCTCTATTCAAGTCAAGTGACACTACGGATGGAGAGAGTCTATCACCCTCCTTCTCACTGTCTCCGTGAGTCCGTTCTGCCCGGTCAACAGAGTCTCAGAGAGAGGTCTAGACTCTAGGCACCGTGACACCCTTTTGCGGACTTTTCTTGGCCAACAAAATAGAGTTGCCCAGTGGGATGCTCCCTTATTTTGGGTTTCGTGGGTGCGCGGGCGGGCTTATTGGTCAACATCTCCCCGAACGCTGCGGAAACCATCTCGGCGGAATCTCATCAATGCCCGCGCCGTAGGCATCCCGTCGCAAAGAAAGAAGACCGCCGCCGCGTTGCTTTTTGCCCACGATGGAATTGAATGCATGCAACGACAACGACACACACACACACACACACACATATTTTGTCCCGCACCCGCAGCGGCGGTTAAGTTTTTTCCACAATCATCGGGAAAAGTGTTTCTCTTTGACTCGTATTCTCCAATCTTCAACCTTCCAGCAAAGTATTGCAGTTTCAATAGCACGAGCTTTACTTATGATACTCAAAGGTTAGGAATAGTAACAGAAACAAACAAAATGGGCAGAAAATAGCTCTCAAAGCAAAGCAAATTTGATTGGAACGACTACTCAGCCCATCACGTTTCACAGGGCACGGAAGCATACGAGTACTCTTCAATATCTCTGAAAATTCTCCATACTGCCTATATTTGGCGTCGCGTTCTCCCAGAGGACGCATTGTTCGCCCATACCTCCGTCGGGAAGGCCCAATTCTCACATTTACAGCCTCTATAAGCCAAACAAATTCTTCCCGACCCCGGATCCCGCCGACCAAAAACGGACATGCCAGAACGCCAATTAGGAGTGGCCGTTGGCTCCGTTGTGGTGCCGTTGCCGTTGGTGCCGTAAGCCGTTCAGCGTTGGACTGGTCGCCGAGTGGCCTTGCGCCCCCGGGACGCCGGGATATGGATTTGAGCGGGCAACTAGGACCCCGAACTTCAGGCTGACACTTTTTTGACATACGGATACACAGCCTTCGGGAAGAGGGGGGCGCACGAGGTAAGGTACTTTGTAGGCTGACAAGGATGGAGGAGTTGAGCATGAATCCGAAGCCGCAAGGTAGAGAGGATAGAGAGTGCACATGCGAGAAGAGAGAGAGAGAGAGAGAGAGAGAGAGAGTAACCGCAGCTCTAACTAACTTTTGTGTGCCTCTCTTTTGCTTTGGACCGCAGCAAAAAAAAAGAGGCAGCGCCATGTCCGGAAAGCCATTTTTTTCGGGAGGGATAGACCCAGCTGATAATGATCACCAGCTAAGAGTGAGAGGGCCGCAAGGGCCGCCTTAAGGACTCTTGGGGTAAAGCGAATAAAGGGCGCTCTGCTGGGCTTTTGTTTGCGACAACATGCAGTTTCTTACGCGGAATCGCATGGTTCGGGCCCTCCGTCCGTCCCAAGGCCCCTCTAAGTTTGAGGAGGTTCCCGCCAAGTGGATGCCTCTTCTGTCCTCTGTCTTCGCTTTCGACGGGCTCGCTCTCAGCAGAGCAAGCATGCCATGCCTATCTTATCACCAGGGCCAAGCCAAGCACGAAAAAAAGAGGCGCAAAGGCAACGCATCAAACCGTGCGCCATGGCGTGTCGTTGTGAGATGGAGGAGCCTTGAAGAAGTCCCTTTTCTCCACTTAGTTAGAAACGGCAGAGATGGCGTAAATTACATACGCAAGGGAGAGAAGAGAGAGAGGAGAAATACAACGGCTTCCCGTGAGGATCATGCAGCATTAGTACGACGGCTGCCACGAGCGAATTATCAATCTCAAACCGAGGAGGGATTTCCCGCTGCCCGTCAGCAACGAACTGCGGATTATTTTCTGATCAAAGGATTGTTGAAGGCTCCAGAAGGAACGAGACGGTAGTGTTCCAACGCCGCTCCACGGTTCGGGGCTCCGTTTTGTCGATCCGGGGTGGCCCCCGTCGTTGGGACTTGGCTCTTTTCATCGTAGGTCCCCTGATATTCAGCTGGGACAGCACAGCTGAAGTTATGTTGAAAACGGCCATTGAACATTGAGGTGGCCTGATGATGGGTGGTATTCATCGGTGGCTCGGAAATTTCCATCAAGACGCCCCTCAAGGACATTGAGAATCTCCATGGGCTGGACGGGCGGCATCTCGAAACATGGAACCTTGCGCTACTTTTGCCAAATCTCCAGCAAAAACTCCTATTCCTTCTCCCCCACCATTCACAACCTCCACCTCCCGTGCTTCAAGCCAAGTCCGTCAAAGTGTAGGTAGGAAGTATGGCAGTGTGTGCCCGTATGCGCGTGTTTGTGTGTATCGCCCACCCCATCGCGCAGAATCGACGAGCTCCGCGCGGCCGCCCTATGAGACGCCTACATTTCCACGTAATACAGCCGGCTTCATATTCATGACCGCCCATCAAACAGTCAGGATCAGCCTCTTGGAAAAAGCCAAAGGACGAACGGCCACACACACACACACACACACACACACACACCACGTTCCCCAATTCGACGCTACGGGTTCATAGCTTCCCCCGCCGTTTCTTGTCCCTTCTCCGCCACACCCTCCCTCCACAACCCGTCCTGTAATCGAGATGCGCAATCAAAGCCACCTCTTTACCAGCGTCTCGGACTGATGACCTGCCCTGTCTGGTATCGCCTTAGAGGCATAGGAAGGAGAGGGGCAGTTAGGGATCCCCGGGTAATAGCATCGTCAATGGTAGGATATTCATCTTTCTTTCGATCAAGCACAAACATGCCAACGCGAGACCCAGATATGCGCAACGCAACATGGGAAAATAGTTGCACTCAGGGAGGGCGCATTCGGGAAACGATGGAGCAGAGGAGGTCTAGAAGTTTGATCAATCACTTTTTTCTGTTTTTAATTCTCCTTTGGTTTGGACCCTGAATTTCATGCTCCATCTTTATCACCCATGCGAGATGTGTGTTAAAAGTGCCGGCGTCCCCATCATCTCCGTGCCGCGAAGGCAGACGCAACCCCTTGAATGTTTGTCTTCACCGGTAAACAAACACTTGCTCTATTCTTCCCTTTCACAAAAAGGTCTTTGATGCAGACTTTTACCTTCGACTGGTTCGTTGTTCATTTCCATTAAAACTCTATCCACCGGCTGGAAGAGTCATACCGCCCGGTCCCGACTGTGTTGTCCTATTGTTACCTGATCAACAAAAAGGAACAAATTGACAGGTCATCGTAAAACCCACATTCAACCAACACCGCCCAAAAAATCCCCGAGGGTTCAGTACCGGCGCTTACGCTGTGCGAAGCGAGCAGGCCTCAAACCACCAATACATCCCATCCAGGCAGGCCTCAAAGGGCGAGAAAAGAGTCACATTACCCTAGGCTTGTCGAATACAAACCGCGCATTTCGGCCTCAGCACTGCCCAAAGGAAGAGACGGGAAGCTATTACGACTCAGATATTGCAGCCAACGCGTCTCGATATCTGCCCAATCGAACGACGACCCTGGCCAGCACTCCAGTTTGCGTTTGCCGTTCAGCTGCACACGCCCCTCCTCCATCGGACGGCGCCCCGTTGGAACGAATATTTCTGTAAGACTCTCCTTCTGCTTCATTATTGCATATGCATCTTCCGTATCCGTAACGAATGGAACTAACTCTACACCCCTAGTCTTCTTCGACCAAGCAAACGCTGACGAAGGCCTTTTACGGGACTCACACCCTCCGTAATCACCACGCCGTCTCCAAATCGGCATCGACCGTCTCGTCAGTCTCCGAACCGTCACTTTGACGGTCCACCCACATCACCTCGCGCCCACCTGTCAGAACACCGTCACGCCCTCTCTCAACTCTCTCTCCGTTCTCCTTCGCTTCCCTCTCTCACAGTCTCTCACCCTCGGCTTGGCTGGGGCTTGGCTTCACCCTCAGCAGTCTTGTCTTGTGCCTGACGTTGCACGCCCCCCCTTCTCTCTCCTCGAACGACCAGTTCCCCCTGCCCTTCTGACTTCTTGGGAGAGCGAGCGAGAAGGACACCACACATCCTTGTCCTGCTGGGCCGCATCACCCACCACCCACTGCTCCAAGCACAAACTGCACAAGCCCGGCTCTGTCGGACAACGGAGTGTGACTGAGCGACCGTTGGCCGTCTCTGGGCTTGTTGCCGACAGTTCCATAGGCCGTCGCGCCTTGCACATTTCCAAGCTTGCATTATTTACGCTGGGCCTGCCATCACCATCCGTTCTCCGTCGATCCCACACACACTCACAAGCTCTCGTACACCCCTCTCCCGGGGCCTTCACACACCCCCTGCCAGACTCACAGATTACACCCTGGTGTTCGCTTTTACCCTCCTTATTTCTTTTCCTAACCCCTCACCCCTGCCGCCCACACCCCCCTTGGACACCGCACTGCTCGTCCTCCCACAGTTACTCTTCATTATATATCATCAAGCCTTCCCACGCCCATATCTCAAGACCTCACTCTCCCTACCAACTCTTGCACTTGCAATACAACTCCAACCTCAACCTACAACGACTTGGATATACCAAAGACAATCAACATCACCGCTATCAGTCCAGGACCAGCAACAACTACTACTACGATACCACAGAACAGTAATACCAACATCACCACCATGCCTTCGAGCTCGCGCCCCTCCAAGATCCACTACAGCTCCTCGTCATCCTCCGACTCCGACCTGTCCTCAGCATCCTCATCCTACAGACACAGCATGGATTCCATCTCCAGGCCCGTTGCCTCCGTCGAGGTCCTTCGCTGCCTGCGCTGCGCGAGGTCCGTCGAGGCTACCTCTACCGACGACTCCAGCTCAACAGGAATGGTCCGCATCGCTCACAACCTCTACTACTGTGAACGCTGCGCCAAGATGGTCGGTTACAAATGAGTGGCCCACGGGGGCACCATTCGGGATGTACTTGGGGTGACGGATCAGCATACGACGGACCGGCACATCTTCTTATTCCAACCAACTGCAGCTACTAAGCTTGCAACTCTCCATGGACACAATTCCAACAGCCGACGATGGCCAACCTCATCGAGGTGACAGAGGCACACCATGCGAAGGACGCCTTCACGCGAGGCACCATAGCACGAGCACAGCTCTGCTCGGTTCACGACCAGCATCTTACTCCAGCCGCCCAGGGATCAACGGACACAGTCATGTCTGACCATGTCTCCCTGAGAGTGAGACCTCATTCCTCCTCCACCAAAGGATCCAAGGATCAGCAACACAGGTCGACGATTCTTCAAACTGCGTCTGAGTTTCTCAATACACTCCGCGGTCTGAACACTTTTTTTTGCTTCTCTTCTACTCTTTTTCGGCGGGGCCGTCTTGGTCCTCCTCCCCGTCCACGTCCTGATCTACGGCGCCCGGGCTGTCGATCACTGCACGGCGGTTATCTGCAGCAAAGCCGGGCTGTCTCTTGGATCACTCCTTCGCAATCATCTCATTCATCAACATCGCCTCGATGAATCAGAAGAATTGTACTGCAAAGAAGGCCGCCAAACACACGCATTGTGCAATTCGGTAAAAGTGGATCCTTCTTTGGATTCTTCTCGACTTCGCTTCCACATAGTCGCATGGTCACCCCGTCGAGGTTGAAACAACCCACACGGGCTCTCCAATGGACATGAACGGCGGCACACTGCAACGGCAGCATTACCCAATGCTACGCAACGTCAGAAAGATGTCAACACGGCACAAGCACATGCACTCCTCAGCCGTGTGTCGTTCACCATCATTTTTCCACAGTTGGAGCAGTCGTCAAAGCCGAGTCGGCGCCGACGGGGTCTTCCGGGAACTTGCCCCACATCTCAACAGTCGTCAATCATCCACCGGATCTGACATGATCTGATCCGAATGACAGCTACAATGTTTATGGATACCTACTCGCCCGACCAGTGGCTGAGTCCGGTCATGAACTTCTTCGAACGCCTTTCTTCCACGCAACGCGTCTTGGCTTGGCTTTCTTCTACAGTTCTTCCGACCACATGGGTTGCACCTGCACCTTTTCTTCCCGCAAAAGGCCTCAGGATTAGTCATCTCACAGCCCGGTCTCTCCCATTGGCTGCACAAAGCCCCATGTCTCCACTCTCCCACCCTTCGGGGCGCGGGATTGGCTGACACTGAGGCCTTGGCAGTTCCGCAACCGGCTATTGGAGCATGGACCCCACAATCCACCCACGGAAAAAAAAGAAGACCCGGCAACGCTGCGCGAACAGGCAACAGTTTCATGTACCTTTCTTGTGCGCTGTTTGCGGCCACTCGCCCAACGCCAGCGCACAGTCCGCTGCGCCTGCCTCGGCTCCCGCTTTTCATCTCCTCGGGAAGGCATGTCTTCCTTCTCTATTTTTCGGTGCCTGAGAGCGAAAAATGTCCCGCACGGACTCCTCTTTCGTCTCGTCTCGTATACGAGGAAGGGACATGTGGGTCCGAAAGGCAAGAGTGAGAAAAGGCCACGGCTTTCTCTCTCCCTCGATCCCTCGGCTTCGCTCCGCTGGTTCAATTGCCGGCGCTTGGTGTATCAACCGTTTCTCCTCCAGGGTCCCTTCTCTCTTCAAAGGGGGAAAGGGGAAGGGAAAAGACATCATCGCGCATGATGATGGTTCTACCCCGAAACCCTGGAAAAGAGTTTTTGGTTGCTGCCATCCGCGACTGCAGATGCAACCAACAGCTTAGCGCGCTTTGCGAGGTTTGGGGAACATACAAACCAATCCATTCCACAGAGGAGGGGGAACACGAGTCGACGGTGCGGACGTCATTGGAGAATCATAGGGGTCCTCGTGAGGGGCATTTTCCCTTTGACGACACGAAATCTGCGCTACCGAGATGGCGCACTTTCCATCCCGCCCAATCACGACTACTCTTCTCCGCAGTCGACTCCGTCCCTGCTTGATGGGCGCCTCTGACGTCGTCGCGCATGGGAGCAAGTCAATATTTTGTTTGCTACTATTTTTTTTCTTCGCTTCTTTTTTTTCTTCCTGCAGTCTGTCCTTGCGGGGCTTGGGCGTGTGGGCTTTTGTGATTAGGGAATGGCGCGGAATTGGGATAGCATCACTAGCGGAATTGTTACGAAAAAGTATTGAGGAGGAAACTGTACAGGATACTACAATACCCTTGGAGCATCATTTGGCGAAAAGAAAAACGGATTTGCATTTCTATCAGGCGGATACCAGACTCTTTTACAAGAAATCTTATGAAACAAATCAAGAACATCAAATGAAGCAATTCACAAACACTTGGTCCTCATTTTCATCGTTGTGAATAATCATTGTCTAATCAACATGGTAAGTAAATCCGTATCTCAGGGCGAGATAAGGCCTTTAACTGTTGAGATTTGTTATTCCCGAGCCTCCAAAATCTCTGACATGCTTTGATTTAATGCACTGGACCCTTGGCCCGATTATGCCACAACAAAAACAACAGAATCGGAAAAGTTCCGGCGATTTGTTGTTGTTGATGGGGACCGGGATCAGTGTACTGCGTACTCCATAGTCTGCTAATCTCTCTCGCGATTAACCTCGCAATCTTGGCGGAACTCGCCCGCCCCGTGTTGAACGGAACTTATGAAGCCTCAAGGCTTCCAAGCGTCTAGCGGAAGAGACCGAACTGCCCGCCTGCCCGCCGGCCGGCCGATACGAAATCGGGGCGCGGTCCCTTTTAGAATGAACATTCCCGTGGGACGGACTCTTTGGAATCAGTCCATGCGAGAGTCTGCGAGGGAGAAAGGGCTTTACGAAAAAGCTTGGCGAACTACGGAAAAAAGCGTAAAGTTACGCTTTTCCACAACATTTCGTCGGTTCCACGGGTGAACGGCCCAAAGAAAGCAAAAAGGGTAGAGAATGAGCGAGAAAAAGTTAGCATCAGGGTGAAGCCTGCCGGCCGTATTCAGCATTTCTCCCTCTCTCTGTCTCCTCTGAAACACGCGCTTGATGGGCAGCGGGCTTGAAGGGTTGACTGACAGCCCTGTGTCAAGTGTCAGCGATCGGAGTCGAGTCCGGATCCAAGGAGAGATTGTTGACCCGCGACGGAGAGACAGAGGCAGATGGGGAGACGGGGCATGGCAGAGACACTACAAAAAGTTGAGACGAATTGTTTCGTGAGATCCGTGTCTTTCTCTTGGCTAGGTCTCGGATTCCTGTCTGAGGATTGGAGTTCTTGTCTCTCGCTTCCGCGGGCCATCAACCACCCGCGGCCACCCGTCTCAACAGTTCATTTCGCTAATCATTGTCGCTCTGTGTTGCGTGTGTGTCTACTTTGCAAATGTGTCAAACGGAGCATCACCCTGCGAAGGTGAGTCTCATTGCATGTCTTGGTAAGACAGCGTAACCGTATCCCCGATGATGCAATTGTGCTGTCGATGCCATTCAATATTCCAGCTCACTGTCACGTTACGTTACAACGAAAACTTGCACCTCAAGGCCCCAAGGCCCGCCTTCCAGTCTCTGTAGTGTCTGTGTTTCTAAATATTGCCCGCATCTTGCATCTGGGGGAGTGGGGGATAGAGGCGAAGTGCAGCCGCGTCCGGTCCCTACCGTCCGGTTCGTGTTGGCGTGTGTGTGCGGCTTTTGCGACCACTACTCTGGGTATCTGGTTCATGAATCAACACCTTGAAGGGGGGAAGCGATCTGCACATCTGCACGGAAAACAGGAAGTTGACGACTCTAGAATTTTCGGTCCCTGATTATCATCGAATCGGGAACCTTGCGAGTCTTCTTTGGGAAGGGACGGCCTTTCGGGGGTCTGAAGATGGTGTGCACTGATGCAGGAGGGTATCCCGTTACGGCAAACGGTTCATTCTGCTTAGGGTGTTGATGTTGCTTACCACCACTTCAGACTTACCTACATAAGCATGGGGGACAGTAGAGTTGAATGTGGCTGTGAAAAACTGCAAAGACCACCACCCACCTTCTGCATGAGACCGGATGACAGGCAAGAAACACCAAAAACCCATCAATCATCAACTTTTTTCTGCAGCATGTACGAATAGAGAGGTACGAGACAAGTTCGAACTGTTGGAGCCGTGGCAGCCGCGCTCGCATACTGCGTACGCATGAGCGCAGACGCAGATCATAACCATCTCAGCCCCTCTCTCTCTCTCTCTTGAGTGGCCTCGCGCATGTCCGTGACATCAAGGTCGGCCTCGCTTAGGATGTAAAAATGTATCAGAAACCGCGCTGGCGCTGGCGCGAAAGGGAGGGGATGGGTGGCCAGGGAACACGGCACAAAGGCGACGATAATCACAGTTGGGACATGACACGAGAGATCTACCACGCAGCGCAGGGCTGGCCTTTCCTCTTCTTTTCGGGTGTGCTTTGCGCCGGGATGGAGCTTGGAAAAGGTGTGAAAAAAAATAATTGGTGGATGAACTGCGGATGTCGGGCATGGGTTGGGAGCTGCGACGCACTCCGACGAGACAGGTTCACGAGGAATTCAGAGCTGGGTGTTTGATAGTCCTGTTCACGGGAGCTCAGACTTTGGGGATTTACCACGGTGTTGTATCGTGGCATTGGCATTGGGTAGATCATTCACGCCCGTCTCGCGAAATTCCGGCGTCAGGATGGTGGCTCCCCCCTCTCCCCTTGAGCTTCAGCCGCGCGAGCGCGGTATCTCTCGCTCGTCTCAACCGCCTGGGTCCTTAACAGACGCCGGCTATGATAAAGGAGAGCCTCTTATCATAACGACGTGTATGCGGCTATAGTACCGAAGAAGGGGTCTTGGTTGCAGCTTTCGTGGGGAAAAAATGGACGCTCCTACCACCGACCTCCATGTATGATGGTCATGGCAGGACGGTCAGCTCCGTAAGGTGTGATTATCACCGTCTCATAAGGTTGCCTTTAGCTCTGGGACTGTAGGGACGCTTCTCAGCTTGACATGGAGTAGGGTTGCGCGCGAAGTGGGAGCATGGAGATGGGTTTCTACTTTGTTCGCCAAATGAAAGTCCGCAAACGGACGAAATGAGGGCAACTTTTGAAAAGAGAGAGGCCTCATCACTGGAACTAATTACTTGAAAGTTGGCAGAAGGAGAACGTTCCGTCGATCAAGAATATGGGGGTGATGTTTCGCACGACGAATATCACCATATCCCAAATCCCCTCCCGTCCGCCTCGATCAACGTGGTTCCTTTGCAGATAGGGCTCTCTTCAATCTTGTAGGCGGGGAAAGGCTGCGCAAGGGACTGTTACAGCTTATTATCCGTAGTTCCGTACGGATACAACGGTTCATAATGCAAGGCAAAAAGGTGTCATTGGAAATCGGGGCTGACAGAGCGGTGATGTGGGGTTGAGTGACATTTGGAAATGAGAAAGGGCTCGAAAAGCACGGTTCGGCGAGTCGTACCTGCGCGGGCATGATACGACAAAAGCACACCCAAGATAGAATGCGACCATCACCCACATTGAGAGTGGTAATAGAGTAGAGTTTCTTGACTCGGCTCTAAATTCTGGAGACGGGGATCCTGTGCTGGTTTGAGATAAATGGGCACAAATGATCGACACTAAGAGAGCGAAGCCTGGCAGGCCCCAGCTTACGAGATTTATTCGGGGTCCTGGCCTGTGCTGCAGCGAAGCAAGCCAAAATGGATGGATTGTTGGTTGCTGTGTGAGGAGCTTTGTATGGATATCACACGATGGCTTGCATTTGGTGTTGCTAATTTTGGTGCATCCCCAAGGGGACCATACGGGGTTGCTTGGAAGCTTCGCAAGGCGTGCAGATTGAATTCGTTCCGACTTGCCGGAGCCTCACTTCTCACGTTCCCTTCTGCGCCCCATCTTCTTTCCTCACCTTGGAGGTTGTAATATGTGCCAAGCTGGCGACGGTCTGCACAGAATAACCCCCCTGATCAATGTTTGGGGCCTTGGGGGTGAGATTTCCAAAGATAACGTTCAAACTCTGGCAGAGGAGGGAAATGATCATCACAAAAGCACGGATTACGGGCGTGTTCGGATCATGTGGAGAAAATTGGTTTGATAGACCACAGCTGAGTCGGGGGTGCTGAGCAGCTGAGATACCGATAGCTTCTCCTACGGAATACGGTACCAGCCCTGTTCTCAACGAGACTTTTTGAGCACTCTTTTGCGGACATTTGAGCTTGAATTGGAGGATTGCATGCACGAGGGTAAATGCTCGGTAAAGAGCTTGTTTGCGGTTATCGAGTATCACAGGGGC